TTCAGTCATGGTTCTTGTAGATTGACTCTAAAATTTGGAATGCTTGATTGAGCAAGAGGAAGGTAACTTTACACAGGCCATAAATCAAAGCAAATTCCTTGAAAACGCTCTGACTTCAGATTAAAGTACCTAGTCATTGTGTCTTAGTCATACATACTGGCCTTCAGTGTTTCTGAGTCTCTCAAACATGAGGCATAGGTTCAGAATTCAGATACAGTCACATATAATCTATTTAAATTTAGAAAGTGATCAGGAAACTGAAATCTGTTGCTTTTCATTGCAGGGGGAATGAACAAAGTGCAGGAAAACAAGTTCTACATTACTAATTGTAATTCTCAGATTCAGCCCCTTTGGTTGCTTGACTCACTGCCTCAGATTCTTCATCTGTAAAATGGCATCTTCTGAGTAATAGTATGAGGATCATTTGGTAACATATGTTGAATGGTTTCTACAGTTATTAACATTACCGCTTGCTGTATTTTCTTAATTGCAAGTAAAATATAATGTTTATTTCAGCTGAGATCATCAACAACAACTAGCTTCCTATGTACTGATCATGTTATCCTCACCTCATTTAAACTCTTGCTTTACTAGCCCATTTTGGCACGCTCTGGAATGATCTAAGGAACTGCGCCCAGCTGGAACGCAGTCAAATTCCTGTTTCTTATCTCATACTTTCTAGAAGATTCATGTTATTAAACAATGTGATGACAGGCGTCTTATCTCAGGGCAATAATGTCTTAATGCTTAGACAGGATAAAACATGGAGCATTGTCAGTGTTCTGGCAGTCCTTTGGTGGGGTGGTGGGGTGTTGTTTTTAAAAGAATGTGACCTTTTAAAATATAGTCCCTCTCCCCCATACATTGTGAAATGTCTGCCAGAAAACTCACCATGGGCCTCCCAAACGCAACTTTATTAATATGTGTAGAAGAGTAACATTAATCTTACAAATAAACCAGGTTTATGTAACTCATTTAGAAGAGTGCCCAGCCAAGGTTAAGAACCACTGAGGCTGAATATGCACTATACATTTAAAGCAGCCCTCCCAAATGCTGGGAATTTTAGTTTGTTAAAGGGGCTGGGAATTACCGGTATATCTCTGTGATGGTTCCAATGCCCAGCATTCTTTGGGGAGAGGAGAAATGTGCTTTAAGTGTAGGCAACCTTAGCGGAGCAAGTCTAGAGTCCTGAGGTGAAGTACCTATTAGGATTCTAGGCAGAAAAAAATATTAGTTGGGGAAGGGCTGTAGGTCAGTGGTAGAACCACCTGCTTTGCATGCAGAAGGTCTAATTCCCAACATCTCCTGGTGGGACTGGGAAAGATCTCTGCCTGAAATCCTGGAAAGCCATTGCCAGTCAGCATAGACAATGGTTTCCTGATAGGATGGGAATCTCTATGTTTGAATGCTATACCCAACAGAGGCTAGAGAAGGTGGCATCCTGACTCCAACTAAGGAGCAGGGGCAGATGTGATGCATGTATGTCTGTGTGTGAAGGGCAGCAGTTTTCAGTTTGAGGTAGAGAGGCTGTGCGCTGAGAGCTGGTTTTTCTCTGCAATCTGTGTTAGTGAACAGATCTGCCGCATTGTAGGAATGCCTGCTTCTTGCCTCCACTTACATTCTTCTGCTTTTATTTGTAAATAAGGCAAATATGACAAAGATACTGTCTCATGCCTGGTAAACCTGGATAGTGCTTTCCCTAGAAATTTTTGCCACTTGAGGAAGTGGGGAAGTGCAAAAAAAAAAGAAAAGAAAAAAGAGCATGCTTTCCCTCTTTCTCCTTTGCCATTACATGGTGTAGCTTACGGTTGCCATACATCTGGAATTTCCCAGACATATCCATAATACTGCTGTCTCTAGCAGTGTCCGGGCGGAAATCAGTAAAAATGTCTGTGAAAATCCATGTCGTTTTTGCCGATTTTCCATTAAAAAAATAGCTCAAAAACGGCCTTTCTGTCTGGATTTTCACTGTTTTAAATATGGCAGCCCTAGTGTAGCTAGATCAGTGGCCCTTGAGGAGGGGAGGCATTGGCATGGGTAGGACCCACATGACCAGACCTGCCCATGTGATACAAACATCCCTACATTACTGGAGCAGCATTACAGGGAGCAAGCTTCAGGATAGTGACAACTTTAAAATATATGTATCAGCATTTCAATCGGCCTGCACTGCTGAAAAGGCTTCTTTTACCTTTATGACTTTAAAATAAATTTAACTGTCTTTGAGGGTTAATTGGTATTATGATTAATGACTCCTTTTTATACTCATCTCTTCTTGATGTGCTTGAGCAATATTATTTATGATGACTGAAGGTCAGAACAAATAAATAATTATCTGTCTAACCTTATTACAAGGTGAAATGTGGACAAACATTGTATTTCTTCCAGCCATTAGGGGTTAATTAGGGCCCCTAATGGGTTACATAATATTTTGATCTAGTGAGGTATAATGGATAGTGTGTTGGGTTGGGTTTTGAAGTGGGAACACACAGGTTCTGAGCACATACCAAACCAAAATGTTTATTCGGCTTTACGCCCATCATAAAGCACAACACACAAAACAAATCAAATAAAACAGCGGTCTCGAACAAGCCACAAGTAATATAACACAATTCACAGCTCACAAGGACAAATATTGGCAAATCAAAACAGAAATTTAAGATTAAAGTTAAAAATTTGGGCACTACGCTAAATCAATTTCTGATGTCAATATCAAAAATTCTTATAAGTATCAATAATCAGTTAACATTCCATTCCGTCTCTTGTACGAGAGAACGGCTGTTAGGAATTTAGCAACCTGTAGAGTAATATAAGGATCTACATCTTGAAGAACCCAGGCAAGCTGTAGGTCTACTGGTTTGTCAGCCATAGGCTGGATTATGGAGTTTAGTATACTAGCGCGAGCTAAACTGTACATAGGGCAGATAAACATAACATGATGTAAAGATTCAGATGTTTTCATTTCACAAGCACACATTGAAGGGACTTGGCCCTTAGTGAATCTATGTCTCAGCACGTTTGTTGGGAAAACATTGAACCTGGCTCTAATGAAGGCATATCGGTGAGATGCGGCTATAAGCGATGTTAAGTAGGACGGAGCACGATAGATAGGGGTTATGCCGAGATTTAACGGGGAGCAGGCTCCACCACCAGCTAAGAAATTTTGGTATAGCTCCACATCATCCAGCCTTTGATTTATACACCTTTTTGCCGCGTTTAGATCCAGTTTGAGCAATTCCGTGGGCGAGATCTCATAGGACAGCAATTTGGCATGGATTTTTCCTGACCACAAATTTGTAAAGTCATCCCGCCACATGCATTGAATGAGATAGTGGTTCGGTAGTTTATGCCATAGGGATATCCAATAAATCAAAACTCTCCTCCATAAAACTAACTCCACTGAGCACATAAATAGCACAGACAAAAGCAACGGATTTGAAAATTTGCAAAAAATTTGCATTACATTGTGTTCTTTGCACTGATTACTTCCCAGGATCTGTGATCTGTTATCATTTCCCCTCTGTGCAGGATTGTGGTATAGTATGATTAAATTGATGTGATTCTTCCTGCACTTAAGCCGGAAGAGTATCTGAAACGGGTAGAAAACGTGGACGGTACAGGATTCATTGGCTGAATTTTTGTAAACTGTTCTGAAGGTGTTTCATTTTCGAAGAATTGCTCACAAGTCAGTTACATTACAAAATGTTGTGTAGTAGCTAAAGTTGCGATCTTATGTAAAGTTATTTGAGATTAAGTCCCTCTTTGTTCCAGTGGAGGCTTCCATGAAGGGGTGCTGGAAAACAATTTTCTATTATTCCCCCTTCCTTCTGCAGCCCTTGCCCCCCCCCCCCGCCCCAGAGTACCATGTAGGCCTCTGTACCCATTAACACCACAACCATGCATACTCTCCCACAAAGAAAACCTCCATAGCAATGAAATACGTATCAACATTCTGCTATAGAATTTATGCATATCTTTTCAGAAGTTGGACCCACTGATTTAAATTGGATTTACTCCCAGGTAAACATGTCTTGGGTCATAACCCGAGTAATAAACAGGAGGTTTAAAGAGGTTTAAAGACTGTCTCAAGGCAAATCTAAAAAAATGTTGTATAAACACTGACAACTGGGAAACACTGGCCTGCGAGCGCTCCAGTTGGAGAACAGCCTTTATCAAAGGTGTCATGGGCTTTGAAAACACTCGAACTCAGGACGCAACGGAGAAATGTGCTAAGAGGAAGGCATGCTTGGCAAATCCACACCGTGATCAACTCCCGCCGGGAAACCAATGTCTCCACTGTGGAAGGACATGTGGATCCAGAATTCGCCTCCACAGTCACTTACGGACTCATTGTTAAAACCGGGTCTATGGAAGACAATCTTACTGGGCTACAGGAAGATGTTGTCCACTCTTTCACTGCATGCATTTCAATATGTGTGAAAGTGCTGTGGCACTCATCCTAGATGAACTGAAAATTTCAGTAAGACTGGGGTCACATAACACACGGTGTCATTTAATGCATGCCCATTCATTCATTTACTGCCAGTACAGTACTTGTATGCCACCTCTCGCGGCTCCTGACAGCTTATTTAAAACATAAAATAATTATTATACCAACGCGTGTTTACGCAGAATGTGCTCAGCGACACTTATACCTAAGGCACGTACGTAGTAGGATCGTGGCCTTATTGTACAATCTTATAGGTCTACTCAGTTGGATGAGCGTTCAGTTATAGACTCACTGACAGGTAAGCGAGCATAGGAGCGCATTCTTAAATCACGGGCAAATTGCCCTCCGCTCTTTGCAGACACGTCCGCCTGCGCCCTTTAACCCGTTAAGTTCCCAGCCCTAAAAAGTTTGACGCGTGCATGCAGACGGAGGGTTCCCACCGCCTCGTGCCTAGATTTTAGGATCGCCTCCCCCGCCTTTCGCTTCGCTCTGCCCCCAGCGCCCACCTCCCCGCCCCCTTTCCCTCCGCGGCGGAAGCGGCACGTCGGCCGCTCTGCGGCGCCCAATGAGTTCTTGCTGCGCGTCCTCTGGCCTGGCCGGGCTGGGTCCGTCACTTCCTGCCCCCTGTAGCCGGCACGACCGAGCCTGAAATCCCAGGGAAGAGGAGGTGGAGGTGGCGGCCGTGGAGGCGGAGGAGGAGGAGGAAGAGGAGGAGGAGGGGGGCGGGGAGCAGGGAGGTTGAGCTGCGTTCGCCACCAACATGCCCTTTGATTTCAGGAGGTGAGTGCGGGCGGCGTCCCCAGAAAAGGGGTGTGTGAGAGAATGAATGGATGCATGCATGCATGCATGTGCAGGGAGAGCCTTTGCAGCAAGCGGTGGGGGGTGGGGTGGGGGGCGCAGTGCACACGGCGACCCATCCCACTCCGCACCCCCCAATATTAAGCTAGTGCAGCTGTCATCTTTCCCATCAGGATGTGGGGAGCGGGGCACACGCCACGGTCCCTCGGGTGCGGAGCGCCCCTCTGCGGTGCTCGGTGGACGGGGAAAGGAAAGCGGGTGGGGGGCATCCAATTTATGGGCCCATTTGGGCAGTTGTTTACTATAAAAATCCATGAAAAAGGCTTAGCCTCGGGTTGTAGAACAAAGCCCACATCTCACTTCTTTTAAAATTATTATGATCTTTAATCTAAGAGTAATAAAGGGTGCCAGGCAGAGCAGGCCCCGCCCCAGCCATAACCCTCTGATCCCTAGAATTCCTTAAAAAAGGGGGGGAAAGGTGAGTTTCTAGCACTTGTGAGACCTGAGATATGAGGCAAAATGTATAGCTCACAGATATGAGGCCAAATGTACTGTTCTTCTCTTTTTGTGTGTAATAGTCTGCCCCCCCATTCAGTGTTTTGCTTTGTCCCACCCCCGAAAACTTCTGTCAAATGCCCATGTTTCCCTCAAGTCCCTTCTGCCCTATGAATAGTGATTTCTGTACTTGAAGCATGAATGTGAGGTAGCAGTCACTGGGGCAGATCTGATTTGAAGAAGGGTATGAAGTGCATTCACTTTGCCAACACTGAGGCAAAAGAAGGTGATGGTGGGAAGCAGTGGTAAAAATGGAGTTTGATGAGCAGGATGCTGTAGGCCGATAGAGTTGGCCCACTTATTCCTTCCCCCTTCTCAAAAGTGGCTCTTGAGCAAAACTGGATGCTTCTTAGGGTCATAAAGGGTGCGCTGAGATGAGTGACTGACAGCGGAATCCTATGCATGTCTACTCGAAGTCTTAATGAGTTCAGTAGGTATGTAGAAGTCAGAATGAATTGAAAGGAATAGAAGTGGAAATGCCCAGTAGCTGGTTTGAGATGAGCTCTTTTAGTCCCCAAGATAAAAGCATGGTGACTCAAAGGAGAATAGTAATAAGGTGTGTGTCCTGGACGCAGCTGGATAGAACAATAAGAGTTAAGGAGAGTAGGTACACAGGAAAGCTGAGATTTATTTCAATCACACACTCACAAATAGCATGCTGATTTCCCTTTCAATTGTCTGCCAAAGTAGTCTTGGCTGTTATATCAGATGCATTGGTTCCGTCATGAAACTGCTTATGATGCCAGCGAGGTGCCACACATTCCTTTGCATAAGTCTTTTGTTCCCATCCCCAACAAATGACGTTCTGTCATTTGGCCCTTCTTTATATCAGCCTTTCTGCCTGTTTCCATAGTGCTATATAAGACTTGTGAACCCTTTTTTAAAAACAAGAGTTTGCTGCCATACCTTCTATTCCTTCTGCCCCTGTTCATTCCAGCTAATGTAACATTTCTATTATGCATTGCAGTCTGAAAAAGACTATATTATTGCAAAACGGCATTTCCCTTAATCCTTACTATTTTCAGCCATTATCCCATTGTATTATAAGATCCTCAAATGGATCGGTTGAAATTTGTTCTGTGCAAGCTGTGTTAATATGCAGCAGTGGGAGGGAACCTGTGGTCCCCTATAGATTTTACTGGACTACCACTCCCATCACCTCTTGACCAGCGGCATGCTGGCTGGGGCTGATGGAAGTTGGAGTCTGATAACATGTGGAGGGCTACAGGTCCTCCTCACCCCACACCCCATTTTACAGGATTGCAGGCTTTTAAACTGCACTTTAAAAATGCTTCTTCACTGAAACAGTTCTTCCTTTATTTTGGGGTGTAGATAGTTTGTAGTGCCCTTATAAAGTTCTTTTTCTGCAACCGAGTGAGACAAGTGAATCTTGTTCTCTGGCTCTTCTGTTGGTAGGCATGCCTGAGAGAACAGTTTCTGTTTGCTAGTCTCAAGGTGCTTGATGCCAAAGATTCCACAGCCAAGCTTGAAAACCTCATTTGCCCTCATAACATGGGGCAGTTCCCTGTGTACTTCCTTCCACCTGCGTCTTGAGAGGGTACCACCTCTGCATACATTTACTAGGTGTGCTTACATCTTTCCCTGAGGGGTGGGGAAACACAGGTGAGGATGTTGTCCTTATAAATGGAAGCATGCTATTATTATATAACACTTCAGATGCACCTAGTATTTTGTGAGGTCCCTGCCCCAAGGCCTTATGACATAAGTTAACACACAAGCAGCAGGCATAAAGGGAGGGTGTGGTGGCCTGACGACTGGACATAGGGTGGTTGCATGCAAAGTGTAGTTTTGGAGGAGCATGTAGGTGTGTAGAAGGTTAAGGATTTTCCAAACATATTATTATTATTATATAACATGTTACTCTTTCTCCATCAGATACTTCAAGGCACCTGGGTGTGTTGGGGAAGGAAATCTCAGGGTATAGTTGAATAATTCATGCCTCCTTAAAGTGGCAATGGAAAAACACTTGTTCTCCACAACACAAACAATGACCAGGAAACATGGGACAATGGCATATATTGTGCTTTTCTTGTCAGTAGAGGTGCCTAATCTCTGCACTTGTTTGACTAACATATATTAAAATTTATTTGGGAAGCTGTCCAGGTACTAATGCTGCTTGTCATGCTCAGCAGGAATTATTATGCAAAGTATTTTGAATAGGAAGCATTATATTAAGAGTGTTTGTCTTTGAGTGATCTGGAATTTGTTCTGCTCCTGTTGACAAACATGAATACTTGAATGATAAGGAACATTGTTTTCTGTTCCCTTTATGTATTTTAAATGTGCTGGATTAGTTTGAGACGGATGCTTGGCTAAGGTTTCAGATACTCTTAGTGCTTTTCTTTAACTTGTGACTTAATTTCCCAATCTCAAACTCTTTAAAAAATAAACAAATCTTTCAGTTGCATTTGTATCTTACCCTTTATCTCAGGAGCCTAGAGCAGCAAGCATGGAAGGATTCAATTTCCCCCAAATTCACCAGTATAACTCCTACATAGAACTCTTCTGAATTGGAACCAGAAGTGAATAGGTAATCCATATGGTACAGAAAGCTCCCTTAAACTGAATCAGACTATTGGTCTCTCTTGTTCGGTCTTGGCTACTGCACACTGATTGGCAGCAGTTTCCCAGAATAGACAGGAATCTCTACCTGGAAATCCTTGGGATAGACCCTGAGGCTTTCTGCCTGTAGCTCATGCGTGCTTCCACAGAGCTACAGCACATAAATATCTCATGTCACCCAACTCCTGCCAGTAGACAGGATGAAATTTCTGAACAGCCTTCAGGGGCTACCATTGGAGTGCATTGTATTAGTCAGGCCTACCTGGCTGATCACAGAGGCAACTAAGCCCCTTTTAGTCATAACCTCTTGCACTGTGCCAAAGGGCAGTCATTATTGCATGATTCCTCCTCCCCCTCCTGGTTCCAGACTTGTCCCTCCTGCCACCAATTTTCTTTTAATCTGTTAGATAGAGCTTCCTATTTAGTGCTTAGCTGCACAAACCTGTTCATGGAAGTAAGCTCTGCTGTATTCAGTGGGGTTTATTGTTGTGAAATTGTGTGCAACATTGCTACTTTAGTTTACCTTTACAGATGGCAAATATCTTGTTTCTTCCATGCTTGGTTACTTGGAAGTCAGGTGTTTTAAGCTGCCGCAAGAACCTTATTGCTACCTCATTTCCTTCATAAGTTGCCCAGAACGATATGTGGCCCAGAATGTAATATCTGTGTGCCTAAATAGTCCAGTTCTGTTCCCAGCAGCTAGACAAACAGTGAACATGCAGTAGAAATACTCCCCCACACTCCATAAATATCCCTCATTAAAGGAATAACCCGTCTGCAAATGCGCCAAGTAAAGAACCAGAGCTGCAAGCCTTAAGAGTGGAGTCTCTACACAGGCAACACTAAGATGTGAATTTTAAATTACGTATTGATGTACTGGGGTGTGCAGTTTGCTTCTTCCTCCAATGTAGTCTTCTCCAACCTGCTACCTGCCAGATGTTTGGACTATAGTTGTCAACTGCCTGAGCCAGTGCTGGACTGGGGTGATTGATGAGAGTTTTAAGTCCAGAATTTCTGGAAGGCACCAGGTTAGAGAAGGTGGCGTACATGGATAGATAAGATTCCCTTTCCTGCCAATTACTATTACTTTCTGATAGCAGATTCCATGATGGCCTGCCTTTGAAATAATGGTTTTCTGCTCTGTGTTAGTTATCTGGTAGCTGACTCAGTGCTTCTTCCACTGCTTCTTTCTTGATTTTTTTCCTCTGAGTCCCCCCCACAAAGGACCTTGACACTTAATCATTTGCTAGTGTATATAGATCTCATATAATTGGCTATTGGGGGAAATAAGTATTTGACAGTGCAATCCTATACATGTCTATTCAGAATCAATCCTCATTTGTGTCCAGTGGGACCTATATTCATGGAAGTATGTTAAGTATTGAACTGTATAAGAAATGGCTTTTCTGGAGAACTGTATTCATCTGTTGATTTGATAACTTGTACTGCTTGTTCTTCCCATAATCCTTACATGGGCCGTGATAAAGCAGAGCAGTTTATGAGCAAAATTATGTACTAAATTGGTTCTGTAAAGATGTTTGTATAGTCTTTCCATGTGGAACATAATGTTAGTCCTGAGGCTATGCGGCAGTAGGTGTATTTTTTTATAATAAACAAGAGATAAGAGATACAGCCTGTGTAAACTCCTTGTTTAGTAAATCAACTGATATTAATGCTCTGACATTTTCTAGCACCTAGTGACAATGGTAAGTACCTGGTGGTCACTTATAAATGTAACTTCAGTCAGAGCAATTTCTGACCATTTACATCATCCAACAGGGATGGGGGAAACCTTGTCTAGCCTAAGGGCTGCATGCTAGTGATAGATGGGTTTAGAGGCAAAAGTGGGTGTGACCACAGATGTGACCCTTTAACCTTTTCCAGTAGACTTCATTCCAAGAAGTCTCTCCATCCTCTATTTGGGCGAGCAAGATGCACTGACACAGTTCAAGGGCACATTCCAGCCAGGTAAAAAGCACCTGAGGGCATGGAGGAGGGCTGGTGGGGGAGTGTGGTGTGGAGAGAGTCCCGAGTGCCAGATAGAGGGGCTTCATTAGGCTTCTAGGCCTCAGGTTCCATACCTCTGCAAGGGCTTATGATGCTACGGCAGCTCTTTGTATGGGTACCCAAAGTCAAAAAGGATCTTATAGAGCTGGAAAGGGTGTGGAAAAGGACAGCCATAACTATCATGGGGTTGAAGCATCTAACCTGCGAAAAAAGGCTAAAGCACCTGAGGCGTCTTAGATCTGGAAAAAGACGGCTAAAGTTTCATCTATTCCCCCCACGCCCTTATTGGATGTCCCTATCCTGGGAGGTACATCCTACTCATCTTGTTTTAACTGACCATATTTTCTAATAAATATAGAACTGTAGAGTTGGAAGGGACCCCAAAAGTCATCTAGTCCAGCCCCCTGCAATGTAGGAGTATAACACAGAAAAGAATATAACACAGAAAGGAATATAACACAGAAAGTGGGGTGGGGGACTGTAAAGCTGTAATTCTCACTTTTGACATTACCACGTCTGTGATATCATTGTTCAAGGGCAACCTGCTTATGGTAGCATCTCCTGAATGTAGTTAGGAGCGGTGGAAGCTGTGAGTGAAGGTGAGTGAGAATGATGAACAGATTATATATAGGCATCTGTGTTTGCTCATGGAAAATAGCAAAATGTGTATTAATGATGATCTTATCCATTGAACGGCAATGTGTAAGAATAATTTTGCAGTGACTGTGTTACTAATTTTACTTTGCTTCTAAAACGGTTTTCTAAACAGTTGCTTTGATTAGTGACCAGCACTCTGAGTTTGGCGAGCAAACTGGTGACCTGAGATAGCTTGTTGGTAAAGTAACAGAAATTCATTACAAAGGTGCCAGTTTTAATGATGAAGAGAAGAAGCTTTTAATTTGCTTGCTCAAGTGTACAAGAAAGTCAAAATACATGAAATACAGTATATGCTAACTTTTTGGATTAAATTTTAAAATTTAGTTTTGTAGCTAGTAACACTTGTGTGTACTGGAAGTAGTGGATGAGAAACCATTTTACACTATCAGTGGGTTCTATAAAGGTCTCTACATTTGCATAAACCTAATGGAATTACTGTGATTCACTGCACATAAAACCTCGTATTTTAGCTCTTAAGTGAAAAGGATTTTTGGACTTTTGACTTGTTTTCCTTACCATTGGACCTAAGGCACATACTCTGAAATTAAAATTTGAGAGCCCTTATAAAATGTATTATATAAGCTTATGTGACCCAGTTCTAATCTCAGGTTGATGTTAATTTGGCAAAAGCCTCTGTATAATAAAATAGAAATCTGGACTTGGTTAGGAAGTCTCTAGTAATTTTTTTGTGGCTGGTTAGTAAGAACTTAACAAGAGCAACTGTCTTTCTCTCTTCTTAGCTCTGCAAAATGTGGGTGACTCTGGCTGGAAAACTGGGTTATAAATATGTCTGAAAGCCAGGTGTTGTGGTTGACTTGAGGTAATGCCGTATAAACATAAAATATTGTTCTATTCCACATGTGGTATTTTAGTGCCCAGACTGCGCTGGGCACAGTATGATTTAAATAGGGTTTGTGATGTCATCTGTCCTTATTAAGGAGATACTTAGAAATATTTTTGTAGCGCTTTCTCCTCATAGAGTACATCCCAGAATGTTGCTGTATAACTCAGCATCTCCTCAATATCCTATTTTCACCAGAACTAAGCAGTACTTGGGTAAGTTGCTAAGGGAATATGTGACTGCTGAGAGAAAATGTTACCCAATGGGCCCTTTCTGCAGTGGCCCTCCATTTGTGGAATGCTCTCCCCAGCGAGGTTTGTCTGGCGCCTTCATTATATATATTTTATGCTCCAGGCAAAACATTGCTCTTCAACCAAGCATTGGGATGATTACTATTCTACAGCCTTTTAAATGTCTTGGTGGGAGAGGGGGTTATTGTTCTGTTGTTTCTGTTTTAACTACTTATTTGTGCTTTTATCTTGTATTTTTATCTTGTGGAGCACCTTGAGATGAAGGGCGGTATATAAATCTAAGAAATAAAAATATATATTAACATATCTTTGCAAATGACTTGCCACTTAAACCTTGAAAAGAATGATGTTTCACCACAATATTATTTATTAAACAATTTCCTGAAATCAGATTGACTAGAATATTACGCCATGAGCTTTTGTAGGCTCTGGTTCTGTTTCGTCAGAGGAAGGAAGTAATTGACTGGGAAGGCAGCAGGTAGGTTTAATATGAAATGTTTGTGACTACCTCGTGAGAATATCAAAATTATTGAGGTCTTTCTCCATTAGTTAGAAATTTGGCACAAGCACAATTCAAGAAATCTTTCTTAGTTGCAAAGCGTAGATCATGAGCTTCAGGACATCTTCACATGTGCAGTGGTGCCTTGTTTTAAGAACAGCTTAGTTTATGAACAACTTGGATTAAGAACGCTGCAAACCCGTAAGTAGGTGTTTTGGTTTGTGAACTTTGCTGTGGAATAAGAACATGTTGCGCTTCCTGTTTAGTGTGTTCCATTTGTAAATTGAGTCCCGTGCTGCTATGGAAAAGCACGCCTTGCTTTAAGAACATTTTGGTTGAAGAACAGACTTCCGCAAAGGATTAAGTTCGTAAACCAAGGTACCACTGTACAGTGGTACCTCGGGTTAAGTACTTAATTCGTTCTGGAGGTCCGTACTTAACCTGAAACTGTTCTTAACCTGAAGCACCACTTTAGCTAATGGGGCCTCCTGCTGCTGCTGCGCCGCCGGAGCACGATTTCTGTTCTCATCCTGAAGCAAAGTTCTTAACCTGAAGCACTATTTCTGGGTTAGCAGAGTCTGTAACCTGAAGTGTATGTAACCTGAGGTACCACTGTACCTGTATGAGAAGCCAGTATTCTATTACAGAGCATGCTAGACCACATGGAGCAGATTGTACTGCTGAAGCGTCCCTTTGTCCTTTTCAGCCAATACCAGGTATTTGATTGGGAAGGATTTCCAGTGGCAGTCAGTCATAAATGGCAGCTCACAGAACACAAAGTGAATATAAGTGTGAATTGAGGGACAGTGGCTCACACAATGTTAAAGGTATGGAAACTAGATAAACAATTGTGAATTTGGATTAAAAATTGCCTAGTTTCTAATAAAAAATACTTACTTAATTTTTTTTTAAATTGGATTTTAAATTTTAAATTAAAAAAATCTGATTTTAATGCAAACTGTTAGAAGTTTAATTTACAGTTTAATTCAAAACTGAATCAGTGGCACTCTTATCAAAACACACTGAATTAAAATCCTACTTTTCTCTTAAAAACAAACAAACAAAAACATAAAACCTCATACCATGGTGGGAAACATCATATATCATAATTATGACACAAAGATAATGTGTTAACCTTGATTGTGAGTTCCCCTGCCAGAGTAAGTCTGGCAGGCCCCTGGTAGGCCCCCCCCCGCTGCGCCAGCTTAGCCATCTGAGGCCTGGGGCAATTGTACCCCACTCCTGGCTGGCAGAAGAGAGGGAAATGTGATTTCCTGATTCCATACCCCGCTGCCAGTCTCAGCACAGCTCCCTATTCTGTCCCAGAGGGTTCCCCAACCCTCCAAAACACATTTTACAGAAGCAAAGGGAGCTGCAAGGGGGAAGGAACTACCAATGAAAATTGCCTCTTCCCATATGTAGGATCTTAGGATCCAAGTCATTGTAGAAATTACTATGGCAAATTATGGATGTTTACAGTTGTACCAACAAGGCAGCCTAGGAAATTTACTTCTATCTCTCAGAGAAATACTTCTTTGATTAGTAAACCACCAGTCCTTCCTTATGCGAAGTCTTGACCCATACCTGGTGTAAAGGAGCTTTCCCACATACCTTTGCTGCCCTTACAAGCTGTGCTAGAAAGAATTTTTCTTACGTCCTTCATCATTCCTTTCTCTGCCTCCTTTCCCTCCCCACTATTATTTGTTATTAATACATATCAAAATAATATATCAAAATAATATATCAAAATAGGTGCCTTTGTTTCTATTTCAGCGTGGTGTGGACTTGAGTTGCGCAGCTACCTTCAGTTAGTATAGTGAGAATCAGGTGATGTCAAGATTGCAGTGGTGCCTCTTGCTCTGCAATCTGCATTTTAAAGAGCCAGTAGGGATATATTATTGTGCATCGTATTCATTCATTGCTTCTCTTGCAGTGACTTTTTTAGGTTTCAGTCCAAAAATGGGTTGGTCTCCTTGAATACCACTTCTATTACTTGAACATATTTCTCCTGTTACTTGAATATATTTTCCTCTCTGATGATGTAACCATGTCGCTGGCTGGCTTAAAGAGGAGGGGAATTCAACATCATGCTTATATTATTTATTTGCTTTTAGACGCTTGCTGCCCAATAGAAAGGACAGACTTTTGGCATTAAGCGCAAGCTGAATCTACAAACTTAGCTTCAAAAGTCAGATTTGTCTAATGTGGTTTTTCACACATTGTCGAAGCCACTTTAACTCTGTAGTAAGCCTGGAAAATATTCTGATAAAGCCATCAGTGAGGCTTATCAGACATGCCTGCAAAAGGTTCAGAGCAAATCTTCAGTATACATGTTCAGTGCACGCACACACATACATGCATTCCCAAATACTATTCTAGCCAAGCCTCCAAATTAGTGATCTGAACAAACACAGTAGATAAAGTGTAATAATAGTTGGCATGTGTGTATCAAAACAAGAATTCCCATGACCTGTAGCAGAGTGAGGATTTTTTTTTTCTGTTATAAAATGATTTTGGATATAGTTCCACAAACTTATGCAAAGCACAGTCTTCAACCACGATGGATAGGTGTCTGCATTTCGTCCTGCTAAAAAAAGCCAGCTAGTGCTTTGCAGGTTGCATCTATTTAGGATGCAATCCCTTTCAAGCATTTTCTTAGAAAATGTTCCCTGGACCTTTTCAGCGCACATGTAGTCTTTTTCAAGTAGCATGGCACTTCTTTGCAGCTTACAGTGATGTGGCCACCAGTTTGCATAGGAAGCCAGTAAGATCGAAGGTCTGGAGTTGCATAGGTTAGTTCACACCAAGAATGGACACCGGAAACCCCAGTAACTTTTGTGCCTTTTTTGGTGTGTGGCAGGGGACTGCTTTCCTAATTTCTGGGACCACAGGAGACTCCTCCATAGATGTGCCTCTCCTGTGATAACAATAAATGGGCTCATGATTGGCACATAGATTGCATTTTGTTTAGCTAGGGAGATGACTCAAGGGTTTGCATTTGAATATAACCTTCTGTTTTTCAGCTAGGCAACTCAGTAACCCCAGTGTTTTAGCCTCCCGTACTCTTCCTGAGTGAGTACCTCATTGGTGTTCTGTTCTGCTTAATGAGATTAATATGCCCGTCCCAATAGTGCTACATCCTTGTTTGCTGGCCGCCTGCTCTCCTCCTCTCTTGAGAAACTTCCTCTGCTTAATTTCAATTAGCTTTTGAAACTGGAATTAAAAGGGAGGAGCAGACTGGTTCTGATTGGTGTTCCTGTTCCTCAGTTCCGAGTGTGGCCAACCAGTAAGTTAAAAGCCAGAGGAGTAAAGGACACTGGAAGAGTGTGCTTAACTTCATTTTATCTGTTTGACAGATGTTAATCGCTTAGTCACTTAATAATCAGTAGGCATTTAAAACAAACACTTTATTCATCCTGCTTAGAATAGGTGTTTGGTCAGCTTCATAAAGATTCATGTTCAAGTTTTGGAGAATAACTTCCTTTGTTTTTGTTTTTTTCCATTCTTACATGAGTCATACCTATGGAGAAAGATTGCATTATGGGACAGTAATATTTACACACCTTTCCTGCAGTGTAGCATAGGGCTAAGAGACTGAGCTATTAACTGGGAAGGCCTTGGTTTGAATTGTGCCTCTGCTATGAACTCCCTGGTTCACCTTAGGTAAATCACTCTGGTCTCAGCCACAGCCCCCTGCCATCTGCATATGGACAAGAATGATACTGGCTTACATTACAGGGGTGCCACAAAGACTACAACTAGATAATGTGTGTGAAGTGCTTTGAATGTTTGAAATTGCTATACAGGTGTTAAGTATGTATTGTTATTGCTTCTGCAAAGGAAAAAAATTGCGTAACTTGTACTTTCCTCACACAGTTCATGATGCAGTTATGAAGGTTTAGCTGGCTTCAAAATGTATAACAAAACTATGAAGGTTCATTGGTGCTTACCAATGGGCAGGACTGGCCATTCCACTAGAAGCAATTCATCTCAGGAAGTAGATGTTGGGAGTGGCAGCAGCCACAGCCCCTTTCCCTCGCCTCTTGAGCTCCTGGCGATTCCTCTCTGTCAGAGATCAGTGCCACAGGCTGAACGAGCCTACTTCCCTCAGGCACACTGGAGGATGCCATACCGTTGCCAGTGTTGACGTAAGATTCAACTGCCAGTCCATTCAGCTTCTGTGCATGAAATGGAGGGGTGGGCCTCAGGGCACCATCTTGTCTTCTGCCTCAGGCAGCAAAATGTCTTGGGCTGGCCCTGGTATTTGTGGTAACTGACGGGAACTTTCGGCTTGCTGTTTTGGGAGAGTATTCCTGTTGCTGTGCTGCATTGTCCACAAGTCGCCACAATTCTGCGGCGTTGTGCTCTATGCTCCCACCCACACAAAATGAACTAAGTGAGCAAGATGCGGTAAAGAGAACAGGGAGAGTATTTGTGTCCCCTGTGGCTCTTTCCCTTCACTCTACAGCTATAAAGTAATGGAGTCCTGCTGCATAATGAAGTATTTCATTAAAGCTGCCTCATTTACTTTGTTTTTGGTTACATTTGTTATTTCAAGCAGTATTATTATAGTGTATAAATACAATTATTTGTATAAAATATAAATGATTCTGGTGTTTTTGCATAGTACTGGCAAGGTGAGGAGGAGAGGGGCCTACAACTGTGCCTGTAATTACCCGTGTGATAAGCAACATTGGAATGTGCTTCACAATGCAGAGCACCATGAAAGAGTACTTTGGCCCTTATGTTCTGGCTTTTTGAGTTGTAGCTCTATGTGACAGTGTGGTGTAGTGGTTAGAGTGCTGGATTAGGACCTGGGAGACCAGGGTTCAAATCCCCACTCAGCCATGAAGCTCACTGGGACAATTACTTGCTCTCAGCCTAACTTAACACACAAAGAGTTTTTGTGAGCATAAAATGGGGAGAAGAGAACTATGTATGCCACACAGAGCTCCTTGGAGTACAGGTGGGATATAAATGCAATAAAGCTAGAAAATCCAAAATGTCTATCTCATTGGAAATGCTTTATACTGTCGAATCAGTGGTCCATCGTGCTCAGACCCTTGTGCCATCCTGTCTACACAAACTGGCTGTGGCTCTCAGGACTTCAGGCATTTTTCTCAACTGTCTCTGAAGATGATGATGATAATGATGATAATTTATTTCTACCCCACCCATCTGACTGGGTTTCTCCAGCCACTCTGGGCGACTGCCAACAGATGAAAAACGGAATAAAACATCACACATTGAAAACTTCCCTAAGATGATGTGGGTTGAACCTGGGGTCTTCTGTATACAAAACATACAGTTTACCACTGAACTGTGGCCCTTCTCCATCTTTTTCCTTAGGTGTATTGGATTAGATATAATTGGGCAATGGAATTGGACAGTTTCTAGAACTCCGAAAAAACTCTTCCCTTCAGTTGAAGAAAAATATGTTTTAAATGTCACTCTTTTAAAAGGAAATGAAACAGCAGTGTGAAAGATGTTGGCATCTTCTGCAAATTCTGACCCATCATTGTCTACACAAAAAAAACTGGCAGAGCAGCATTATATAAAAAAGTGTGACAGGGCAATTTGGAATAAAATATTCTTCCCCCCCCCCCTCGACCTATGTGATGCCGTAAGTCCTTTTAAACCTTCAAAAAATCTTGAAATGATCTTTCTGCACCTTATTCCAGAAGTGTTAGTCTTGGGTGGCAAAAATCACAAAGTGTCTTGTGGCAGCTTAAAAGGCTAACATGCTTATTATGGCATAATCTTCCATGGACTAGACGGCACCAGGTGGCATAAATAAAATTTGTTAAGTTTTTAAAGTAGTAATGCTCCCTGTTGTTTTTGTCCTTTTTTCTTCTTCTGTACTCAGCACATGATTTTAAAAATGAACTGTGACTTTTTAACCCACTCCTCCCCTTTTCCTTCATTCCTTTGGACTAGGATGTGGAAGGGGCTGGCTGAATTATGTGGCCTGCTTCTGTTTGATTCTAAACAACAAGAAGAACAATCAGTCAGTCAATCAATCAATCAATCAATCAATCAAGCACATAAAAGCACAACTACAGACACACTAAGCAGGATTTGTTATCCAATTTTGTTGGCTTTTGTGTGAAGGTCTGAAATAGAAAAAGTGGCAGTGGATTCTGTAAAACTGCGAAATTATCTTGCTCCTTTAAACCTAGAACAGCAACTTCTTCTTTCTTAATATTGGTCATTGTGCTGTTGCACATTGTTTGTAACAATAATTAAGTGCTAAGTCGTAAGACAGAAGCTATCCAAGTAGGCTTCTGCTTGTAAATGAGTTTTTTTGCTGTAGCTGATGCCACAGTTTGATTTCTCCTGTATGACTCACTTTAGAAAGTCATCTTGGGGATGTGTGAAAAAATAAAGGGAATATTTTAAGATAATAAATAACTTTGTGTGTTCTGTGTAATCTGAATAACAAATGTTGCACTTTTAGTGTGTGCTGGGGGCGGGGAGTTAAAATTAAGGAGGGCTCCCCACTGCTCTATTTGGGAGGAGATGAGTAATTATCATCTGGTGGCTCCTCGGAAAACTATTTCAAACCTGCAAAAGTTTTAAATTTGGAAGCTAGAATGTCAAGGCCTTCAAGTGATTGAAGTATTGGGGAATCAGTTACACAAACTGAACATCCATATTGGAACTCTGGAGGAAGCTAGACCAGCACAACACAGGTTAGTTGGTCTTGCCTGTAACTCATCTCACTTCCTAGAGAGGATTGATGGACTTGGCTGTGCCCTGTCCCCTCGCCCATAAGAAGAGTTCAGTGATGGTGGGAAGAAAATAACCTCATTGGCCTATGACCAATATATGCTTTTAATGTCAGAATGACCTCATGAGCCAAGTGACCATTCCTGTGTCTGCAGTGAGGTCAAATGCAACCTCAGAAGCAAACGTTATAAGGTATTGGACTTTTAAGAGGCTATTCAGTAGGCTGTCTAATGGGAGCCAGAAAAAGATATCTGATGGCAGCTCAGGGAGGACCATTCAGTTCTTGCAATAATGTTGGATTATCAGTGAGTTAAGACAAAGGTCTGCTCTCCTATCCCTGCTATATTGTGATATTAACAAGCAGCTTTTAGTTGGTAATTGCCAATACTCATTACCATCACTTTTCATTCTGCATTCTTGGCATTTCCTGGCACTACAGGGTCACCAGGTAGACATTACCTGTGCTAAGTCCAGCCAACCAAGCTTCCTGGCTCTTCTCAACAGAGAGCGCACACTAGCTTGGAAAGGGGCATAAGATCCAAGATGGATGAAAAGATTCCTTTGTAAACATAATTTAAGATACTTTGATATCCAGTGAGTGGGAAGCTCTGGCAAATGATAGGACCAAGTGACAGCACAGACTCTTGAGTGGCCGCACAGAATGATAGAGCCCTTGAACAGCAACGTGAGTAGAGTTGACAGCAGCACGTCTACTAGAGAGGTGCATAGATGTTGCACATCTAGTCAGTCTTTTCTCACCTGGGATTGGCATCTGCAGCCTCTAGAAAAAAACACATCTCTGATCCAAGTCATCCAAAGGGAAGTTCCAAGCTTGGTAGCTTCCACTAAGGCTACAGGTACATTTACAGATCATGCATGCAACTACATACAGACCTGTTTGGTGCATCTACCTGCACGGCAGGGCAAATTTAAGTATGGCCATGCTACCTTGCAAATCCATCCAGTAAGAGTGCTAGCAACCACCATGGGGTAAAAGGTTGATTGATGTTACCTTCTGTAGAGTGCATAGGAGAGGAACCTTTTATGGTTTTATTTTAAGCTTGAGTAATCTAGCCATCTCTCTGAGAGAACGTGGTGCTCTTGCCAGGCCCATGGTATTGTTTCTGGCTGTTCTAACTGTTTAGGATTTGAGTGCCTGTGACCTAGCATTACTAAAGAAGCAAAGATAAATTATCCTGTGGTCATTGTTTCAGAGCAGTGACCCAAGGAAAAGTTGGAACTCGCTCGTTATTAAATAATACGCTTCTCAACATGCTTGATGGGTGTGATTAAATGTTGTCCTTTCCTAAAAGGTATTGAAGGGTTGGGTGGAATTAATTTGCTTAGCCTTGGAACCTGTTTTCAGTGCTGTGGCTTAGCTCAGGGGTGAGGAACCTCCTGTTCCATTGGTCTAACTAGTTCCAATATAAGCCCCCCCCCAAAAAAAACCACCTCCCCTTTGCCAACTTGTCCTGCACCTGACATATGTCGTGTCAGGTGCAAAGCAGGTAAGGGTATGGCTCCAAAGGAACAACTAGGAGCTTAAAATGAGTTCCAGATTGTTCCTGTGCAAGCTGGCCTTCTTTGTTGATGGTGCCTTTTGGGTGCTCCCTTACTTTGCAAGTATAGATAATGATCTTATCATTGGTGCTTGCAAAGAGTTGTGCCTTTGACCACAACAGTTTGATTTCAAACTGTGTAGCTAAAGGAAAATGAGTCACCTGGCATTGTTGTATCATTGTGTGATTGACAATCCTATTTCTGGATCCAGTTCTATACCCGTTTCATCAGAATAAATTGGAAAACAGTGAATGCCCTTGAATATGTGCGGAGTCCTATAACTGGACTAACTATGGAGTAACTAGAGTCCTATAGTTGGGAATTTGGGGTGGGGGATAGATCTGCAGGTCAAATGGTGCAAATTCCCAGATCAGAATCCCTTATTTTGTGAACTAAGCATATGGATTTGTGCATGCACCATGTACTACAGTCTTGACTTCCCTGTATGGATTCTCTCCTACATCCCTTCATTTCCACCCCTGGATTTGTGTGTTGGGTAAAGAAAATAGCTGTGAGATTGAATTTGTAAAAGCATTGGCCTTTCCTGCATATATTCTCAGATATATCATGAGAACTTTTATTAGTTTTCATAACTAAAGATATTGACATTGGAGGAAGGAAGTTTGCAGGTACCTCCCAATATCCTTTCCAAAAGCATTGTTACATGGTGAGCTTGTATATATAATGAAGCTGAAAGGTCAAAAGTTTATTTATTTATTTTGGCCTGTAGTAGAATAGCCTTTTAGGAACTGCTATTTAAAAAATAGCAACAAGAAGCTCTCTATATCCAGTCCTTCCTATTCCTATACCGTCATACGGCTACAGAGAATGCCCTTTTTATGCATCTTGCTATTTTAACTTCATTTTCCAGTGTCTTCAACTGGTTGGCCTTATATAGTGTGAAAAATGAATGCTTGGCTTCAGTTTTAGCTTGCTTAATAAGCTAAAAATCACTGAAGGGCATAATTTACTGTGTTTGAAAGGATCTTTTAATAGAACCAGAGGCTCCGAATTGACAATGTTCAACAGGCAGCCCCCCCAAACATATGGCACAATGCATGGCCATTCACCCATATCAAACCTCCTCCATATCAACCCACACTATATTATGTTGAGAGCAGGTGCACTGCAGAAAGGTATCCGCAGAGCAAATAACTGAGTGACTCAGTTCCTATTTTTTATTCAGGAGCTGGCAAAGTCGTATTTTCTTCTGTAATGAGGTGTGTTTTGTGTGTGTGTGTGTTTGTGAGAGAGAGAGAGAGAGAGAGAGAGAGAGCGCCATATCAATTGCTGAAGGATGAGAGAATTTAGCATTAATAACAGTGCATCATAAAAGTCTTGTGACGTTTTTGTGGATTAGAGCCACTTCATTAGATATGTGGAATGTTATCAGATGGATGGGGTGGAGAATCTCTGGGGCTCCCAACTCCCATCAGCCCTAGCCAGCATGGCCCACGGTCCAGGATGATGGCAGTAATAGTCTGGAGAGTCACAGCTTTCCTGTCCCTGGTGCTGGGAAATAAATATGTTAGCTGTGAGGTCAGAGGCAAAGTGAAATGCAGTAAATTCAGGTAGTTGTGATTATGTTAAAGGATAAATGTATGTATAATAACGATGTATAATAGTTGTATTGACTATTCACCAAGCAGCGTTAAACGCAAATTATTTCATTTGTCAACACTTGTCAGATTTTTAAACAAAAAAACAATTTTCAGAGTGACATTCAACCATGTTGGTCTGCTTGTAGAAGCAGACTTCTCCTTCTTTTCCTCCCCTTGCAGCCCCCTGCATACCCCCAAAATCTGCTGCAGAGAGTTGGGGGTCTCGTTGACTCCTGCTCATTCAATTGAATATCTTTAATTGTGTGTGGTATATTTTAATTAAGCATCTTTAAATTAAAAATCAGTCTTCTTTCAGGCATCATGTAGTGTAATCTTCTGTGAGATGAGATTACACACACATTTAATGTTGTCCCAGGCAGCTGTTTTTTTAACCCAGTTATGGTTAACATAGCGCCATTTGTCATGCGGACATGGGCCTAAACTGAACCAGTTCAGATGTCTTATTGACCAAAGTATGCCCCTTGTTTGTGCATATTCTCCCTCCTCCCCACACACCCCACCCCAGTGCTGGCAATAAATGCATCCTTTGGCTGAAACAGTCTCCTAGTGTGGCTTTACTGGGCATTCTGGAGTATGTAGTTTAAACTATGCATTAACACCCGGAATGTTGGGCACCAGTATTTTGCTTTCTAGGTACATAACTGGATTTGCAGTGTGGAAAAAATGTAGTCTTTTTGTGAGCCTTTTCAGAAAATGTAGCAGTCCTATTTCTCTACTTCATCTCCCTGTGAATGAAATATCTTTAAGTAATAGAAATTTCCAGAAGGCGAGGGCGGGGCAATCCTTCTTTTAGCCAGTACAGTGATACCTTGGTTTACAACCATAATCTGTTCCGGAGGTCCGTTTGTAAACCAAAACAGGTTGTAACCCAAGGCGCACTTTCGCCAATGGGGCCTCCAAAAATTTTTTGTTCATAATCCAAAAAAAATGAGTTGTAATAAAAAAAAATGTTCCAAACCGGGACACACACTTCCTCGTTTGATGTGTTTGTAAACCAAAATGTATGCAAACCAAGGTACCACTGTATATTTGAGGCTGGAGGCTAGGATTGAAAAATTCTTGTTAGATCAGATTGCAATGACCTTCAAATGCATAAGCATTGGTATTTCTCTTCTGGTTCCATTCAGTGGTTCCTGTAAAGAACTGGTTCAGTGTATTTGCCCCCAAATTTGAATAGATTTCCTGAACAGAATGTTTTGAATTAGTTTCAGACTTGATGTTGTTCACTTATATAAAGTTCTGCTTCGTTCTCTCATAGTGTCATGCTTGCCCATTATCATCATCATCATTATTATAATTATTATTATTATCAATTTTATTCTTTACTTCCTAAACCACTGTCTGAAGGTTAGCTACATATAAAGTGATTAAAAACAGTTAAAAACACAGACACATTTAAAACAAGTCTACAACCCTAACAAGTGGGCATGAGGTAAAGATCCATTTATCCAGCTGGCAAAGCCTTTCTGAACAAAAATACCTTCAGCCATTTCTGGAAATGGCAGATAGTGAGCTTCCATCATATCTGTTTCACAGAACAGGGGCAGCCACACTAAAAAGCCCTGCTGTGAGGTACTGCAGAAGAGGCTTTTGAGACCTTTGGAAGTTGCAGGAGAAATTCTCCTGCAGACTGCAGCGATCTACTGGGGAAAATGGATAAGGCTGCCTCTCAAGTGCCTTTTACTTCTGCTGGTGCCAGGCAACCATGCTCTCTTAACAGGGTTTTTTGTTGTTGTTAGGATGTGGTCTGTATACCCAGATATAAAAATATATTCATTGTCTAATTTGGCTTAGGTAGGTTGAATATTCCTGGTGTTTTCATCTTGGAACCGATTGGCGATTCTACTGATGTATGGACTATGCTGCTGCATAACTGATTTATTGACTTAACTTGCAGAGTCAGTCTCCGAAGTGATGGCGTGTGCAACTATTTTCAAGACTGTTACACATAATTGAAGCCTCCTGCCTTCCCATGCTTATATGCCTCCCACCACCTATAAACAACAGAGGTGTCAGCAGATTTGGGAAAACCCCAAAGTTTGTAGGTACTTAACTCCCTCCCAACCCACCTTTGCCCCCCCCCCTTAAAGCAACTGCATGAAAACTCAATGGGTCATTTGTTGCTGTTCATTTTTTCTGTGGGGGAGCATCATGTAATCCTGCGAGGAGAATTGGACTGATTGTTTCTCCCACCTCCTACTGCCCAAACATAGTGCTTGTCTCCTCATCCGTTGCATGTGAGAACTAGCCCTAAGTGGGCATGTTGTAAATGGGTGTCAGCCAATTTACACCTGAAATTTTTATCCTTAGCTTGGACAGTTGTGGAAGAGGAAATGTGCCTTGCTCTGACTGTATATTCCATCTCTTACATACTGTAAGGGCCAAACTAGATGAGATGCCATTCACACAATTGTTTAAATAGCTTTAAAAAGTACATAGCAGACTTGAGAGGCTCATGAACCATATTAGGACTCTGGGGAGTAGGGGGATGTTAACCCTTTGCTTCCTGCTGTGATTCTGATCTGGATCTGGGCCTCTACACCTGCTATCTGCACTGGAAGAAAGGCTTCCTTTGTTACAAATTGGGGCTTTCGTCCAATACCCGTCCACTCCATGCAAAAAGAATAACAACAGAACAAATCCAAACATCCAGTTCTTATCCCTGGTTGTTTAAAAAATAGCAGCTGTGGATTCAACTTGTTCTTTGTTCACTTTTTTCATCTGTTTGGTTTCTGTGTTTAACAATATTTTGCCTATACCTGAAGTGCCTCTCAGTTCTAGAGTGCTTTGTGCAATATAACACAGTGTGATTGAGGTTGTGGGTAGAGGAAACCTGTGGTTCAAACTAATAGACTGAATATACTGCAGTGAAAACTTTTCCTCTCCCGTAGTTCAGCGAACAACTGCACATTTTTGTAAATTTATCTGTTAATTTTTCCCCCCATCTCCATCCCTGTCCACCCCCCTGAACACACACCTCAGCTTTGTTTGAGAACTTGTGGAGTGTGGGTGGCTAAGGAATTTCATTTCTCTTCAGTGACTCACCACCAGAATGATTCACTTGTGTATGGAGAGAAAAACGACCCTGAGAGGCAATTAAGTGGCAGGCTGTGCTCAGAATGCTTCGACTGTGTGGCATACGCACAAACCCGTGCCCCTTTCATTTCTGAAAGCTGCTACCCTTGCCTCTGTTGCTCTCCTACCTCTGTGGCGGAGGTATGCCCTAGTGAGCGGGTTGTGCATCACTTTCCTTAAGAGGTGGTGGCCATGTACATCTTTGAGAGGCATGTTGCTGATCGCACTGCAGCATTCTACCAGATTTAGCAAGCTGAGGTGTTTGCTAGCAGCCCAAGCACAGACCTGACCCCAAGGTTTGCAGAAGTACAAAAAGAGTCTGTAGATGAGGGGGAGGACCCATAAAAGATAAAAACAGTGGATACAGTAGGATGACTGTTGGGAGGGGTGAGGGAACTAAAAACTGGTCAAAGCAGAAGGGAATGGCGTATCCTGGAAAAAGGGCATATCTGGCTGGCTGGAACCGTGAATAGAAGCTTTCAACAATGCCACCTTTTGTTGCACTTGCCAAGGGTAGATTTTAAGATTAAGATATACTTGATTTCAGAGGAATCAATTGCCTTTGTTTCTGCCTGAGCCACTGTCCTGGGCATTTTTTTCCTGATTGGAAGGTGGCAGAGCCAGAGCAGTAACGCATGCAGCATTGCATAAAGCAGCCTCCGTTGGGGAGTTCTGTCATGATCTGATGTGATCAGGCAGATAGTGGGACTCAGTAGAGTTGCCTGGTCTCTGTGGCGGCTAATTAGAAGGAGGCAAGGCCAGAGCAATGAGTCATGCAGGCTCCCAGCAGGCACTGTCCGCTGTGAATGGCTGCTTTGAGTTCATAGCATCCAGCAAAATTATTTCACAAATTTATTTCTTTGTGGCAGACGAGTATTCCTTGGTGCAAAGTTTGAGAGTTGCACTAGGTTAGAATAGTGATGAGGGTATTAGTCTTAAAAAGTTTGATTCTCAGCTCTGACCATGATTGTCACAGATTCGCCCCTCTGCAAGGTGTCAGTTCTTTCTCAGTATCAATGCTGGTTTTCTTCCCAAGTGGTGAGCTTCCAGCACAAACAGCATGGCTGACTAGCAGGACTATGGGATTTGGAGTTCAACAGCACCTGGAGGGCCACAGGTTAGATACTCCTGCTCTAATGGGTTTTAGGTGCTCCCTGGGGTCATATGCAGAGGAAATTGAAGAGCACTTTCCCCAGGACAAATAATGTCAAATGGTAACACTGCTGTTTATAATGCAGTTGTACTGAAAAGGGTGAAAGAAAAGGAGAAATATATTGCTATATAGCTGGCAGGTGTTTCTAGCTTGCCACATTTGCCATGTAGGCCCCAAATAGTACAGTAGCGTCTTGACTGGCAAGCATCTTGTGGAGATAAGTAGATAGACCACTGGTCAACTTAATTCATTTTTTTAAAAAAAATCCTTTATAAATATATGAATTCTCTTAATACATGTAACATAATGTCTTTACCCCCTTAAATCTGTTTTCCCCTCCACTGCCCTGCCAGTGACATTCTACAGATGATAGCCATTTAAGACAATTTAAATAAAAAGTTCTGAGAAGAAACTTCCTTATTTCCAGAGAAGACATCATCCTTCTCATTAAACCACCCCAACCCCGAAATGTTGACAACACATTTTAAAATCTTGCAGTGGGCTGTCTCTCCCTCCAAGAACACACTTCCTTTTATAGTATCCACATAGTGTTATTTTTACAGCCTTCAGCCTGGAGCTATTTCCTGTTTCCAATTATTTAGTTACACGCCAAAGCCCCTCTCTTTCTCCTCCTGGCTTCCTTGCCAAGTTTGCCAAGGCATTATTGTCATTTCAGTGAGACGACGCCAGTGCTGAGGTTTTAATGGGCTGTGAGCAGGAAGTTTAGCTATTTCCTCTGCCTGTGAGGCCATGATGTCATGAGCTGCTATGGGGCTCTTTATCATATGCTGCTGTTGCTGTGGTCTGTGTGGAAAGAATGTAAACAGTGCTTTCCAGATGTTCCCAGGGAAGCTGCGGGTCCATAAATGGGCCATTTTGTTCAGGAATATTATAAATGAGGGGAAAGATGAATCAGGCTGTAAAATATGTATAGCTCTGAAAATGTCAGATGCTACAGACTTTGTTGAGGTGATAAAGTCCTCGTGTCTCTCTGGTTGTGTGTGTGATCTGTTTGTAAGGAACCACACACGCATACAATTGTGTCATGCTAGAAGGCTGAAAGTGATTCTTTTTTCCAGTCTGATTAAACTCTTCACACCGAAGTGCTTTCAGATGCAGGGCTCTCTTCTGATACCTAAAAATGGGATCTTGTGTTTGGAACCAACATGAATTGAGTAAGCTATCTCCAGCTGTCCATTCTACTGCCATACTGTTACAATGTTTATAGATCAATTTCTGTGGCTTGCAATGGATAAAATACTGCTAAAAACAGCAGAACAAGAAAATATACAAGACCCATTTAAAACAGTAGAGGCTAATAGCATCCACTGATTACCATTTCAGCTTGAAATTCTTCCTGGAAGCAACCAAAGAGCTACACTTACATTTCATAGGGGTTGCCTGGGTGGGTGGTGGTAGATTATTACACAGTCTATAGACCAGAGCTGTCTTGGGAAAGGGATTGATTGTCAGGTCTCTCTCCTCCGGTTAGTCAGGGTTTGAGAGTGAGACACAGTTAAAAGAATAGGAATTCTCCCTCTCCCTCACTCAGTTTCCTTCCCGTCAAACTTTAGCTAGTAGTAATTGCAAACTAGTTCACTTACATAACTGAGTGAAAAGATGTTTTTTGCGCTCTGGTGTAAAATGAGAAATGATGTTGTTGGAAAACTTAATGGAAAAATTCTAAGCATCATTCAGCTCTGTTGACTGTGTATAGTGAAATGCTCCACCTGTTTTATAGCATTTTTGTATGTGTGTTTTTCCAGGCTTGACATCTACAGGAAGGTGCCAAAAGACCTTACGCAGCCAACTTTTACAGGAGCAATTAGTAAGTATCCGTGTGCGAAATCTCTGCCTTTGCAAATCTCTGCTCGGTTCCTTTTTGCTCCTTGATTTAAACAGTATGATTTCCCCTCTACAGGTCATTACCATAATTCAGCAGGTTTGTAACACAAAAGCTTGCTGTGATTTTGTACTGAATGGCCAATAAGATAAGTGGAAGAGCCAGCATGGACGCCCAGGCAGTACATTGGTCTCAGACCTGGGAGACCCTTCTGAATCGTGCCATGTTGGGCGGCTTTTGGAAAGTATTTTGGATGCTGGGGTGAAAGCAACTAAGTTCCTCCCAGAAAATTAAACTCAAAGTAGAAGGCTGTGTAAGAAAAGCCATATTGCTGTTTATAGCTAGAAAGTGACAGTCAGAGTCCCTTTTTTGTCCCCAGCCTTTGTCAGCAGATTGCATGGTTTGGGACTGACACCCTCTTCTCTTGGTACCTCGTCTCCTTTCTTCTTTGCAAGGTTAAATATTATTGGCTGAGTAATGCAATTTCACACCATCATTGCTAGTGAGCATGTTGCATGTATCAGTATACACATTGAGTTGATCCTGCCAAGCCTGTAATTAGATGCCTATTATTGCTTTCCTGTTACACACCTGTTTCCTTTAACTGTGTAGGTGAACCCCAAGTTTACTTACTCCCCTAGTTGGGTTCATTAGCCCTGTATATCCTTGCTGATGCAGACAGAATCACATCCCTAGAACTTAGTAATGCTGAATCATTAAGGAAGCAATATGAAATAGCATAGAAGAGTCACTTGACAGAAGATGAGATGTTCTACCAAATATTTAGTGGTGACAGGCCATTTTATGTTAGAATGTCACTGTCTGCTCCCTTTCCTCCTCTAAAATTTAGATTGCTGCTTTCACCATACTGCAACTGTTCATATGTATCATATGGTTTAGGAGAAGAACATTATTTGAGTTACTGCTTCACATAATGTGTCTATGCTGTGGTTAGGAAGACAAATTCCAGACCTGTTATCCGTGATAAGTGCTAGTTGTAGTGAGACCCTCCAAACTGATTAAGGTGACAGGAAGGGAGCATACAGATCCCTATTTTACTTCTGCACCCAGTCCCCCCAACAAACCAAACCAACCCCCAAAAGGGACGTCTGCAGTGTTGGCAGCAGTGGTGCTGTGATGGCAGCCACAATAGTTGCTGCAACATCTTGGCTGTTTTGTTTTCCTCTCATTTTTTTTACAGAGCAGGTGCAAAGTTCAAGACAGTTGCACTGACTACCTTTATTTTCCAGTGTGCCAGATAGTACTAGTGAACATGATTGCCTGGAATTTTACTCCTCGAGAGTGCAACTGTTTTGTGAAATGTTTAAAAGGAAAAGGGGGGAAAGAGGAGAGGCTGTTGCTCATGTAGTGCTGGCATTTAAGGGCCCCTGGGCTGTAGGACTCTAAACCAGTGCCCCATAGTCACTATTGGTCAGCAGTGGTTAATTCAACCTTGGGTTGCTAACATGACAACCCTTTTTATTTCATGCAAAGTAATTTCACTGTTCCCTTCTGCACAGATGAGAGCACTTATGGAGTACTCTATCCAATCTTGGGAGCACAGGTCATGGCAAATAAAGACAAATGGGAAATGATTCTTCTGAGGACAGCCACCAAGATGATTAAGGGTGTAAAAGACTAATCCATTGAGGAAAGGAGTGACCTATGCTCATGACCATATATGAAAAAGGGTATCTGAAAGAAGAGACGTTGTTCACTCTCTGAGGAGAATGGGGTTGTTCAGAAGGGTGTTCTAAATGGCAGAGCAATTCAGCAAAGGAGCAGGATACATAGGGATAATGCAGAATATTTGTTTCATTGGAAAGATTGGAGTGGAGACTTGATTAGAGTAGATGGTCCACAAATCCCTCCCAGCTCTGCCATCCTTTAAACTATGTGCTCTTGGCAGGCAAAGCTGAGCTTGAGACATAAATCTGGGAAAGCTGGGACTATCCTTGAGGATCTGAACCTTTTAGCGTGTGATCACTCTAGACAGCAGATGCTTCCATCAAATGTAACACCATACAGTGGTGCCCCGCAAGACGAATGCCTCGCAAGACAGAAAACCCGCTAGATGAAAGGGTTTTCCGTTTTTGAGTTGCTTCGCAGGACGAATTTCCCTATGGGCTTGCTTCGCAAGACGAAAATGTCTTGCGCGTCTTGAGATTTTTTTTTCGCTTCCCCCCCCCTTTATCTAAGCCGCTAAGCCTTTAATAGCCTTTTAGCAGCTAATCCGCTAAGCCTTTAAGCCTTTAATAGCTGCTAAACCGCTAATAGCGCTAATCCGTTAAGCCGCTAATAGGGTTGCTTCGCAAGACGAAAAAACCGCTAGACGAAGACACTAGCGGAACGGATTAATTTCGTCTTGCGAGGCACCACTGTAGTTCGTGAAGGGGAGATGCATAGCATCTCAGCAGTGTACAGATTGCCCCCTTACATGTTTATAAACACACCCCTGTCCTCTTCATCCTTTACAATGTTCATAAGACCAGCATATCTGCTATGTACGTAAGAAGTTAGCTGACCAGTCAAGTACTTAAATGTTCCTTTCTCATTAGCTCTGCAGTAGGAGTTCTGCTCTGCAGAGATGGCAAAGCCACATTCTTGTGCTAAACCGTTTTTGCACAAAGGCTCAGCCTTCAGTACATGGGAAGCTGCCTTCTGCTTATTCATAACATTGGCTCATCTTGGTCAATATTGTCTAGATCAGTGTTTCTCAAGGTTGGGTCTCCAGCTGCTGTTGGACTACAACTTCCATCAGCCCTAGCTAGCAGGACCAGTGATCAGGGATGAGGAGAGCTGTCGTACAACAACAGCCGGGGACACAAGCTTGAGAAACACCGCCTACATAGGCATCAGATTTCTCCAGGATTTCAGGCAGGGGTTTTTCTCACCTTACCTGCAGGTGCTGGGGTTGAATATGAGATCTTTTGCATGCAGAGCATGTGCTCTACCACTGAGCTACAGTCACGTTCCCTTCCTGTTCTGAAGGAACTGTATAACTGTCCATTAAGAAGGTGGCATAAATCAGCATTGCTGGAGAGCCCTAAATATACTTGAGGTTTCACAACTGATACCGAGTAGTTTAGGTACTACTTTATGGGGTTTGGGGGGGGGGAGCCTATTCCTAAAAGATTTTTTCAAAGCAGGGAATCATTTGCACCAACAGCCCATTTCTGTTGTAGAGTAACTTGCATGTGTCAGCTGCCGAATGCCTTCCAGATCAATGCAGTGTGTAACTCTGCCAAGGTGCCCATGTTTGGAAATGAAGCATACAGTGACATGGGCCCTGGCATGTGACAGTTAGTATCCCACTGGCATGAGCGATATGACATATTGACAGAAGCAAGCAGTTCAGAAAGTGGCTCTGTCAATCTCACAGTTTAATACCAGAGATTAATCATTATAGTGCACTGGTTTGAGCATCATAATGAACTATACACACAGATCCCACTTTACGAACACAATGCAATCCCTGGAAATCATTCACTAGGTGAGCGTTTGCATGACGAGTCAACAATTTTCGTTCGCATAATGAATTGACAATTTCCATTGGTTTCTGTGGGGAAATTTCTAATGCGTACCTACTCATGGAATCTGCAATGCATATAGCAAGGGTTGGGTACTAATTTGTTGCATTCAGTTAAGTGAATTTTGGCACAGTGAGCGTTCATAAAGCATGGCCTTTATGTAGTTAAAACAAATTATAATTTAACGCGAGCAAGCAGTGTAGTGGTGCACACAGCTCAGAAATTCCCCTCACACTTCTCCCTGGTCCAGTTGCATCATATGTAAACTGCCCTGTTGTGTCTCTTGCTTTTTTTTGTCAGAGACTAAAAGGCTCTCTGGGAAGTAAGAGTGACTGCTTAAAAAACAGCAGTGCTTCTTAATCCACAATAGTGAACATTTACTCATATAGAATCTCTCTGGATTCATGTTCTAAGCCACCACCCCTTGCAGACTCGGTTGCCCAGACAAACAGCCTACTCACAGCCCTTAAGTTTTCCCACTTTTTCTGGGATGAGCATGTCTCTCTCAATGAAAACGTTCCCCTTTATGCTGAGTCCAGCAGTAGCTCAGAATTCCTTCTTGATTCTTCTGAATTATATGTAGGAAGAATAACTGCCTTTGTCCTTTGGGCCTAGAGGCACTGGAAGTTTAGTGGTTTTAAAGCCACTTTTCCACATTACAAAACCATTTCTTGTGTACGAAAAGCTGCTAAACAAGCATTAATGCCTTTAGGATCACCAGTGATGATGATGTGTACTAATCTCTGGGGTGTGATACATTGTGATAAAGTGTTGTGTAGGCAGATTTCAGTTCAGCCAGCCTGAATTGGTCCTTGCAATCCTTGTAGGAGTACAGCAGCATGCCTGTTCCTGCAGTAGAATGAAGTGTTGCAATGAAGTGGTTATCTGCATATAATCTGCCTCTAGCTTTTTAAGCCCCTGTGCCTGAGCATGGTGCAGTTGCGTAGCTGGGGGAACTGCACGTTCAGTCACAAAGAGGTAGATAACGCTTGTACCTGCAAAAAAGCCAACTAAAGGGAGCCGTGCAGTCGATCTCTCATTTTGTATGTGTTTTATTTGCCTGCTGTGTCCCATTCCTAGAACTATTGTTCTGTACTAGAAGGAACAAATGTTCATGTATACGAGGAAATTTTCTCCCCTTTTAAAGGATTTGTCTTCACAAAGTGCAGGTCTGCTGCCTCTTAAATGGTCTGTGTTCTTAAAAAGAGGAAATGCCCTCAACTATCAATTACCCAAATAAATTTGCAATAATTATGGCCCTTTAAGAACATGGGATTTTCCTCCTCTGTCCCTTTTGGGCTTGTGGCAGCTAATAAAGCTGATTTATTGTAGAACTGACATTCAGCAATATCTATCTATCAGCTATCTCCAAGTTAGGTTTAATGCAACTAAGTCATTTAAAAAGGCTTTTTAAGTCAATACAACTTTACTCTGGTATTAGTGATTGAATGCGTTATTTATTTTATTTAGAATTTTATCCACATGTCTGCCCCATGTAAAGTGTGGGAGGTGAATTTATTCTTTACATCAACCTTCATCAACCCTCCAGACATTTTAGACTACAGTTCCCATCAGCCCAAGCCATCAAGGCCAGTGGTCAGACATGACTAGAGTTGTATGATCCAACAATATCTGGAGGGCACCAGATTGGAGTTGACTGCTTTGCATGAAGAAGGGCACACCGGGAAGCGGAAGCAAAACCCTGTTTCCTCCCTCCCCTTCACTTTGCTGTGCTCCATTGTTTTAAAGAGATTTTTGCCCTGCATCCCTTTCCCCCATGTGTTCATTTTACTGTACAGATGATGCCCCACCACACTGTGAATGGGGCATGTGAATGGGCCAAGTATGTTGACACATTTAGTTCCTTAAAGGGAAACATGACTTCTAGCCAAAAGAAAAATTACTGTATTTTTCGCTCCATAAGACACACTTTTTTCCTCCTAAAAAGTAAGGGGAACCGTCTGTGCGTCTTATGGAGCGAATGTGTGGTCCCTGGAGCTGAATTCCCCCGGGGGGGGGGGGGACAGTTCATGCTCTTTTTTTTTAGAAAGAGGGAAGTGGGTGTTGAAACAAAGCCGCTGAGCAGCTGATCGGCAAGTGATCAGAGGGAGATAAGGGACTCTAGTGATAAAGGAGGCTGCCTGGGAGAGGGGAGGTAAATCACATGGATCCTCAGGATTTTTGCATTGGGTCACCCCAAATTCACCATCAGATCACATAGCATGTCCATGGCTATAGCCGGCACCAAAAAAATCACACATCCACTGTTTCGTTCAGAATATTTTTTTTCTTGTTTTCCTCCTCTAAAAACTAGGTGCGTCTTATGGTCGGGTGTGTCTTATGGAGCGAAAAATATGGAAGTTTCTCCCCACCCACCTCCACCAAATATGAGATGGTGTGAGGAAGAAGGTGGAAAAAGCCGTAAGATGGCTTTGGGAAGTGAAAATTGGGCAGGGCAGGCACTGTGATACAGGTTGGTGTTACACTGTGAGGAGGAAGAGACTTAGATGGAATTGAATATAGAAGAGAAATAATAGATAGATGTGCAAGAAGGGCATTCATTAAGGGGGGAGAATAGTATGGCTTTCAACAGATTCTGTTCTTTGGTGCTAGCTTAGCTTTTATTTGAGAGACTGTGTCATTTATATCATGTCATGCTTTGCTGTGCCTGAGGGCTTGCATCCCTATCAGAGATCTGAACTTTCTTGTCTTTCTGGCAGTTAGAAGGAGCCTGATGAACCAGTTTGGGCTGCTTTGAACACAGCTTTTTCCGCTTTTAACCAGCCTAAAACAAACCCCTGTATTCAGTACAGATGAAGTCTTAGGAGAATGTCACCCTATGCCTTTTTGTTCCTCCTTTGTGTGTCTTTACTGTGGGTTGGCCACTATAAAACTGGATTTTTTCTTCCTCTTAAATCTCTCTATTTTGAGGGCCCCTTAATTTGTATCTCCTACTCTCATTGTGTCCTCCTTTCTCTTTCTACCTACTACTACAAGTTCTAAAGTTATGGACATGGCCTTTCTCCAGCTGTAATAACTATTTTACATTGATCACACATCAGTAGGCTCCTTTTAAAGTCCCTTGATAGTAAATTCTTTCCCTTGCAATAATTTGAGGAGCAATGAGAGATTTCCCCCTCAGACACTCAATTCCTGAGGCTATGCATTTGCCTTCTGTGTAATTCCAGATTCTGGGGAAGGCGACTCTAAATGTATTTGCTATGTGACTTGAAAGAATTATTGACAACATCCTTTCTTGTTTCTTTGGAATTTTGTGGTGTGTTTTGGCATAACAAAAAGTAAGAGACGAGGGTGATGATCAAAAAGGTTACATTACAAGAATGGGGAAAGGGGCAAAATCTGATAGAGGGGTGTTGTTTGGCCATTGCTTGAAAACTTGCCCTAGAGCTCTAGGCAGTGAACAGAGGATTGACAGGTCACAGAAAGCAGAAAGTAAGAGCTGCCAGAACTCTGGATTCAGTTTATGGAAGCAAGCATCCTCCCAGGCAGCCTTCTTCAACCTGGGGTCCTCCAGATTTGGGCTACAACTTCCATGAGCCCCGCACAGCATGGCCATTGGCTTGAGATGGTGGCTGCTTCCCCCACCACCTCCGCCCCAGCTGGATGTGCATTCTGTTTTGTTTTGTTTTAAATGATATTTATTGAGAATTTTTTTTAAAATTACAGGGGGGGGAAAGAAACAAGACAAAAAAATAAAAATAAAAAAATAAAATAAAACCATCATTCTTCAATTCTCCACTTTCAATACCTTCTTTCCTTGACCTCCTCCTCCTCCCTTTTCCTGTATCCTGATTTATAATAATCACAGCAAATCCTTTCCATAATTCATAATATGTGCATTCTGATGTATGTCTACAGATCAAGCCTTAGAAAGAAATCAAGAGAAAGTAATGCAATAAACTAAAAGCAGATAAACAATGTCAGGAGTAATGTAAAAAGACTGTGCTTATAGATTATTTTTGTCTGTTTTTGCCCTTTTGTTTTGAAGCATTTTATTTGCTTTCATCTTTTGCTGATTTTTTATTTGTTTAAAAAGTAATTCTATATTATGACCAAATTAGTTTTTATTTATACTTTTGTACACTGCCCTAGAATCTTTTAATGAAATACTTTTAATTATTATTTTTAAACACTACTAGAGCAGATCAACCATAAACTATGGACGTAATCCAGATTCAATGACTTTACCTCCGAAGAGCAGGCAAAAGCCATGATAGAATGCAGAAAATGAATGGGAATGGTCCGTGCAGGGCATTTACCCCTTTTTCTTGTCTGAGACCAGCTGTGTTGATCAGCCTTACAGGAAGTTGTGTATGACTGTAAACTCCAGGATGAATTGGAGTTGAGGGGAAGGAACCTTCCTGGAAAGGATTTCCCCCCCTGCCTCCATCCCCAGCTACTTTTCCTATCCCTCACAGACGTGCCCTTTTGGTATATCTAAGAAGGGGAGATTTGGATCATGCCCCTAACCCTTGATATGTATGGTTAAGAAACAGCAACAAAACAGGTGCCAAGCTTCACAGTTTCATGGCCTGTCTTACATTGTGGCCTTTTTATTTTCCCCAGGATTTTTGTTCTTAAATATTTTTAGTGCTCTTTGGATCTGTTGTGTAAAGATCATTCTCTGTTGCTAGTTTTATTGTATGTTAGATAATTTTCCTTATTGCATTGTCATATTTTATGGCTTCATTTTTCTTCCCATGTAAAACCACCCTGAGAACCTTTGGTATTGGGCACTTTGTAAACACTGAAGATTTAAAAAGAAAAAAGAAAAGAATTTTGACTTCCAATGCATATTTATTTGAAACTGCCAGATGTAACTCTGGTTTTTAGGCTTGTATAGTCATGGAAGTCATCCCAAAATAGGAATTGCCAGCCTTTTTGAGTCTGGTCACATTTGGAAAAACTTTCCTGGGGGCTGCATGTACCACAACGAAGCACATACCTCAACCTCTTCTATTGACTACAACAGAATACTTACTTCAAACCTAATTTCAGGGGGGAAGGAATGAGAGAGGAGACACCGCAGGCATCCAGGAAGGCCTATTGAATTCATAGGGAGTTGGTCTATTCAGCATGGCTACTAACTGTGACAGATTGGAGCTTCCATTTTTCTATCTCTGAATGCTAGGTGCTGGGAATAAACAACAGAAGAAGCCTACTACCTTCATGTCCTTGTAAATTTTCCAGAGCCATCGGGTTGGTTGCTGACGCAAAACAGATTACTTGGCTAGATGGCTCTTTGATGACCATGTTCTTCTAACCTGAAACCAACCCTGGAGGAAAGACTGGATGGGGGAGTGGATTGATTTAGACAGTGTTTCCCCCTCTAAGCCATCTTCCTCCACTGACACATGACTCACCCAGGGGTTGTGCTGGTATGCTTTCTCTTTCTCTGACTGCAGGCCAAGCAGAATGAACATGAACTGAGTGACAACACAAAGGGTGGAAGGGAGAACAGTTAGCCAAAGTGCTTACTTTTTCTGCAACCATCTCTCCCTCTCTGTCCTCCTTCAGTCTTCCAAGCAGAGGTGACCAGCATGAGCCCTGCTGTGGGAAAGTCAAATGGCAGCAGGACGGGGTTGGACATAGTGCTTAGACACACTGCTTTAACCATTCAGCTCCCTTCATGGGTCTTGAGAGCCCAAGATCAGAATTTGCTTTAGATGCAGATCTTTAATTCCTGAACTGCACACAGGTGACAAACGGACAGGAGGTGACTTTAATCACCTGTATCTTTAGGGGTGCTTTAAACCCCTTCTCTTGGTTGGTATCATTGTGTATGTGGTTTCAATACATATTTAAATATTTGCCGTATATACATCTAATAAAGATGTTTTAAAATATTTTTAATTTAAGTGTAAATTACAAAATCACATATATGTCATCTGCACAATTTTAAAAGTCTACAAATAGGACCTAATTATAAGACATTACCCATTTACTGTGGTTTCTATAACATCATTTATAAATAATCCAAATTCAGTTAAAACTGTCAATAACTTAAGATAAATATAGAAATTGAAATATGTATCATAGTAAACATCTATATATTGCAGGAGAAAGTTTCTGTATTGTCCCTTAGCTCTGTAAGAGAGATTTCATCTTGGCAGGCATTATTAGAAGTAAATCTGGCATAGTTCATTTGGACAAATGGCTGTGTCCATTATTTTTTTCCAGATTTGTCGTGTCATTGCCAAGCTAACAGCACTGTGATGATACACAGAGCAAAGTTTAGAGAAAGAGGCCCTGCCTATGGGGATTGGCTGAATGGTGGAATGCCCTGTCATCGTGACTGAAGAACAAACAAATAGGGTCACCCTCTCCTTAAGCCCTCCTCCCAATACTATTAGTCTATCGTTTTGTGGCATTTCTTGCCTGCTTTTTCCGTGGTGATTCAGCATGGAGTCAGAATGTAGAGAATGTTTGCTTTAATTCATCAGTAAATACCAACCCTGCCCCTTTTAGTTACACCCTTAACACTTGCGGCTTCCCTCCCTCAGGGCAGGTTATTGCTTTTTAGAGACTGCTTTTGAAGAACGTGAAGTACTTTCTGGCAGGGATATCCAATAATATTTAAAAACCTGTCCAAAAACCAGAGAATTGTGGTTTCTTCCTCAGCAGAGATTTTATTAAATTAAAATTTGAAAGTGATACGATTTAATCAGAGTTGTGGTGACCTGCGTGATGTCTAGCTTGTGGTGAACTGTGGTATATGCAGCAGTCCCATAAATCACCATGGGTGTTCAGCACTCCATTTTATGGCAAAAATAGCACATATGAGGCACGATTAGTTGCCAAGGGAAGTGCAAAGGTGTACATGTGCTCTAAGCAAGTCAACTTCATAAGAAAATAAACTATTGATTAGTATAAATGTGCTTTCACACTACAGTGGTACCTTGGGTTACAGACGTTTCAGGTTACAGACTCCGCTAACCCAGAAATAGTACCTCGGGTTAAGAACTTTGATTCAGGATGAGAACAGAAATCATGCAGTGGTGGCAGCAGGAGGCCCCATTAGCTAAAGTGGTACTTCAGGTTAAGAACAGTTTCAGGTTGAGAACGGACCTCCAGAAGTTCTTAACCCGAGGTACCACTGTATACTTTTTTGCCTGCTATTGATACCATTCGTTCTCTTGGGCGCCACTGAGGAACTAGACAGCTCCTCACAAACTGCTGCATTCCTGTGTTCTCCTTTCTGTGCTGGTTTATCACACTTGTAAAAAAATTTTTAAAAATCTGTCACAGAAAGAAACCCACCACCGCTGCAGTGGCAATTGTCCCTCCTCCTACTAGTGCAATTGTCTCTCCTACAGAGCAGAGGCTGGTGACTTGACTACTAGACTACTGGTTTCAAGGTGCTGATATTAACTTATATGTCTTGGGACTCTAGTACAGTGGTGCCCCGCAAGACGAATGCCTCGCAAGACGAAAAACTTGCTAGACGAAAGAGTTTTCCGTTTTTTGAGTCGTTCTGCAAGACGAATTTCCCCATGGGCTTGCTTCGCAAGACAAAACGTCTTGCGAGTTCTTGCGAGTTTGTTTCCTTTTTCTTAAAGCCGCTAAGCCGTTAATAGCCATTAAGCCGTTAATAGCCGCTAAGCCGCTAATAGCCGTGCTTCGCAAGACGAAAAAACCGCAAGACAAAGAGACTTGCAGAACGGATTAATTTCGTCTTGCGAGGCACCACTGTACCTAATGAGACACCTACTTCCATATCAACTTGTTAGTGATACAAGCAATCTTCTGAGGCTCTCTGCCCCTTGAATGCCTCTGCCACTGATGGTGAGGTGGCTGGTGACAAGGGGGAGGACATTCTTGACTGAGGTGCCCTGTTTCTAGAACTCCTCCAAAGCAGATCACTTGATACCTTATTTTTTACCATCTAGGTGCCAGGCAAACCCCATTTTATTTTCCCTGGCCATTTAACAACTGCAGTACATTGGTGTTTGATGTATTTTAAATGCATGGTGGTTTCTGTAATAAGCCCTAGTGTTTTTTACATGCTTTAATTTTGGATTCTAGTATGTTTGTTTTTATTATTTCATTTTCATTTCACTTTTAATTTGTTTGCCGCCTTTCTATATTATCATACACAAGGCTGTTTACAAGTGGAAGAAACAACCAAACAGACAGCAAAGATTTCACATCTAATAGCAACTTTCAAATAACTTTCAAATAAACAACATATCAGGTAAAGCAGTAGTCAATAATGCATTAGAATATAATAGTAAAGAGTAAAATTAAATATCAGCGAACAATAATTAAACAGTTTACGCTTAACAGTAACAATAAAGAATTACCAAATTATAATCAATAAAAATATTGGCAAGTCACAATCCATAAAATACTCCAAAACCATGTAAAAGGATCAAATTGAGAAACATGGGATTGCAAGCCATCCTGAAATTGTTTTGATGAAGGTGTGATGTACAGATTCTCAACTAAAAAAATGTGAAGAGATAAATTATCCTAATGGAACAGCAGTTGCTGGCAGAGACAATGGGTGAAATAAAGCTTCTTGGTTGAGGAGGGCTGCTTGACCCATCTTTTCCCCAGCCAGGGACAAGGCAACTAGTTATTTTCATTGTCCTTTTCTTCCCTGGACATTCCTTCACTGCCAGAGGAGCCACAACCTTCCTCCCTTTGGGTGCCTGGCAGACTGACTATGTGGACAGTAGGCGTGTCTTGAGTTGTGAAAGAGAAAGTGGCAAGGACTCATTTCCTCTTTAAAATCACATTGCCCCTTCCCTGTGTGGGGCTGCTGGGGGGAGAGAGAGATAAACTCTTTCTCTCTCATTTAGTGCCATTTTCAGTGTTTCTCTGCTGCTCTTCTAAAGACTCCAGCAGGTAGTAACAGCAGGTGGTTCTAGACAGCAGCAGCAACAAAAAGCATTAAAAACTTAAAAAAAAAATTATGATACCATAAACTAGGGTAGCAGAGCTCCAACAATGACGAAAAGTTTTTGTTTTGTTCTTATCGTTAGGAAGACCTAATGAGAACAATAATGCATGTAGACTTGCCTTCACTGAAGCGAACATGTAGGCAATATCTGTGGTTTATCCTATGTTAATGCAGAAACACCACCAGTAAGAATTTGGTAAGTTGCCCCTTTTCTCTGAGTTGAAGCGTTCGAGGGAGAGATGAAGGCAAAAGAAATAATAATGAGGCCAGCGGATGATATCCAATGTTAGCCATTCTCACAGCAGACCTGTTGAAATCAGTGGCCTGAGTATGACTTAGTTGGATATCACAGAGTGAGTATAGTGGATGATCTGAAAGGCAGGATATCCTGTTCAGCCATAATTCTCACCATGACGTTTTAGTCTAAATTGCTATCTTTCAGCCTAGCCTAACTCACAGGGTTGTTGTGATAATTTAAAATGGGGAAGAAGAGAACCCATGTATACCACCTCAAGCTTTGGAGGAAAGGTGTGATATAAATTATATAGATAGATGATAGATAGATAGGTCATTTTGGAGTTCAGGTGTGCATACACATGTGTAGAAATACTGTCAAATACTGTCTGGGGTGTTTAAATTAAATTAGCCATCCAGAGTGGCTGGGTCAAGCCAGTCAGATGGGCAGGGTACAACTAATACAGTGGTACCTTGGGTTACAGACGCTTCAGGTTACATACGCTTCAGGTTACAGACTCCGCTAACCCAGAAATAGTACCTCGGGTTAAGAACTTTGCTTCAGGATGAGAACAGAAATTGTGCTCCGGCAGCACAGCAGCAGCAGGAGGCCCCATTAGCTAAAGTGGTGCTTCAGGTTAAGAACAGTTTCAGGTTAAGAAAGGACCTCTGGAACGAATTAACTACTTAACCCGAGGTACCACTGTATAGTATAATGTAATGAAATGTAATGTAATGTAATACAATATAATTAGCTAACTTGTCTCCATATGTGTCTTTTCTAGTTTCTGTCTGCTGCTGTTTCTTCATATTGTTTCTCTTCCTGTCTGAGCTTACTGGATTCATAGCCACTGAAATGTAAGTACAAACTATTGTTGGCAATTCTCATGTTAAAAAGTGATTGGTTAAATAATAACTCAGTTTGCAGTTATGTTATATCTAAATCTGTGTTAAGGTAGGGCTGCCATACGTCCAAGAATTGGGCTGCAAAAATGACATCTGGGCAGATTTTTGCTGACTGGGGACAAGCAGTACTTACCTGACATGGTAAGCCTGAGGTTATCCAGGGAATGGATAAGCTGTGATGATGGTACCAGTTGCTGGAAACCACAGAAGAGGAGAATGCTCTTGTGCTTGAATCCCAGTTGCTGGTTTCCCACATCTGTTCAGTCACTGTGAGAGCAGGATGCTGGACTAGATGGGCCATTGACCTTATCTAGCAGACTTTTCTTATGTACAGTGGCACCTTGGTTGACGAACTTAATCCGTTCCAGAAGTCCGTTCTTAAACCAAAGCATTCTTAAACCAAGGCGTGCTTTCCTATAGCAACGGGGGACTCAATTTACAAATGGAACACACTCAACAGGAAGCAGAACACGTTCTGCTTCCAAGGCAAAGTTCACAAACCAAAACACCTACTTCCAGTTTTGCATCGTTCTTAATCAAAGTTGTTCATAAACTAAGCTGTTCTTAAACCAAGGTACCACTGTACTCCCTAATTTTGTCTTATGCCATGCCCCCATGGCAGCCATTTTGTGACTGCTGCCCACAGTACTTTCTCAAAATTCAACAGGTGTCTACTGGTTCAAAACGGTTGCTAACTCCTGGATTAGGCAAACCCATTGTCTGATAAAGATGTGTGTTGCTGACACAAGCTTGTCTATCTGGAGGGATGTGTGATATTTTCTGAAATTCAGAAGGAGGGAGGAAAACATCAGACCTGAAGTTGAATCAGAAGTGCTGGAGACTGGTATTCTGAAGCAGGGCTTGACAGTTAATTCAATGTAGATTATTTTACTTAACAGATGACCTCAGTCTTGTTGGATATATTTTGAGGGTCTACATATCTGGGGACAGTACAAGCTTATTGAAACTGAATTATCAATCATGTTGAAAAACCGAGAGAAACACTGGAGTACAAAATAATATATTCTGGTTGACAAGGATAGATAGGCTAAAAGCAGAAGAGCACTTCTGTCCTGTTAGGTCCTTCTTCAATATTTCTGGGGGCTGGGAATTGGGCATATAGTTTTGATGCTGATCATGGGTTATAGAATACTGCCAAATGTGGCTGTTCTGCAGTAACATACATATTGTAATAAATTATTTGAAATATATATATATTTTTAACCCAAACAAAAACTAAACCCCAAATCATGTTAGTTCTTTAGACTTTAATTTGTTGACTTCCACCTTCAAGTTCTCTTCCTACAAAACCAAAATCAGGTTCCATCAGTGACATTTAACATAAATGAATCCATCATGGGTAACACGTTACTCACTGGCATCCAGTGCTTATCATGATGAGTTCACTTTGTTTCCCGTGACACATAATTCTTTGGCTATTAGGCATTGATGAATTTTCCTAGAAAAGAGCACTTGAAGGGATAAACTGTGATGTCAAGCCTCTGAGAGAGATCCTACTCATTTGGGGCTTGATTATGGCTGAAATAAATACAGGAAGAAGGTGCTGTACTGTATGTTTTCCTGATTTCCAAATAAATACTGCACTTTATTTTTATTTTGTATTTGTATAATAGTGTGTTTCAGAGGTGATACTCCTTTTTGGTTTTTAAGTAAAGGTAAAGGGACCCCTGACCATTAAGTTCAGTCGTGGCCGACTCTGGGGTTGCAGCGCTCATCTCGCTTTATTGGCCGAGGGAGCCGGCGTACAGTTTCCGGGTCATGTGGCAGCATGACTAAGCCGCTTCTGGCGAACCAGGGCAGCGCACGGAAACGCCGTTTACCTTCCCGCCGGAGCGGTACCTATTTATCTACTTGCACTTTGAGGTGCTTTTGAACTGCTAGGTTGGCAGGAGCAGGGACCGAGCAACGGGAGCTCACCCCGTCGCGGGGATTCGAACCACCGTCTTTCTGATCGGCATGTCCTAGGCTCTGTGGTTTAACCCACAGCGCCACCCACGTCCCACCCTATTCTTAGTCCCAGTTTAATGAAGTTCCAGCATATAATGTAACAAATGGCATTGGATATGTTTTGAAGGCAGTTGAAAGTAAGTGTGAGGCTGAGCTTGGCATCTGGTAATTCGGCTCCAAGACAAAAAGGCAGCGTCTAGGAATTTGGCAAATCTATTGTAGTTGTCATTGGGCACATTTTACTGCATGTCCCTCTAGGAAACCTTGGCATTTTATTGGTACATATGATCTTTTTGCAACTGGAATGAAAATTGGAAAGACTAACGAGTATATGGTAGTTTGGAATATCAGCCTTGGGAGCAACACATACCAATCCCCCAACTCATTCCGTGTCTCACATCTGTAGGAAGAAAGGAGAAAGCACAATGACCAATATCACGAGAGTATTGTGAGGCTTGGCTAATAGTAAGGCACTTGTAGAAAACAGTAAGGATAGATCGTTACTTGGCCTAGTATTGTTACCCTGCAGGCTTTCTGCTCTGCCTTTCGCAACTGTGTAATCTTCCCCAGGCAAATTTTTCTTTCATATCGCTAATCAAAAAGTTAGGCTTGTTCATAGTTCAAATTATTATGCAGTTGTGCACTGAGGAAACTCAACCTGCTTTCCCGGTACTGGCTATTATATTGCGACTTCTTTGGTGTGTTTGTTATTGAGCAATCAAAGAAGACATTCCCCCAAAGCAACACTGTTGTGAAGTGTGGTAATGTGGGAATAGCTACGCTATTGCGAGATCCAGAGGTTTAAGCCAGAGGCATGTATAGGCCACTGATTGTTGAATGCTAGTCATTTGTAAACTCCACACATGGAATTCTGTTTTCCTGGCCCCAAGCAATGGATTTCCTTGGAAATTATATTGGCTGAATCTCAATTTTACCTGGTGTGATGCCTGCCCTCCCCCAATAATTTAACGTTATCTGGTGCTCAGATATTCTTGTGAATGTGGATTGGCCCACAAGGGTTAAAACACAATGTACAAATGCAGCAGGCTTTGTGCAGAAAGGTCAAAAGTATTGTGGAGATGTATAAGGCTTCTTAGTGTAAGTAGAACAAGCATGAAAAATGTTTCAGCCCCAGGTAAATGTGCAGCAGGGATTCCAAAAGTCTCGAAGAAGGATGCTAGGATACCACTTCTCAAAACAAAACTTCTTTGTTAACAGCACTGAGAGCCTTTGAGCTGAAAAATGGGATAAGAAATGTTCTAAATATAACTAAATAAAACCTGGCAGATTTTGGTATGGCCCACAGAATTTTTGGAGTAGGGTTGAGATCTGCTAGAACCCATGCTATTTGATCTGGAGTCTGCTTTTGCTCACTTCACTGGTACTGATCTTAACAGCCGCATATTATCTGCATCCACTGTAGGAAGCCTGGGGCAATCTATCAACAATACTGAGGCAATGGGGCAATCTATCAACAATACTGAGATAGTATGCTTTTGAACATGAGCCCCTGCAGAATTATTATGTTTGCCCCATTTTCTTATTGCAGTAAAAATTAAAGTTTACTTATGGCATGATTTCCCTTCTCTCCATTGTGCATGTCCTTGAATGGGTTTCAACTCCATTAGTAACTTTTAAGATAACATTATTTCTATAAGCACCTAGTAGTTTGTATCTGAATGGATATGGTAGAGAGATGCACTAGGGCTCCAGTTGTTCAACCCCTGGTTCTGCTGCAATACTATTCTGGTCGACTAGCATTTATCCAGCTTTCAGAATGGGGATTAAGTGTCCAGTATGTGAACTCCTATTTGCTATTTGTTGGTAGGTACTGGTTGAGCTCCCCTTTCTGTGTCCTACTCACCCAAAGCCTACAAATTTATATGGGACAGGAGAAGTAAGTGATGGTGACCATCACTTGACCTCTACCCCTTCAGTGAACCCCCTGACCCTTGGTGCCTCCACCTCCTTCTACCCAGATAAGTTTTGGCACTTGCGGGGTGAAGGAAGCTGAGTAGCAACAGCAGGCACTTCACGTATCTATTTTATGTGTGATTGCATGGCGTGTGTTTAAAGGATCAGTCCTCTCTGGAGCGAACATACATTGGGGGACATTAATGCATCCTTGCCAGAAGTGGTATCCACTGATAAATCTCTGAAATGGTAGCCTGTATGCCTTACTAAGGGGAGGTAGAAATTGACAGATATTTCAATAGGGCTTTGTTAAAGAATTTATTCTTTTTTTGGTTGCACTTAAATCTAACTTTTCTTCCAGGAAACGCAGAGTGGTGTGCATAGGGTTCCCAAGTGGTCTCTTATCCAGACATTGACCAAACCCAAATCCTGGTTCTCTGAGGGTAGAAAGTAGGATGACCGGATCAGTCAGAGTTCAGTATGCCTTGCTTTTGTGTGTCTGTTTTGTCCCATTTCCATATTATTATTTTTTTCCTTTTCTAAATCTGCACACAATCCTACTATCAAACTACCTACAATTTTACAAAGTGCTCTAAGGGCTGTTTTTTAAAAACAAAAACTATTCATTTTATTTTTAAAAAAACAACAGCAGCAACAACAGATAATAACTCCAAATGGTTAGAAATGCAACTGCTGGGGTCTCAGGGATCCCATGAGGGTCAGCTATCCTTTCTTTCCTTACAAGTTTCGACTAGTGAACCCACTTTGGAATACACCCCCCCCCCATCCCTAGTAGAAAGAAAGCTCTCCTATTAAATTCCTGTTTTTTCTAATTGCCCCAGAGCTGAGATTAAATACCCAAATTTTGAAAGGATCAAAGTGAAATATTTCAATCGAAGGTTTCTAAAAACGTATTTGGGAGCATGTTTCAAAGGAAACTTTTTCCTTCAGAGCTATTATTTTCTATTGACATGTTAAAAAAAAACCCACAAGGATGATGATGAGCGCTCTGACTCCAAGGACGGATAAAGGAAATGAGGTCAATGTTCCACATTTGGATTTTTGCGAAGTTGACAGTCACAAACAGGTACCCTGTCCCACTAAGTGAGTGACTCACGTGGTTAGGGAAATACAGCTGTAAGTGTTAAAGGCCTTTGGCATTTCCTGGGCAGGATTGGTGACAGGTTGAGAGCCATCAGTAGGCACTCCTTGTAATTTTTAACGGCCTACCCTGCGTCATCTTGCTGATGCACCATAAATCAAATAACCTATTTCATAGTTAACCCAGTTCTGTAGCCTAACTGCTGGCTGTTGTTATTGTAATAGTATAACTGGTGAGAAAATAGCCACGTACTTTTTGACCTAATTAATACTCTGCAGAAGTGACTTAAAGAGTCTTTCCATACATTCGTCAATTAAGGAGGAATGAAGTAATTAACCGAGTGTATGCCGCAACTAATTGATAGCTACACAGTGGGGTTGTAGCAAAATTTGCAGAGTTGTTGTGAGAATGGCATAAGATGAGATAGTGCCACAGCTCTTTTTGGTATTAGGAGCACCTTGTTGCTGCTAGTTACATAATTGTGAGTGACCTAGCAGCCACTGTATTTTTAAAAAGAGAAAGCCAATGGTCCATTGCAAAGTAGTTTAGTTGGTGCAGATTGTGTGCAAATCTGCGGCTGCAAGTAAAGAACTCGAGAATTGTCATAGCAAAGAGGATAAAGAGCACAACAGGTCCTTGCATATCTGTTTAAAAACCTAGTGTTTATTCCATGCACATCTTTTAAATAATTAGTTCCTTTGGTGTGTTTGTCATTAGGTTACATTTGAGGATGCATGGCGATAGTAGGTTCCTTCAGCAACTTCATTTTTGTGTGAGATGGAATAAATGAACATCTAGGTCTGCAAACTTACACAGTTAAGATTTTTGAGGTTGGCCGGGTTGGCCCTTGCCAAGGGGCCAGGCCCAGGGGGGTACAAAAATTGCACCTCTCCACTCTGGCTAGGAATGGCTTGGAGCCTGCCTGGCCAACCACACACTCCCTGGGCCTCTCCTCTGCTGCTCTGGGCAGCTGTGTGAGGTGCACAGACACCTCTGGCAAGGGCACAAGGGATGGGATGGGCGGGCACCAATACAGCTCCTTGCAAAGGGTGCAGTGAGCCTTGGTACGCCTCTGCTGTGCATATTTTTAAAAAGCAGCGATTTGTGCAAAGGGGTGGGGGTAGGGAGAATGTGTGCAGAAAATATGGGATAAGATTAGGAAGCAACTGTTACACGTGATCATGAAATAGCTAGGTTTGGCTTTTGCAGAAAGAAGTTATCAGGCAAGATAACTGTACCATGCATTGCTATAAAATCACTGTTATAAATAAAAGTGTTGTGGAAGAGATTGCAGGTATGGTGCAGTGTTCATGAAGGAGGCCAGTGCCAGACTTCTTCCTAGACCATCTCCTCCAATTAGCATGTGCTTTTGCACAATAATCACAGGGTAGGAGGCAGAATGATTTTAGATCATGGGATGTGGGCTGCCTTTTCTTCTTGCATGAATCTCCGTTTTGGTTCCTTTGAATGCAGCCTGGTATTTTGTGGTAGTAGTTTGCAAACTTTCCATGATGGCTTGTCGACCAAAGAACCATTACATGTCTCTCTTGGAGGATTCTAGGGCACATTGCTCCCTGGTGTCACCTGTGTAAACGGAGAGTATGCCCTAGAACATACACTACTGTCTCATGCTGCTGCGCATTGCAGGGGGTGGGAATCAGTAATAGTAGGCAAGCTAATTTTTAGGGTGGCTTATCCAGCACCACTAATTTCTGGGGTGAAGAACCCCTAAGACGCTTCTGCAACACTAAAGAATTCCTTCAACACTGTTAGAAAATTGCTGGTTTAAAGTGAGTGTCAATTGTTCTAGTTGAGGGAGTGTGATTTAATGGCTTGAAAGAAATGATGGCATTTGTCTCCTGTATTGCTTTCTTAATGGTATGACTGGCAGACCTTGGGCAAATAACTTGGCTTTTGCTTCTTCTTATGCCAAACTTTTAAAGTAAGGATGACCGTATTGGTCTGGCTGCTTCATCAGCTTAATTAATGCTCACTTAACACTTTTGAGATACTGTAATGAAAGGTGTTGCAAGATTGTGAAGTGGTTGAGTTATGCCATTCATCCTCTTCTGTGTGTGTTTGTGTGGGTTAACAGGAAGTGGAAGTCTGTGTGCTATGGTGCCAATTATGATGACTGACTCAGATGAATGTTGACATCTGACCTCCATTTTCTTTTGTACCGGTCTGAGAACTATACTTCCTTTCTTAGTTGTCCAGTCTGTTTTTTACATTCTTGATTTGAGCAATGAGCAATGACTTTTTAAAATGAGGAAGTAGCAAATATGTTTGAGACAGCATGCATTTTTAAGTAGCAAAGCAACACTGCTGTTAAAAAAAGAACTTGCCTCTTGTTCCAAACCTAGGCCTGGAAACTAAGGCCTCTGTGTCAGGCGTACCCCTCTCTTAGTGAATGAGGAATGGAGATGCAGGAAACTACAATTGCAAGAATTATGAAGGGTGGGAAGGAACAATAGAAAATGTATTTGAGACATTTGGGTAGCCTGAGATTAAGTGGTGTTGGATGGCAATTTTTACTCAGATTTAATGGTGGGATTGGAAGGTGGGGGTCAGTGAAGAAGCTTTAGAGAACATTCTTACTAAAAGTGTTATTCTTAACATCAGTAAGGGAAAGGATTAGGAGGAATTTGATAGGTAGTGAATAGAAAATAGAAGAACTAGACTGTGCTGCAAATCTGTTTGAAAACATTAAAACAACAAGGCGTTAGTCTGACTTTCTTTTCCCCCCTCTGCTTTTGAAAGATGATGAGATTTAGATGTGTTGAAATCCTTTAATGTGACTGAAGAAGAAAAATATGTGCAAATTCTCTTGAGTTGACTGCTATCCCAAAATATCTCTCACAGAGGCCTCACTTCAGGAATCAGCCTCTCCTTCTTGGGGCAAACTCCTCTCTCACCTAAACCCCTCTCTGCAGCTGCTGCTTATGTAATTTGCAGGTCTGGCCAGACTGTCCCTGAAAGCTCCTTGTACAGTGCAAGTTCACTGAGCATCAAGCCCCAGTCTTGTTTGAGTTGGCCCCAACAAATGTTAAGTTTTTAACGCTTCTGCCATGCTTCATGTGGCCACATGCCACATGAAGTACTGGCTGCAAGTCCTAGAGAAAAGTGGTGCTTGCCTCCCCCTGGTGCCTACAACTTTTTTCTTCCTTTGCAGTTGCTGTGGTGGTTCAGCATAGACAAGCTGACAGAAAGTGACCCCTCCAAAACAGTGTTGCACATTTCAGCTTTCTTGGTTGCTTTGAATGGGTAACATCAAAGCTGTTTAAAAATAAATAAATTCTGAATTTCTGTACAGTGCTGGAGAATTCCAAAACTTGCAGGATATCTTCCAAAAACACTAATCACTCCCTGCCCCTCCTCCAAATAAATCTTTTCTCATACAATCTGGGCACCCAAAGAGAGATTCTGGGGCACTAACTAGGGTACATGGGATTTAGGACAAATAGGGACCCAGCACTGAGATTTAAGAGGAATTTGAGGTCCCAAGAGACACCCTTCCAGGTGAAAAGAAGATCTTGTAGGAGAGGGAGGATACGTGTTACCAGCTGAGGAACTGTCAAAAAATTTAAAAAACGAAAGAGTTAATAGTCTCTGCAGCAAAGCACTAAACTGCAGTAGAGCTGTATTGTTACCTCACTTGAAGTTTTATAGATGTTTTTGGGAAAGAAAGAAAGAAACCAAATCATAAAACAGGTTCCTGAAGAACACGACAGATTGATACAAGCTTTCCACTTAAGGTTGATTTGGCTACCTGTATTCACTAGTAGTATAAATGTCAAACCTGCAATGCTGGACTGCCTTGGAGTGAGTTTTGAGAGGCTGTTTTTTGTTTTGTTTTTTAATAAACAGAATGTAACTGACAGGATGGGTGTGGCTTTGATTTCATAGATCTAGGAAGAGAAGAGAAGGAAGCAGCAAGGCTTTGTTATGAAACAGGCTGTCTGGCAAACGGGCATCCCACAGGAAGCACTACTTGAGTGCAGATAGGTACATTGCTAATGAGGATTAATGCTTGTCCTGGTTGACATCACTCCTGGGATCTGGAAGGACAGTGTTACTTAATCCGAAGGACTACATAATCAGCCGATGAGAAATTATTTTGAAGGCTTAATTCTTTGTATCAGAACATACAGCTGTAGTGAGGGAACAGCAAACTAGGTCATCCGTGAGCAGACATGTTCCCCACCCCCAACCCGTGTCATGCTTATTAATCACTCAAAAAATAAGTTGAGCAATGCTTACCAATAGCTCTTCGGGCTAAATTTAAGAGGGATTGGTTATATGTTTGCTTGTGCGTAGGTGAGGCAGCCAACTGAAGAAACGTAGCACGCTGTTGAACTTGTTCACCTGACACTAATGGTCTTCCTCACAAAACTTGTAGTGCGACCTGTTACTCAATCAGAAATTCTGACCCTCTCTCTAAAGTAAGAGGAATGTGCCCTCCATGAACAGGGAAAACACTTGAGCCAAACACCCCCAGCTTCTGTCAACTATTCCACTGCAAACTTTCTTCCATTATTCATTAAGCATTGTGGTCCATTTTCTGCACTTGGTTCAACTCTTGAAGTGTGAGGTGGGCCACCTTAGAAGGTACGAAAAATGGCCGGACAAGTATGAGGCCCTTCCTGGTTTTCTCAGTATGTATTCATTAGGTCAGGAGATGGAGATTTTTAGCTACCTGCTCTAGTCAGAGTAAGTGCTGGGAAAGAATGTGACCATTCTGTTTTGTTTTGTTTTGTTTTGTTTTGTTTTGTTTTGTTTTGTTTTTACAAAGCTTTTGTTTCCCCTTATTTCATTTCCCTTAGCTGCTACCTTTCACATGGGTGTGTGGAGAAATAGAATTAATTTTAAGACATGATACATTTCATTGGTGTTGGTTACGCATAAGAAGGCATGGGTATTTATTTCCTCAACTTACAAAGGGTTCTCTGTGACAAGATTTGGAAACCCCTGTTCAAAGCAGAAGCTGTTGTCAGGAATGAATGTGAAAGATGCAGCGAGGAAAAGGTCAAAGTCAGATAAATTGAAAAAGACATAATTGCCATGAGTGAATGAAGGGAGTGGTAGCAACAGGCAGAAGTGAAATGGAGAAAGACCTGCTGGAAAGAAGGTGTGACCCAGGATGACTGTGATGGGAACAGGTGCATCACTCAGATCTTCACTCCTATGCTAATTGGTTATCATTTCTCATTTTCTGGGTACTTCATGCTATACCAATCGAATCCTTTATATATTGTAATTGTAGCTCTCTATGTTAATGCATCATGTATTTGTTATTGTTAGTTTGTTAGGTGTTTATAGGTTTAATTCATTCATGTTACTGTTATAGTTCCTATGCATGTTTTCATTTTAAAATTAAATATAGATATTTACCAGTAGGAGTTATGGCCTGTCATACTTAGAGTCTATTTTTTGTCTTAAGAGGAAATATTTGCACAGAATTAAGCATTGGAATTCCATGAATGCACATCAAGCCTCTTCATTTCTGAGAATATGGAGGTCTTGGTGGGCTGAGCAGGATTGTGTCTCCTGGTTGCATCCCCTCTACGAGTTGGATGTGTTCCGGCTTATTTATTTATTTTTACATTATATCCTACCTTTCCTCCAGAGACCTTAAGGCAGGCATCCCCAAACTGCGGCCCTCTAGATGTTTTGGCCTACAGCTCCCATGATCCCTAGCTAACAGGACCAGTGGTCAGGGATGGTGGGAATTGTAGTCCAAAACATCTGGAGGGCCAAAGGTTGGGGATGCCTGCCTTAAGGTGATGCAAGCACTTCTTCTCTTCTGCACTTTTATCCTCACAAAAACCCTGTGGGGTAGGTTAGACTGAGAGAGAGTGACTGGCCCAAGGTCACCTAGAGAGGTTCATGACTGAATGGGATTTGAACCCAGGTCTCCCAGGTCCTTGTCCAGCACTCTAACCACTACACCACGCTGGCTCTTCTGATTCTTGGGTGGGTGGGTTTGTGGATGCAGTTCCTCCTCCTCCCTGTTTAGATATGTCAAGTGTGTATGGCTACTTTGGGGGAACAAAGTGTGCACTCTGCACCTTTTTAGTTTGAGGACCATATATAAGATTGTCCCTCTTCCATTTATAAGTTGGCGGGCCAGAAATGTTCCACAAGGATCTCTTAGCTCAATTAATAATTCCAAAATTGAAATGGAAGAGGTCATGCAAGGCTGGACTTGCAATTAAGTAATGTGAAAACAGTAATTTCAAGTACAGTTTTTCACAGAGCCAAAGGAAGAGTGTCACTCTGACCTTCTAGTTCAGTGGCTAAAATATCATCATCTTGGGCTTCACTTCTGTTACTGTATGTTCTGACTTTTGATTGAGGCAATATTACACCTGACATTATTATTTCATTTATAAAGCATTTAATTTTACTTGGGCTGGCAAGGAGGGCTTTGTGGTAACATTTTTTATGTTTAACACCATTGTATATTCAAACCCATACCCCTCTCCCTGACTTAAATGAGAGCAATATACCTTTAAATTACTTTTGGATCTGCAGTTCTTCATTGTATATCTCTTTTTGGAGGATTTGTTTGTTTGTTTGTTTTTAAGAATGATGTGGCTTTGAAGCTTGTATGACCAATGTTACAGCAAAGCCCTCTTTGTTCTCTTTCTGTGGAGATTTCCTCTTCCTGTCTCTCGCAAATAATGGTTTTTGTACTATTCCGTCTAAAATGAAACCACCTATCTTCCTCTCCCCTGCAGCGTTAACGAGCTCTACGTGGATGATCCAGACAAAACGAGTGGTGGTAAAATAGAAGTAAATTTGAACATCAGTTTGCCGAATCTGCACTGTGAATGTGAGTACATCTTTTTTTGCGGCTGTGTTTGCCAGTAGTGATTGAGTAACCACTATGTTGGCTTCATAATTCACGTTCAGATTGCTATGAATCATTTCCATTCTTTTTCTAGGAAAAAAGAAGAAAATGTCCTCTTTAGGGTGCATTCTTGCTTTTATGAATGGCTGCTTTCCGCTATTACTAAACACTTATTTGGGCAATGGCGAATAAGGCACTGTATTAAAGTGACATAGTCCCTAAGGTAAAAGAAAAGAATTTTTGGAACATTCTTCCCCAGGGGGACTCACCTAGGACCTGTCTTCCGGCACCAGGCAGAAATCCTTTAAACTTCCTTTCCCCAGGCCTTACATAACATTAGCTGAACTGTTTTAACCTGTCCCTATTATGCTCCTGTGTTTTATCCTGTTGCTGCTGTTTTGTTTTTGCTGTTTGTTATTATTGTTATTATTTATTAAATTTGTACACCACCCTTCATCCAAAGATCACAGGGCGGTTCACAATAAAAAAACCATAAAACGAGAATGCAAAATACATAACACAAATAAGAACAAAAGTAAAAACAAACCAATAACACCCGCCCAAATGTAAAAGGACATAGGATGTTAATCAGCCAAGGGCCTGGTTGAAGAGAAGCACTTTTGCCTGGCACCTAAAGATATGTAATGAAGGTGCCAGGTGAGGCTCCCTGGGGAGAATGCTCCACAAATGAGGAGCCACCACAGAAAAGACCCGTACCTTGCTATGAAAGGCAGCAGGAGAGAAGGATTGATACCTATATCCTAGGAACAAATCACTAAATACTTAATAATGCAATTCACCTAGAGTACTTATTGAGTTCAGACAAGGAGATCTGCAAATAATCTGATAACAGAGCCCATTTATGACTAAAGGAGTACTTGGGAGATAAGAGAAACTTGCTGATGATTATGCTTTCTGATTAGCCTAACTGCTGACTTAATTAAATAATTTTATTTGTATTCTAATTTTTTAAATATCAGAAAGGTTTCTTAAGAACGATTCATGTATCCTTCTTTGTAGTATGTTATTTTTAACACTCCCATTCTTTTCCCGCTTTCTCCCTGATTCCTAAACACATAGTGATTGGTCTGGATATCCAAGATGAAATGGGAAGACATGAAGTTGGCCACATTGACAAATCGATGAAAATTCCTCTGAATAATGGGGATGGGTGCAGATTCGAGGGCCATTTTAGCATTAACAAGGCAAGTTGGAATAATCCATGCTGGGGAAATGTTGGCAAATTTGACAATAAATTGTTGTGAAGTCTCTGGGTGCTGCACTGCTGGGAGAGCTGGGAGGGTTACATAGCCAGGTCTAAAGGTACGGATGCCCCCCCCAAGAATACACTGCAGGACATTATGGAAACAACTGAGGCAGCCTGCACTGTTCCAGGATAAATGAGGGTTCTATATTTATGTTTTGTTTCAAGGAACCAGAATGTTAATGCAGTCATGGTAAGGGGAATTGTGTGTGTCAGTAGATCTTCCAGATTACTATTTCTGGCAGCAAATAAGAAAGTTTTTCTGGAAGTAAATCTAATTATGAATAAACACAGCAGCCCAGTCTTGAAATGAGAACCAGAGCACCTATTGGCAAAAAATGCACCATTCTGCTATTTGGAAATGAATGGCTGGTGTGTCTACCTGCTAGCAAATGCCATTGTTCTTGTGCTAATCTTTGTGTACGTAAATCGTGGGATGTAGTTCAAAAAGCAGAAACAAAGATACTACTGCTACCAAAGTAAATAAATTTTAGTTGAATAAGAGCTGAGTTTTATTTGATTGATTTTTAAATCTGCATGAATTACCATATGCATAGACAATTACATTGAAGAGAAAAATGTGTGTATTTGGGTAGCTGAGCCTGTGCCAACCTGATGCCTGCCAGATGTTCTGGACCACAACCCTCTTCAGCCCTAGCCAGCATGGCTGTAGTTCAGAATATCTGGAGGGCACTAGCTTGGCAAAGGCTAGTGTATGTATGTGTGAAAAGAACATACCGTATTTTTTTCTCCATAAGACGCTCCTGACAATAAGGCGCACCTAGTTTTTAGAGGGGGAAAGCAAGAAAAACAAATTTCTGTGCAGAGCATGTAAGCGGTTCTCGCTTTCCTTGCTTTAAAGCAAGCAAAGCGAGAGCCGCTTACATGGCTTCTGTCCCGCTCTGCGCAGCTCTCACTTTGCTTGCCCATCCCTCCTCCCGCCTCCCTGTAAAAGAGGAGGAGGAGACACTGGGACAGGTGCTTTGCTTGCTTTACAGTGAGGTGGGAGGAGAGATGGGCAAGCAAAGTGAGAGCTGCGCAGAGCGGGAGAGAAGCCATGTAAGCAGCTCTCGCTTTGCTCTCTCCCTTCCGTCCCTCCTCCCGCTTCGCTATGAAGCCAGAAGCGCAAAAGGCGCTGCGTTGCTCTCGTTCTTTCTCTGCTGTCAGCAGAGCAGCGCAGTGCGTCTGGCTTCTCTTCTGGCTTCCCAGCGAAGCGGGAGGAGGGACTGAAGGTAGCCCTTACACAGAGCCCTTTCCATCCCTCATTCCACTTCGCTGAGAACCCAGCAGAGCAAGAGCGACAGGCGGGAGCCACGGCTCCGGCTGCGGAGGCATCCCTCAGCTCGTGACTGCAGCGGTAGCCGAGGGATCCCTCTGCTGCCCAGTGCATTCGCTCCATAAGACGCATAGACATTTCCCCTTACTTTTTAGGAGGAAAAAAGTGCGTCTTGTGGAGTGAAAAATACAGTAAAAAGATCGCTGCTGGATCATACCAAGGGTCCCATTCTAACAGTGGCCAATTACAGCAGGCACTACTATAGAAGTGTGCCCACTTTTGTGTGAAATACAGTGGTACCTCGGGTTAAGTACTTAATTCGTTCCGGAGGTCCATTCTTAACCTGAAACTGTTCTTAACCTGAAGCACCACTTCAGCTAATGGGGCCTCCTGCTGCCGCCGCGCCGCCAGAGCCCGATTTCTGTTCTTATCCTGAAGCAGTATTTCTGGGTTAGCGGAGTGTGTAACCTGAAGCGTATGTAACCTGAGGTACCACTGTAGTCTTTTCTAAGATGCCAACTGCTATTATAGTTTTCATAAATATTTACACTTTTGTTTTTTAAAAAATGACACATCTTAGAAAATGTGTTGCCTGATTTAGTCAAGGGTACATTTTAGATCAGTTAATCTAGCTATTTAGCTGACTAAACCAGCATCCCTAGTTAGAACGGAAAGCAGCAAAGAGAGGTGCGTATTTGTGGGGGCAAAAACCACGCTAGAAAGAGGAAGTCATGCTGCACTGACATGTTGCCATGGGGTGGAGCATGGGTAAACATGGGAGCTGAAAACACTTCTGAGTTCTTTGTGGTTTGTTGATGAGCTCAGAGTGTCAGCGTGTTTTCTTTTCTCCTCCCAAAGCATTGTACAGCCAGCATGTGAGTCACTGCAGTGCAAAGGGCTGTGGCCCAACTCTGCACAAACTCCCTTCTGTTCCAAGAAGTGCTCAGCCTTTGAGGAATGCCAGCAAAAGAGAGAGAGATGGATGGTGTGGGAGATGCGTTTCTTCTCTCATCTCAGTGGAGACCAAGTTTCTCTTCCAGCAGCAAGGGGTGTACGCATTTTGTTGGGCGGGTGTGTCTAGCATTAGGTAATCTGACCATGTAAGGCAGTCCATGACTTCACTTGGGTGGGGGAGAGGGAGTGTGTGACTGCTAGCATAATAAGGATGTAACCCTAATTCACACCTCATTTTTATACCACAGGCTACAAAATCCTGCTGCTTCCTCTTCCTCCTAATTCATGTTGGAGCACACCTAAAAATAACAAGCAGGCCCTACCCTTGCTTATGCTGCAGTACAAAAATATATGTGAATGTTTTTATTTGATTGCTTTCCCCCTGTCAGCTGTTTTTGTGTGTCAGTCATCAGCCACTCTAGCAAACTGAAAAACAACTTGCGAGTCTACGTAGATTGTGCAGTTTTTAATCTTTATACTTAAAATAATAACAAAGTACACAAAGAGCTCCTGCGTTGGATTGTATATTTTCTGTCTAAGGCTTTCTTTGTACTTCTAAGAAAAAGTGTCCTTAGTACGGTTTATCCCTCACCCCCTCCAGCTGTGTATTATTTTGGGTGGTTTGTGTGTGGAATTTTGTTAGGAGAAGTACCTTAGATTTCAGCTGCTTTGGTTTAATGACAATACAATTAGATGTGTTCTTTCCCATTATGTTTGTGAGTAATTCCCTGGTGTTAAGGAGCTATTTGCTTGCTTACCCCACATTGTAGGTACAAAATAAACAGATTCAAAATATGGTGAGGAGGTAAGAATGTATCCCACCAATTTTTGTATCAGTTGTGCTGGTTGCCCATATATTTGGGGGACAGATTCAACGTGCTGCTTATTACACACACACACACACACACACACACACACACACATGCCTGTAATTTTTTATTCAGGTCATACTAATAAAAAACAGAAATAAAATGGCATTCAATATGAAATGCATGCATGGTGAATTGCAGTGAGTTAGTAAAAAGGAAAAAAGAGACCACATCACCTTTGTTTTTACAAACAACATCGTACAACACATCACAGCTTTATAAACGCATTTCTGGAGTACCCGTTTCCACCACCCACTTCTGCCCCCCCAAATGGAGACCATATTGAATGGTGACCTCCAGGACAATATTAGTAGTTTTAGTTCCCCGATGAGCATCCAGGAAACCTAAGAACAAAAGCCACATTGATCATTAAGAACTACTTGGAAATGGCTCTTCTTTCCCCCCCAAGGTCCAGCATCGCTTCTACATACATCGAGGAGAACCAGTTAAGAGTAGAAAATGTTCTCTAGAAGCAGAGCTCTGACTTCCGTAGGGCAAGTCTGTACAATAATGTAGTGGTAACGTTTGGGGGTGGTGAAAAATACTGATAGGACAAGCATGTTGGGAAGTCATGGGACTATCCTTTTAAAGCCCTGAATGATTTGGGACAACAGTTCTTAAAGGAGCTCTTCTGTCTACCCTAGATCTGTGTCAGTCAGCCTGCTTTAGTCTTTGCTGGTGAAAGTGCTCAGGCAGGTGGGCGCTTGCAATGTGGCCTGCTCCTCAGGGCTTTCAGAATTAGACATCCCTTGTGTCTTAAGCAGGTCTTAGAGAACTTCTATTTCTCCAGAGTTTTCAGTGAAAGATCACATAGCAGAGGTGGCTAATCTGTAGGCTGCATAGCACTCTCTCAAAAGCTTTTTGTAGCCTTCAAGCTCCCTCCCCCCATTAGTGATTCTAAGAAAAAACTTATAAATGATTATATATATATATATATATATATATATATATATATCCTGACAGCTCCCATAGGCAACCCGCTGTGATGCAAAAATATTTTTTTTACCACTCTCATGGTCCCCTGGTGTGATTCTGTGATGCCACAAGGTTTTTGTGACCATCCACCAGACCTCGAAACTGTGTTCTAGAAAAGAAAAGCTGAAACCCACTTTTACACTTTGGCCGTGCCCACTTTGAAATGCGGCCCCTGGAGCATTGACAATGTGTCAGTGAGGCCCTTGGCCCCCCGAACGTTAGCCACTCCTGTCATAAAGAGTAGCTCCTTATTTCTGTGTGTGCGTGTGTGGTTTTATGATGACATTGTTGCTGGCTCCGACTTTGTTGTTATTAATGATGTATTAATGTTTTGGATTTGGATACTTTAAATGATGCAAGCCCCTTTGTGGGTAATTTGACTGCACAGTGAGCTGGCATTCCCAGTGATTGAATGGACAGGCTTTGGGTGACATGTAGACCCTAGCGAGCTGGTTGATGCGAATACTATAGTGGAGTGTTTATGAGTATATGGTCACAGGTAGGCACCCCTCTTTCTCTTTCAAGTGTCAAGCTGTTTGGAGTTCTCCCCAGCTTTATTCAGATGCAAAAAGAGTATGTGACGTACCTGACAAAATATACCTGACAGAGATGTGATGTACCTGACAAACTGACCCTGGCTGTTATTGGTCAGAAAGAGCCTGAGGTCTTCCCTCCAAGGGTAGGAGAGAGAGCCTTTAAAAGCAGATCTGCCCTTGCAGCTTGGAGCCTTCTACGATCAGAGTCCAGAGAGGAAGCTGACTGTCTTTGCTACCTCCTCATAAGCAGACTGAGATCACTGTGCTATTAGTAAGCAGGACAGAAGTAGTCAGCTTTTGGAGTCATTGGGCTCTTTCTGTTTTTAATAATTCCGTGAGACCTTGTTGCCCTCTTCCTTACTTAATCTTAATGAAGTTTCAAAATTGGACGAGTGAAAGCAGAGTGTGATTGCTACCCTTGGGATTCAGAAATCTCAATGTGCCTAGACCACTTTGGTTTTCATGCTAATGGAAGTCATAAGACCAGAGTGCGTAAAGCCAGGAATTTGCCCAGTTCTCTCTGGGAGAAGCAGAGAGCTGGCTTTAAACTCCTGTGTAAATTGCAAGGGGTTGGCTGGAGGCATGAAGAATGTGGGTCCAGGAACCAGGGCTTTAACACTTAATTGAGTATACTGTTTCTGCCTTTGTTTCTGGGGCTGTAGGCGACCGAGAAGGATGGTGGTGGAAGCAACTGTTTGATAGTAAGACCTAGTTGCTAGGGCTGTGGGGCTGTTGCGCAGCTGCTGCGCAAGGATGGGGTGTGAGACACTCTACTAAGCATCTCCCCTTCTCCACAAGGTTCACTTACGTTCCTTGACTAGATGGAGCTAAGGAGGACAAGTCCTATGCAGAGCAACTTGCTCTTATCACCCAGTGAGTCATTGGGCTCAGCAGCAGCAATGAATGAATGAATGGATATTTCTTCTCTTCTACTAAGAGAACACAGGGCGGTGTACCATAAAACGACATCATATAATCTATAAAAGTACTAACTACAGTGGTGCCTCGCAAGACGAAATAAATCCGTTCCGCGAGTGTCTTCGTCTAGCGGTTTTTTCGTCTTGCGAAGCAACCCTATTAGCGGATTAGCGCTATTAGCGGTTTAGCGGCTATTAAAGGCTTATCGGATTAGCTGCTAAAAGGCTATTAAAGGCTTGGCGGCTTAGATAAGGGGGGGGGGGGAGCGAAAAAAAAATCTCAAGACTCGCAAGACATTTTCGTCTTGCGAAGCAAGCCCATAGGGAAATTCGTCCTGCAAAGCAACTCAAAAACGGAAAACCTTTCGTCTAGCGGGTTTTCCGTCTTGCGAGGCATTCGTCTTGCGGGGCACCACTGTATATGAAATGAGATTTATTTCAAAGCTTAATTGGTGGGTACTCACTGTGACCATCTCCAATGTAGTTTTTGCTCCACCCTTTGCAGGACAGTGAACTAGCAGTTTGCATGATGTAGAGAAGCCAAAAACGATGAACACACGCCCCCCTCCAACACACACAGTCCCCCCTTCTACTTGCTTCCTTATTGTAGTAGTGCTTGAACAGGATTCTGTTTAAAATGCTTTGTGATGCAGTTCCATTTGTAACAAACCCTGAAAGGCTGCTGATCCCAGAGTGATCTAATCACAATTAACAATTGTCATGGTAACCAGAGTTCTTAGCTGAAATCTGTGCATTCAGGAACTATGTGTACTAAAATTTTGTAAAGAAAAAGCATGTTTGGGAAGGGGCCACTGTAAAAGCTGGAGCCTGATTGTCATTTTAAAAAAAGAATTAATTTAAAACCTACTTCAGCTGAAGAGCCCTCTTGGCACTTGCCAGTGCTTCCGGTGATAATGGCCATTACAGATCTCTCTGTCCCTGACCTAACTATTTTGTCTTCAAATCCATCCTATGGCAGCTGGAGCAAAAGGAGAGGTTGTGTGAAGTTCCAGCTGCTTCAGCACGTGCCAGGCTGGTTGTTTGGATTTAAGCTGTGGCTTGCATGTTTTGGCACATGGTCTTGGAGGCGGTGGGCCAGAAGACTTTCCCTACATCTGTCATAGACTGAGGTGGTCATGAAGATCAGGGACAAAGCATCTTGAAATGAGGGGTGTAACGAAGAACATAAATCGTAGTTTAAGGAGAGCCAAAGGTCTTTGTGCTAGATGAGAGTCTTAGGAATTCAAACCGTCTAAGAACTGCAGCACAAAGAACTGGGTGGTGGCAGTATTTCACCCTCTTGTTAACAAAGGTGCTTGTTTGAAGGTGAAATGTGGGTGCAGCTTCATGGCAGTTCTCTTGGTGATGGGATGTGTAGATGGGAATGATTCACAGGGCCAATGCAAGAAGTGCAGCCTGCTCTGTTTCAGAAGTAATGTTAGCACAGGATATATTTCCCACAGCCATTTCCTATCTTGTGGCGGATGGAGGTGGAGCTTACCATCCTTCTAGCTTAGCGCTAGAGTGCAGAACCAGGAGCTCAGGCCTATGTGGTGGGTGATAATCTTGAATCAGTATTACTCCTGTAGTGCAGCAACTGATGCAAAATTGCAGCCATCGTGTGGTGGCTCCATGGATCCTCAGGTGGAGCTTGACAAATATTTCATTTGATTTAGGGGAGGAGGCAAGAGTGCTCCAGATCTCTGAGCCTTTGATGAGTGAGTGGTCAATTATAGCAGTCTTCTAGACTGAGAGTAGATTATTGTGACTATTATTGAATCTGGCCTGTGACTAACCCCTTTCCTTGATGAAAGCGTTGTAAGGTTTTAAAACCTTATTGCTCTGTAATAGATGTTGGAGGCCAAATGATGTAAGTCACCAGCCTTAGCCTTGTGTTCCCCATCATTCAGCTTAGTCTGTGTTGAGAACTTAAAAGCTTAACAAATGCTGAACTCTTGCCTGCTTTTAGGTTCCAGGTAATTTTCACGTATCGACACACAGTGCCACTGCACAGCCTCAGAATCCTGACATGACACACGTCATCCACAAACTAACCTTCGGTGACAAGTTACAGGTGAGTCTTGAGTTAAGACATCTCTTAAGAGGATGCAATAGAAGCTACAGTGGTGCCCCGCAAGACGAATGCCTCGCAAGACGGAAAACCCGCTAGACGAAAGGGTTTTCCGTTTTTGAGTTGCTTCGCAGGACGAATTTCCCTATGGGCTTGCTTCGCAAGACGAAAATGTCTTGTGAGTCTAGAGATTTTTTTTCCGCTTTTCCCCCCTTTATCTAATCTGCTAAGCCTTTAATAGCCTTTAATAGCCTTTTAGCAGCTAATCCCCTAAGCCTTTAAGCCTTTAATAGCCGCTAAACCGCTAATAGCGCTAATCCGTTAAGCCGCTAATAGGGTTGCTTCGCAAGACGAAAAAACCGCTAGACGAAGACTCTCGCGGAACGGATTAATTTCGTCTTGCGAGGCACCACTGTACATTTGCTAACTGTTAAACTTTCATGTATGTTGTCGTATGTGGCATAAAAGGTTCCAGAGGGTGAAGAGGTTACATTTTCAGTCTGACATATTTAATAGGTAAAAGTGATAGGTAAAAGTATTTGGAAAAGGGCTGCTTCTCTACCCCCCTAAAATAAAGCAGTATACCTGATTGGTGCTTGTAAGCACATACGTATTATAAGATGAAAATCCACTTTCATGATAAAATATACAGTCGTACCTTGAATCACGAACGCCTTGCAAGTCAAACATTTTGGCTCCCAAACGCCACAAACTGGGAAGTGAGTGTTCCAGTTTGCAAATGTTCTTTGGAACCCAAACATCTGACGCAGCTGACACAGCTTCCGATTGGCTGTAGGAGCTTCCTGCAGCCAATCAGAAGCCATGCCTTGGTTTCCAAACGTTTTGGAAGTCGAACAGACTTCCGGAACAGATTCTGTTCGACTTATGAGGTACAACTGCATTAATAAGCACCAGTTGCAGCAACAGCCTTATGATGTTGGATTGCATACCATCCATTTTTTGGTGGGAGGAGCGTGCTGCAATGCTTCAAATCATTTGCTAGTGTAAAGGGCTCAGGCTGTAGCTTCCTTATTCTATAAATTGTTCAGTGGGTTCTCTGCCTATTCACATTTGCCAGGGGAGGCTTGCTGCCTAGTTTATTCTCTTCTGTTCTGCATTTATTCCTATATCTTAGGAATAGTTGGTGACATTCACACTACTATATATGTGTGGTTGTGCCTTGGTGACACGTGTGGGAGTGATATTCTTGGGATTAGGGACTGTCAGAGAAACCACCAGACACTGCTTTGTCTCTGCCGAAGAGAAGTATTTCAGTCAAAAGTAGGAGGAGTCGGCACAGACAGTTCATTGTCTCCTTCCATACCCTTTCCCAAATCTAGATGTTTTCAGTAGTGAAGGTGTGGCAGTAGCAGAGAAAGAGGGGGCGGGATGCACCAGCCATCACGGAGGGCAGCAGGTGGGCTGCAGGGCGTCACGGGGTAGCTGGGCGGCATGGGTGCATGAAAGTGGATTTTCATGGGTAGCTGGGCGGCATGGGTGCAGCAGTCCTTCAAGAAGCCAGCTAAGTTTATGCAGTGTTCCCCAAGGCAACGTTTCCCCAAAAAGCTGAACAACTTTGGGCGATCTCTTAAAAAGTGCTCCACCCCAGGTGCCGGCGGGGATTGCTATACCGCTGAGGTTTGGATTCAACTGTTGTGAATGTTACCATGTCACTCATTAGTGCTCCTTTGCCAGACTCGAGTCCCCATATGTTGATGCCTACAACCCCTATCATCCCAATGGTCACATGGCCAGTGTCCTGGGAGGATTGGAGTTGTAGTCTAGCAAAATGGGGACTTTGGTTTGAGGACGGCTGCTACAATCCTTCCTCTATTCCTATGCTCTTACGGAGAACAGAGGCTGGAAAGAGAGATTTCTTTTACCATCTCTCTCTTTCTAATCGGCTTTGGTTGAGGAAAAGCACATACTTGCCCTGTGGCCGGTATCCTCTGTAATGTTGTTACATAACTCTCAGTTTCACAATGGGGATGTCTCACTGTACACCACCCTCTTCACCTACTTTTCAAAGACTTCACTTCGCAAGAGTTGCAGTAGTATTTGCCATCACCACCTACTCACCACACGTACCAGCCATGCTTTTAAAACCATACTCTCATTGCAATTTTGGCTAATCAACACAGGCATTTCATTACACTTGCTTCGCACACCTATTCCTCAAAAACCTTTCTAACACTCGTCTGGTTTTTGCCCTTAGCTTCCATGAGAACCATTAAAATATCAGCTTATTTGGCCCATCTGTGGGCACTCAAGGCCTTACAACAGCGATGTACAACACCACCATTAAAAACAATATCAGTAAGCTAAAAATGTGGAAGCATCCTCAAAACGCCATCACAGAACCAGCAGCGTTATTCAGCAGCTTTTAAGATTCAATGGGATTTTGCCTTCACATTCCTTAAAGCACCTTGGGAGTGATTCCATTATGTAATGCTCAGGCACACCTCTGCAATGGGTATTTACCTGAACCCATCCCTTCCAAATTGGTTTCAGAAAATACCCGCTGCCTATGTGTACATTTTGTTCCTGAATCAAGCTGGTGTTTCCATGTGCGTGGCCACCCTCCCACACCTGCCCTTCACCGTACCGGTTGCCTTGCTCGTTTCACCTGTAGAATATTATGGCATGGGGAAAAAGCAGTTACTGCCATGCTGAAGTTTTTTACTTCAGTGAACACAGAAACCTGCCTTACAAGAGGTCAGACTGTTTGTCCATCTAGCCTACTCTTACCTATTCTGACTGTGCATTGTGAGCGTTAGATGAAAGCTCATTACCTGACTTTTCTGAAGGGGGGGGGATTGATCATTTGAATGTTGTAAGGGCGTAATTGATAATAGGTAGGTGCCTTCGCTCTACCTACTGAAAACTTTTCTGTTCCAGTGTGTCTAGTCAGATACAGTATATTATTTGGTCACATCTTAATTTTTTAAAAAATGTTTTACGTTGTCTGCTGTTGTTTAAATGTTTCAGATGCTTTTAATTGTGCTTCTTTTAAAAAATAAAAATTTAATTGTATCTGCCCTGGGCTTCTTTGGGAGGAAGGGCAGGATATAAATGTATCTAATAAGTAAGAAAGTATTAGAGAAAGAAAGCTACCTTAAAGTTGTACCAAAAGAACCCTTTTTGGTTTTCTGTCCTTAAGACTTGAAGTCATGAGACCTGAATCAAATAACGGCCTTGAATTAATACTAGCACGCTGTCTTTGATGAATGCTACATATTTCAGACAAAATCGTGCATATAATTCTACCCTCCTGGGGGAAGATGAACTCCCCTGACCCGTAGAGCTGAGATCAGCTCTGTTCAGAAATGCTGCTTCTTATTAAGCTGTTCTGATAGCACATCTGTGAATGAGGTCCTGTGAGAAAGAGTTGCGGTCATCTTTCTGTATAATCCTTCAGTTGTCACTGTCGCTTGGTACAGGGTAAAGCCTCTCGATGCTAATAATTTGAGTAGCACCATAGAAGACCCAGATGTGCCATCCAGTTACATTTGTCACCCTTGTGTCACTTGCCCCTTTTGTTGTAATTGCATGAGGCTTGTGTGTAATTACAAGGAAGCTGAACTGGGGGTGATGTGAGTACTAATAATGGAGGAGGTGTTTTGTGGGTTTCCATTAATTTTATATTGTTTATATGTTTTGATTTTTATTGACCACCCATTAAACATAAGGTAGTCACACAAAGTTTAAAACAATAAAATATTCTAATTTATTAAATTTGTCATATTAGATTAATAAGAATGCCTATGTAAAAGTACACACAACATAAAATCATTCTAAAACAGCATTTAAGCTCCCTGCTAAAAATAATTTGCTCCAAAGACAAGAATACACTAAAGCATTGTCATTATTGTTTGTTTGTTTGTTTGTTTGTTTGTTTGTTTGTTTATTTACTTGTACGCCACCTTTTTTCCTGACAGGACTCAAAGCAGCTTAAAGATAAAAACAACAACCTCTAAAGACATAAATTGATTGTGGAAATACAATTAAACATTGATAGAATTAAAACTATACACGTATATAAAGTCTGTTTAAAACATATCAATAATTACAATAAAAACAGCACAGCACAAGCCCTTTCATTAAAAGCAGTTAGTTCCTGAAAGCCTGTTGGGGGAAAAAGTCTTCACCTGCTGGTGGAAGGAGAACAAGGAGAGAGACAGTCTAGCTTTTCTAGTGGGGAAGTTCCAAAGTTTGGGAACAGCCACTGAGAAGGTCCTCTCTCGCATCCTACCAAGCATGTCTATGAGGGTGGTGGGACCAAGCGAAAGGCTTCCCCCAAAGATCTCAAAACCTGGGCAGGTTTGTATGAGGGAATAAAGCATGGTTTTTTAAAAAATAAATAAATCTTCATTTGGCATTTCAATTTTCATTGAAAACGTCTTGGGTCCTGTATACGTTACTGTTTTAAAACAACAATGAGGTTATATTTTTAAGCTGCATTTCAAATTTCATTTTTCTGTCATTGTACACATCAGAATTGTTGATTGTGTTTCTAATTTGCCCACTGTCTGTCCACACCGGGGTGTGGAGAGGGATGTGGATGTATTCATTTGGCTTACATTTTCAGATTGGATTGAAGCTGGTTTGGGGGGGTTGCACTTCCAAGTGTAGCGTTTGTCAAGAGACAACAGGATAGATGTATATTGTGGCTAATGCTGTGTACAGACCTGCAATCAGAGTGCACTGGATACATAATAAGCGGGAGAGTTACCATTTACTCAGGCTTCAGTGCACTCCTACTTCTGGTGTTTGAGGCCGAGTGCACATGAAGTTAGCTGCAATCCGAACGCATCTTGCAGTTTCTAGAGAAATCCTGTTGTTTGATGCATTTCCCCTCAAATCAGCTTCCACCCAATTTGAATTTGTCGGCTGCAGATAAGCTGCGGTGGGTACATTTGAGACAGCTGTTGTCCATGCGCAGATGTCAGCACATGTGTAGACGACAGCTTCATTGACTAGACGTTTGCCGGGGAGAGGGGGGAAAGTTGCTGGTATGGGAAAATAAAAAAGGATGAAGACATTCCCACCCCCCTACCTCTCTGTGTGTAGAGAGTAATGTAAAAATATGACTTAGAATATGGGGGGCGGACGGTGCGGTGACCTTGCAGCATTTTAAGCTGCTAATGTGTATGTGTCTGCTTTAGCATATGTACTAGGTGAGCCTCATTGGGGAGGGCATTTCATAACTGAGGCACTACTTTTGAAAGGCCTTTTCCCTAGTGGCCACTTGCCTCATCTCTTTAGGTGGAGAAAGGCTTCTGTCTTCAGGTCCCATTGTTGGTCTGTGAGGTTCTTTCTTATATTGGATGGTTTGTAGGCTTAGGGCTATTGGAAAAGACTGAGAAAGAGCTCTGCTATTTGCAAAGTTCTCTACTTGTGTTGATAGGCTGCACTGTAGTATATTTCACATGCAAAGTCAGTGCAAATGTGAAACACCTATTGCCCAGAGAGGATGAGAGATTACATCAAATTAAATTGCACAAAATGACTTTAAGCTCCTTGCCTCTCCTGCAGTGTTGAAGCTTCCACTGTTATAAGCTAGGTCGTCTCTGGAAGTATAAAATAACAAATGTAATACAAAAGTTAATTCTATGCTCTTTCCCTCTCCAGGTCCAGAACATTCATGGAGCATTCAATGCATTGGAGGGAGCAGACAAGCTCAGCTCAAACCGTACGTACACTGTGTTTTGCAGGGTCTTACCTGGGGTTAGTAAAGATACCTTGATTGGCAAGACTGGTAGGAGCTAGCCAAATTTTATTTAATTCCAGGGACATGAAAACTGTGTACACACCATATATTTAAAAGGTATGACTTTCCCCAAATAATCCTGGGAACTGTAGTTTGTCAAGGGTGCCATGTGAGTAGTAAACTATAGTTCCCAAGACTCTGCCGGGGTGTGTGTGTGAGTCATGTGCTTTAAATGTATGGTATATACACAGCCAAAGAGTGTACGGCTCTTTAGAGACTAACAAATTTTATAAACTTTTTTGTGAACTAGGGGCTGTAATGAAAGGCATACATGGTGATAAGTGGGAGGGGGTGGGGAGAGAATAGTAGGCAGTGAGGTCATAGAGAAGTGAAATGCAAAAAAGGGCAGACAGTGACAATCCAGTTAGAGCTAGAATATATGTATGCAAGATAAGGACGGTGACCCTTTTACAGCGGTAGTCATAGGCGATAAAACAATCAGCTTGGTAGTGATGAGGTAATTGACATCTGTAGTGGGAAAGGAAACCGTTGTCTCTGTTCAGACCCACCCTTTGTGTGCGTGTTTGGGGTGCGTGTGTGTATAGATAGACCGATGTAGTCTGCAACTGAGGATTACGCTGCATACATCTGACGAAGTGGACTCTAGTCCACAAAAACTTGCGTCAAATCTTGTTAGTCTTTTTACCATGTCATCAGACACCTTTATCTTTTTACCATGTCACAGCAGACTAGCACTGCCACCCCTCTGAAAATTCTTAGTCTTTATTTATGTTCTTTATATAGCTGGGTTGTTATCAAATAATATTACAGTGGCTATAGGGATAAATTAATTTGATTTCCCCTTTTCCCTGGCTATAGAACAGAGAGGCCCAGATTAAAAAACCCATAGTTTGCCTGCTTATAACAAAAGTTACAGGGAACAGTTGGTCTTCTAAAGTGTTGGTGTGCTCCTCCGCCATGGATATAGAATTCCTAAACATCCTAGAGACTCTGGGCACTGAGTGGTCTATGTGAACCTGACTGATCTTTTAAGTTCAGCTTCAGAGGCCCTGCTGTGGCTGTTCCTTACCCTCCATATTTTTTAATGTATTCTTTCTTAGCAGTTTAATTTTGGCTGTATATAACCATTCTGGTGACTTTTAGTGGAAAAGTAACTTGAAAATATTTGATATAAATACCTAGATACAGAAAGGAGGCAGGGCAAAGAGAGACAGACTTGCAAGGTTTTTAAGAGCATCTGTGTCATAGCCAGGAAATGAGCCTGATCCTAACCAACATCTTAATTTTTGGTATTTCCTTCCTTGGTGTTTACTTATTGGCTGTCATGAGTTAGTCTAAATTGGGCATGTAGAACACTTCTGCAGTCTGTATGTGCTGCTCTACATCTTAGCATCGCTTGCAGTGTATTTCCTACTCCATGAAACACACAGCAGAGGGAAACTCTGGCCCCCTATTTCCCTCTCTGCCCCATGAAGTTGTATTTAAAGGCTTTATCCCAGGACATTCTTTCTCTGTGCTGTCAGGTGCTGTTGAGACTGAGTGGTTGCTTTCCTACTTTTGGCTTGATTATCCATGAAAGCAACCATTGCCAAGGATACAATATATGAAATAAAAATAGTGCTTGAATGTTTTAATCCCAATGGGAAGGACTGAGTGTAGGGAAATAAACTATATAGTGTGCCAGTCCTCTCTCCAACCTGGAGTATTGTGCTCATGCTATCAGCCAGCCCTCGGAGGAAACTAATTTTCTAGATCCATTTCAATTGGGGCTTAGGTCCAGTTTTGGCACAGAAACTGCTTTGGTCACCCTGTAGGATGCCCTCTGTTAGGAGAGGGACAGGGGAAATGTGCCCCTGTTAATTCTCCTCGATCTCTCAGTAGCTCTTGATACTATTGACCATAGTATCTTTCTGATTGACTGACTGATTGAATATTTAATTTCTATACCACTTAATATATTAAAAATATCTCTAAGCAGCATACAAAAAACTGAAGCAGCAATAGAGAACTTAAAACAAAATGTTACAAAAATACACAGTCACATATGAAAATGTTAATGCAAAGTTATTAATATCTATCAATCAATATCAATTCATTTTCCTTCTGACACACCCTCCCTCAGCCTTTGGGTTCTCATCCATTGTCCAAACAGACTCTCAGCTCACCCACAAAAATCTCACAACAATCATACAATCATAGAATCTTAGAGTTGGAAAGGACCCAAGGGTCATCTAGTCCAACACCCCGCAATGCAGGAATACCAGAAGAGTTCCTGGTAACAGCAGACATCGCCCTAGTCTCTCACTGTAGATTTGCTTTTTCTGGGCAGGCCCAAGGTGGGTGGTACTTCTCAGACTGCCCACAACTGTGCCCCATTCATTCTGGAGTGACTGTCCAAGTTGGGGGGTGGGTGCCACTGCTTCTGGTAAACTTTAGTAGGGTTGTAAGCGCCAACTTGCCAATGGTTGCCCGTACCAGCTTTTTACAGTACAGTGGTACCTTGGGATGCAAACGGGATCCATTCCAGAGCCCCATTCGCATCCTGAATGGAACGTAAGACGTGATGGTGCGTCTGTGCGCGCCGCATTTTGCTGCTTCTGCGCATGCGCGTGACATCATTTTGAGCATCTGCGCATGCGCGAGCAGCGAAACCTGGAAGTAACGCGCTCCGTTACTTCCCGGTTGCCACAGAGCGCAAACCCAAAAGCGCTCAACCTCAAGCACATTCAACTTGAGGTATGACTGTACATCAAAAAGGTGCAGTGAGTGTCTTGAACCATCTGCTAATTTTTTTAAAAAAAAAAAGGGGTTGTGGCACATTCCCAAAGTCCTGTTTGTGTACCTTCCTATCTGTGGACTGAGTATGTTCTTCTGTGTGTTGGTCAGGTACGACTTCTGTGTTGAGGAAAATGCAGAAGGACAAAAGTGTATTGTTCCCTGCAAGGAATGAATTGGCTGGGTTAAGCCAAATTCGATTTAAAAAAGAAAAAGCTGCACTTTTAAAGCTGCCTATTTCAGAAGTGCCTGGTGTGCTTTGGTCCATGGGGTCACGAAGAGTCGGACACGACTAAATGACTAAACAACAACAACAATTTCAAGGAGGCATTTCTGAGCATAGTCTTGTGCTGTGACTTTTGGGGGGTTTCAGCTTTCTCTCTTGTTCACGCAGCCCTTGCATCCTATGATTATATATTGAAAATTGTTCCCACGGTGTATGAAGACATGAGTGGCAAGCAACGGTACTCGTACCAGTATACTGTAGCCAGTAAGGTAAGCATGCAGTAGTATATCCTTTGCTAGAAAGTGCTTGATGAAGCACACCCTACTGGACGAGCCTTCTGTTGCAGGTCCCATTTCCACTGTCGCTCTTACTTCTGTTGTGCTTCCTTGTGCTTGAAGTGAGTGCAATAGCAGCCCCTGCTGGAAAAGCGAAGCACTGATAATGAAACAGAGGTGCCATTGCATACTAAGGATGTTTGACGAATTTGATCTGATCTGATCCACAACTCCTAGGTTGAAACTTCGTAATCCACCAGATGCAGTTCTCTGCTCAAAAAGCTTACCAAAATACATACGCTGTATCTAAATAGATTTCCTGTTTTGAAAGAAAATATTTTAGAAGTGCATGTTTGGAGAGAAAGTAGGTTTCAAAACTACACTTTGAAATGTGTTCAGATGTGCATTTTCATGTAGCTATTTTATGGCTGATTAACGCAGAATGGGACAGAATGGACTGACAGGTGGATACCCGTGAAAGAGACACAGACTGGAAACAGACTGATTCACCTATTTCCTACTTCTTGGTTTGCTATTGGTAATCCTGTATAGCCAGTGTAGGGAATCTTGGGCTCTCCAGATGCTGCTGAACTACAACTCGCGCCATTCCTGGTCATGCCGTGGTTGCCAGGGCTGATGGAAATTGTAGTTCAGCTGTCTGCAGAGGTTCCCCACCCCTGACGTATGCCTAAAGCATGGTTGGATTCATGAATCTTAGGGGAGTTGTATATATTCTATTCCCATTACTTACCTCTCAGCTCCCAACTTTTCAAGCAGTAAGGCAATATAAGGTTAAGGGTCTGGAGCAAAATGGCTTGTTTTCGAATGGAGGAGGTTAACACCTTTTTAGTGTGCTTACTCTTTTCATTCCAGCTTGAATAAGTTGCGATAGATACCCACACGTGGTGTTTCTTTTGATGTGACATGTTTTCAGAATATTGAGCTGCTCATAATTTTTCATGCTGTTTTCTTTTATACATCAAGGTCTCCAAATGTGGGCTGGGTGTGCATGAATATCCAAGTGGGGTGGCTGCTAAATATAAGCTCAGGAAGGAGCAGAAAGGTTTCTTGAATCTATCCCAATTGGATGGGATTCAGGGGAAAAAATGAAACTGTTTTTTCTCAGTCTCGAGGTAGTCTCATGTTTGCCACAGGGTTCTTTTTGAGGGGCAGGCATGATTCTCTCTACTTCTAGTATAAGATAGTAACCTTATTCTGTTGTCCTTTACCTTTTATTAATGGCCATTTTGAACAGACATTTTAGAATGTGCAATGAGCTGGTCATTTGTCCCACCACTAATCCATTATGAGCTAGTGTAACATAATGGCTAAGAGACTGATCTGTAAACTACAAAGTCCCTAGTTCAAATTTCAGTTCTGCTATGAGCTCCTTAGGTCAGGGGTGGACAACTTGCGGCCTGAGGGCCACATATGACTCTTTGACTAATTTCACGTGAGTGGCAATGAGGGAAAATCCGAGAGGGAAAAGGGGTGACAGATATAAAATGAGATGCCCCAGCCTCTTTTTACTCTAGCCAACACCAGATTCTGCTCTGCCCTCAAGAAATTATCCCAAAAGGAATACAACCCTCAACAGAAAAATGGTTCCACATCCCTGTCTTAAGTAATCTTAGGCAAGCCACTGGTTCTCAGCTGGCATCACCAAACCCTCTCCAAATGGAGATTATAACTCAGTTCTACCTTATATGAATCTTTTTCAGGAATACGTAGCATACAGCCATACAGGCCGCATCATTCCAGCCATCTGGTTTCGATATGACCTGAGTCCTATCACAGTGAAATACACAGAAAGGCGACAGCCCTTGTACAGGTTCATCACAACAGTAAGTTTCCATTACATCATGTTCTCTATTTCTCCGTAGCTGACTCGTCTTATATATGTGTGCATGCAAGTGCAGCTCATGTGACAGGGTCAGAAAAGAACCATAATACCGAACTCGATGACCAAAGTTCTTTATCCAGGTGAAGAGCTCTTGTCTTTTGCACAGTCTGGGCTCTGGTATTAAGTGCCTTGTTTTAATGGTACCAGCCCTTTTCTATTGCTACTAGAAATTGCCCATCAGGATAGATTCATGCCTTGTATACACAAGCTGCGCACTTCCACCATTTTGAGACGCCAGCCATCTTTTTAAGAATGGACACTGGAGTGGGGCAGGCAGGGCTTTATATATTAAGATGTAGTTATCCAGCCCAGCTCAATGGCTCTCTGGGCCGCCGTCAGTCCTGCCGTCCCAGTCTTTGCTAACGCTGCCTGCTTGCCCTTCTGCATCATGGTTGCCTTGGAGACTGGCTAGCCGTCATTGCTGTGGAGAGGCTGCAGCCTTCTGGCCCAGCCAGAGATTATCCACTTGTGGCAGCTGGAGTTATTGTCAAGAGGGGCAGGCCTCAGAAGCACCCTGAATCTTGTTAAGCAGCAGATGCTTAGTTAAAAGCTACAAAGGAGGCCCATGGAAGGAGCACCTGCTGTTCCTTTTGTTGGGTAGCTTGTTTACCAGGCTGCACCCATACAACTGTCACAGAAACACTGAAGTGTTTTTAAATGTGTTCTCATGAGCATAGGTGGGAAAAGACCCTACCAGGCCGTGAGAGAATTTATCCAGGTTTGGAAATGTAAAACTTCCTATTGTTACCTCAAAAGGGAATGGACCTTTTTAGTGTCTCTCTCTGTGGGAACTTTAAGCAGGGCTGTCAGGAGGAATAGTGTTGATGTTCATGTATGCCTGGTCATCTGGGTGCGGCTCTGTGGCATTTTGTGTGTATTTGTTTATAGTAGGAGTGACATAAATGTGCGGACTGGCTGTTTTGGATACAATTTCCATTATTGTTCTTAATGCACACAAAGGGTTTGTCTTGGTGCACACAAAAGCTGTTAGTAAAATAGTTGGGGAAGGAACAGCGCCACTAAACAAAAGTGTTGTTGTACCCACATATTTGCTGGTTATATATAAGAGGAATGAGAGTTGTCTACTACTTCTGGATTTATTTTATTTTTATTTATTAAAACATTTATAGACCACGCTTTTATAAAAACACAGCAAGGTGATATACAGCATACAAAATTACAATTGGATAAATAAAAACATCAGTGAATACATCAATAAACACTGGTTGGTAAAAATAAATTCACATTGCAAAGGCCTGCCTGAATAACACAAGTTCTTTAAGGAGACATCTAAAAGATGGCAGGGATGAGTCTTGCCAACACTTTACTGGCAGGAAATTCCACCAAAATATGTGTAGCCAAGTACAAAATGGGTAAGATGAGACCATCTGTTGTCCTTTTGAGTAGTGAGCGCTCAGCACCAAGCACTAAAAGATGCATCACTTGTATGCCTTATTTTCTGGAACCAACAAGGCACAGCTGTCTAGACCAAGGGGGTGCATCCACAAAACCTCATTCCTAGCCTCTTTGATGAGAGTTTTTATTTCTCTTAAAGAAGGAGGAGGAGGAGGATTCTGCCTTCCCCTCTCTCAATTGCTGAATGCGTCTACCTTTGATTTTTTTTTTTAAGTGCATGCAGGGAAGGCAGAGACTAAGCAGATGCCAGGTATGTGTGAGTCATAAGTAATCAGTGGTGCAGAGCCGCACAGATGAATATGTTTTTCTCTCTGTGTGTTTTTCTTGTATTTGCTGCTCTGAAGTCATATTTTCCTGCCCTCAATGCAAAAAGTACATTCCCTCCTCCCTACTTGCGGTATAAAACGTCTTGTGTCAGCTGATCCGCATGGATTGAAATTACCCAACTCATTCTGGTGTCATTCTCCCTGAAAAGTAAGTTTGCATCACTGTAAGAGGAGAACAGGGTGGGGGCAAGGGAAATAACAGAAACAGAGGAGTGATGGTGGAAGCCATACCCATTTCTTTTTTAAAAAAGAAATTGAGTTGTACAGGGGTTTATTTCCTCTGCCTTCTTTGTGGTTTTCAGTTCTGAGAATGTCAGCTGTGCTGCGGAAAATAAATTTACCTAGACTTTTTGTAACTGAAACATCTTCCCATTTTGCTGGGCTCATTGGACACATATACCTAAGTTTAAAATACACATAGAAAGGAGCAATTCCTCCCTCGCTGCTGCTGCTTGCTATTAAAGTCCTGTTTACTCATGCTTCCTAATTCCATTTCAAACTTGGCCACTGTTCTCTTTGTCTGCTGTCCCCTGTGTCACATGCTAATAGATCTATGTGGTGACAAGGGGGCTTGGCTTCCCCTCTGTGAAAGGTTTACAGCTCATTTTATTGATCTGCTTTACAGCCCAATCCTATAATATCTCCTGCTATTAAGTTCATTGGGACTTACTTTCAGGTAATGTGCACAGGATTGCAGTCTCAAAGGAGTAATTCCTTCCTGAATGTCTTGTTTCCCATCTGTCCAAAGTCTATTCTTCTTGAGTTTTACTGTCCCTAGAACATAATCCTTGACCTCCTGTTTCTTTATTTTGAGAATTTCTTGAGCTTTTTTCTCACCTGGATTAACTCTGCTTATATTTTGCTACTCATCCATTTTAAATCTCACTTGTCCTGGGCGGGGAACTGTGGGTATCCCCCATCGGCCATAGCCAGCGTGGCCAAGGGATGGTAAGAGTTGCTGAGGTCCACAGGGAGACTCACCTTCGCCCTCTGTTAAATATAGTGGCTGAAGTGTTGGATTTGCCTTGAAACATAATCATTTCCCCATTTGGGAAATCTGAAAAAAATCCCAACATCAATCTGCTATGAAGGTGCTTGAGATAAGGACTGTATGGTGCTGTGCACACTAGAAGCAGATAACTGATAAGGAAGTTAAGAAGATATGAGGGTTCAGTGTGCAGAAGAAGCCACAGCGTGGTGATTAAGCTCACAAGCTGGAGGAGGAGAGGGCAGAGGGTGAAGAAAGAGCTGTGAGTGTGTGGGGGGGTGCACTTTCCCCATCCCCTGGGAAACTCAACAAACTTGCTGTACCTGGAACTGTGTGTGGAGAGTGCAGCTGAATGGGACACAGCTGTGGGTGGCCTGAGGAAGTACCATCCACCTTGGGCCTGCCCATAGAAAGCAAGTCTTGAAAGAGAGAGACTAGGGTGATGTCCGCTGTTTCCATGAACTCTTGTCATTGTGAGACGTTTGTGAGAGTTTGTTGGACCCTGGGCGAGAACCAGGAAATAAATTCATCATAGGATCAGCACACCCGTCGCAAACACATCCAATATACTAATAGTGAATTCATTCTCCAGATGCTGTTCCTAGGGCAGCTTCTAGGAGCCAAAAGTGCCCCCCACCAGAGGTACTACCCCTCCCCTAACACCCCATGGTGGACTAGGTGGGCCATTTTGCCTGATCCAGCAGGCTCACCTTATGTTCTTATGACAAAAGTTAAAGGGTAGAAAACGGAGGATTGAGCCAAGAGCAGTGAGGATTTGTTTAGGGGTGCGATAACTAATAACAAGGTCATCCTTTTTTTGTCATGGTATTTATGAATAGGCTGTGGATCTGAATGTGGGAAATGGGGTTCTACTTCTTGCTCAGCTCTCTGAATGAACTTACACTTAGCTTTAGGTCTCTTCCTAGCTCGGTCAGTAGAGCATGAGACTGTTAATCTCAGGGTTGTGGGTTTGAGACCCGCGTTGGGCAAAAGGCTCCTGCATTGCAGGCAGTTGGACTAGATGGCCCTCGTGGTGCCTTCCAACTCTACAGTTCTACGATTCTATAGGCTGCCTGAAAATAGCTAAATGGAAACCAAGGAGGACCTCCGTACGCTTGAGGACCAAATTGATCTTCCCTACACCAACCCGTTTTTTTGTTTCTTTCAACGTGTCAGATTTGTGCCATCGTTGGAGGAACCTTCACAGTGGCTGGGATTCTTGATTCCTGTATTTTCACTGCCTCTGAAGCCTGGAAGAAGATCCAGCTAGGGAAGATGCAGTAACAAAGCAACTCTCCTCCAGGTCCTGTGAGAAGAAGCAAAGAATAAAAACGTCACTGCTATCCATTTTCCTCCTTTGTATCGTTTTCCATTGGTACATGCCACTTTAATTAGTTAATTGAAGACTTTGTAAAAGAGCAAACAAATCTAGTAGAGCAATCCTAACAAGGGGCTGGGGAGGTATGGAGCAGAGGACCCACCCGGTGTTACATCCAAAGATCTACCAGCCCTGAAACACACCTTTGGGGCTTTCTATGCCCTACTGCAATCGAAAGTACTGTCAGTGGGAGATGACCATCTGCCTGGCATAGCTTGGAACTCAGCTATGGCAGAGCCCCCCCAGCAACACTCCTCTCTGCTGGCAAAAGCCACTGGTGAGGAATCTATGCAGCATTCTAGCCCTCTCCCGCTACTCTGCCAGCCATCAAAATGTAAGGTTCAGATTGCACTCTGTGTGTCTTGAAAGATGGCAGCATTGACAGGTGGGTGGGGCTTCCTACACTACATCCTCTGAAAATGATTTTTGTTGTAAAACCAAATCCTATGGATCCGACTAGTATAATTATTTTTAAATTCTCACAGGTGCTGGTCAAGGCGAAAACTAATTATGCAAAGTAGATTTTTCTTTTCAATCAAAATGGACAATCATGTTGTCTTTGTCAAAAATTGTGCATGAAAAACCCTAGCCTGGATATTGAGATCATTCTGAACAACAGTAAAATAGAACAATATATTTCTATTAATCTTCCGGATGTTAAAATGGTTTCTCTTCTTTTCAGAAACTGAACAGTGTTAGCATTTATAGATGGCATAAGGCAGCAGGACAAAAGCAGAACGAATGAATTGAGAACTGCAATATGCAGCAGAAGATGATTATCGCTATTGCTGCATTTTTTTTGTTACTTCCTTCTGCCTTTTGAAGCATTTACTACCCCACCTGCCCAGGTTAGAATGTCTGGATTGAAAGAGGAGAGAATGAGGCACTCCAGTAACCTGGATGGATGAGCATAATTTTGAAAGACACAGATGCCAAGAACATAGGACTTGGCCCTCAGTGTGTGGAATCCAAATCCCTGTACATATTTTTCAATTGTTTGCTTATCTTTAAAATTATTTTAGATTGCCAACATTTGCCAAGGAGGATAGGTACAGCCCTGTAAAAAACGAGACAAGGTTGCAGCACAGATGTTTTCTACAGGTGCATTTCAATCTTAAGTATAAAACAATTGTTTGTGTGTGCCTGCAATGATTGGGGGAAAGGCAGAAATACTGCTAGTAGTAGTTTTTAATATGCTGTTGACATTGAGAACTACAGCAAGATCTATAATTTCAATAGACCTCAAATAGTCCTTTGATATATGAATCAAGTGATAATTAGTTGCATGCTTTGTACATTTTATATCACCTAGATATGAATGCACATTGGCTGTGTGTTCTCTAGGTTTTGCTGCACTTCTTAAAATAAACACTAAGAATTTCCATGTTACAGTTTGGGGGAGGGTATTTTGTTGCTGGAATAATGTGTGATCTTTTAAGGGTGACCTTTGAAAAATGTGGAAGTGTCATATCAAGACACTGTGACTAAATGACACAAATCTGCACGTTTACTTGGAAGTAAGTCTAATTGAATTCTATGGAGTTTACTTTTAGGTAAAAGGATACAGAATTACAGCAGGGATGGTGAATCTTTGACCCTCCAGGTGTTATTCGGCTACAACTCACATCATCCCTGACCACTAGCCATCTCTTTGGTGGTGGGGGGGGGGGAGGGAGCCTGACCCAGGCCATGCCATTTGGTAGGGGATTTCATCTGATATTGGCAGCCGTGGCTAGCAGCACCGCCACCTGGCCAGCCCTGCTGTCAACCTGCCAAGGCTCTTCACATCCTCCCTTCCTAGAGGGGAGGCAAGGAGCTGGAAGAGCCTTACCGCTGCTGCTGCTGCTTTCAGTGTGGTGGCACCACCACCACAACAAAACTAAGCCAGGGGAGGGGCTGCCATGGCCACCATCACCAGGAAGAGGAAAAGGGGCAAGGTGAGGGCAACGAGGGGCCCCACATCGTGATTTGTCACAGGTCCCACACACCCCTATAGTGGGTTCACCTGGCTGGAGCTGACAAAAGTCCATCTGGAGGGCCACAGGTTACATCCCCCCACCCCTGGGATTACAGCCTTCATCTGCCCAGTATGTGTGTGTGAAAATTTCACTCTGCTATGGTGTTGGAAAGATAGCAAATTTTCTCTGATTGCAATTCTCACTGATTCCCCCCCTCCTCAACAGCCCTTTCTTCACTGATTTTGAATCCTTCATGCTTTTACAATGTTGATAAAACATCTTTAGAATTCCCCCTATCTTTCTTACGAAATGATTTGTTATATTGGTGTAAAACTGGATCTTGTAACTTCCTGTATCTTGTTTAATATTTGGATGGATTTTATACATTTTTTTTCCATTTGCAAAAATCAAATTGAAAATAATGCATGAGTGTTCATTTCTGTCTCCCTGTGCCTTTCTTACATGGATACGAGGTTGGGTTTTTCTGAGGAGGAAAGTGTACTGTACCACTTTTCATCCAAATGCCACTTTTAAACTCCCCCCCCCCCCCAATTCCACCAGCCCCTTCAAGTCTCTTCTGCTCTCACCAGAGGCCTAAAATTGCGACGCATGGAAAGAACCTTCTTCCCCACCCCCCCGCCTGCCCCATGTCATTTATTACAGACATGTGCCCCCTCCTTCCTGCCCCACTGTCCTTCCCTATCCCTGCCTGTTGAACCAGCCAATGTTTACAGTGCAATGATCAGGATATAAGAAGAGCCTGCTGGATCAGGCCAATGACACATCTAGTCCAGCATCCTGCCCTCTCAGTGGCCATGCCAGTGGGGAAACGACTGGGCCAAACATGGGCACAAGAGCACTTTCCCCTCCCGAGCTTTCTAGCAACTGATATTTGGAGGATTGCTGCCTCCAACTGTGGAGGATGATGGACTAGTGTAAATACAGTTATGGAGAAACGGTATCAAACCAAAGCAATCCTTTTTTAATTGTGGCTACGGATCTCAAGACCAGAAGTGCCCTGGACCTCTGAGGGCCTGCTGGAACCAAATTCACAAATTCATCACAGGCTGTCCAGATGCAGAAAGAGGGCAAGGGCTCCTGCCTGCCCCTCCAATAGTTGTGCAGAAGAGGCAATACTACTGTTAGGTGTACTTTCTCATTGCAAGCTGCGGAGGCTGAAATCTTCCCTGGAGACTTACTTAAATGGAAAGGAGCTTTTGTTCTCTTTTTGCATCTGGCCATCTCGTAGCTGCGAGGACAGCAACCACGGGCGAGGTGTGGGGCTCCTTTAAAAGTGTATGGGACGGCGGCTGCTTCAAGTGTGCAAAGATGGCAGGAGAACAAAATGTTTAGAAATCAAAGCGAGCGCATATGAATACGCCACGCTGCTGGCGGGACATTTATCCGCTGGTCTCACTAGTTTTCTGTCCCCTGGCGGAAAGTGGGCTCAGCCCAGGAGCGGGACAGCCCTCGCATTCCCTACAGCAGCGGACTTCAGGGTCTCCCTCCGCGCGCCTCGCTTCTCCTCCGGACTGCAAAGCTCCGCTCGCTCGAGGCACGGCAGTCAAAGCAAGCAGCGCCCAGCGCCCTGCATCAGCTCCTGCTGCAGTTTCCCCCGAAGGACGCGCGGGGGCGCAGACCGTTCCTCCTGCGCTTCCGTTTTGTCGACGTTTCTCGGAAGCGGGTGGCGTTCTCGCGAGAGCTGAGCTCTCACCAGCACCGGCGGAAGTAGAATCAACCTCTCTTTCCGGGCGGCCATAGCCGAGGCAGCAGCGGGTAAGAATGGAAGGAGGATTGTAATCTGTTATCATCTGCCCACTGAGGGCCGAGACCCCGTTGCAGTTTACCGGGGAGCATGCGGGGTGGAGGGGGCGTCGCGGTGGTTCCTATATTTGAGGCGGGAGGAACCGGTTTCTCCGTCGGATCTGCTCACCTCTTTCCGTGGCCGGTTTGGGGCCTGGGAATGCCTGGCAGTGGTGCGCTTCGCCCCATAATGCTCTCCGGTGGAAGTGCTGTCTGAGGAGGGCATGGGAGGGAGAAAGTGGATAGAAGGCCTGACGATGGAACGCATTCCCAGGTTATGGGGACTCAGACGGTTGGAGTACTTTCTTTTCATCTGTTGCGCGGCTTCCTATATCCAGTAGTACGAGTTGGAGTGTCTGGATGCTTTCCCTTCCGCATAATGCGGAGCCACATCTCCCAGCGTCAGGCTGATAGGAGTTGGAATCCAACGTCTGTAGGATCGCAAATTACCTAACTGCTGATCCAACCTGATAAAGCTGTTCCGTGTATGTCTTTGAGCCTCACTTTCCATACTACTGCTTATGTTCTCTCAGCGTTTTACTGGGGTATTGAGATGTTTAATTTTACTCCATCCCCGTCTCTTGGGAGTCTGCTGCTTGTCCCAATTATTTTAGTGTTGTAGCTGCCACTGTTAAAAATCCTATGCACACTTTTTTGGGCATAATGAACACTGAGCATAGCAAGAATTACAGTATTTCTCCTGATACACATTGCTACTGGTTTCAATTCAGATGAGCAACTTGAACTTTTATTGCATGAGCATGAATATAATAGTAGAGCAGACATTGATTTATTGTGGCCAGAATATACTCAATAATGACTAAGCCAGAATGCTCCTATACCAAATAAATTATTATCTGGGCCTTAAGAAATATTGCGCTGAAAGCTTATAACTCCAGTGCTGTGAAAGAAACATTTTACAGGACATTAATAGAGTCAAAGTTATAACTGAGCTTTATATATGTCTTGTAAGCCTGACATTCCAGTGTCAGGCTCACAACCCTCACCCCCACAGCTCCAAATGTCTCAGACTTGCTTCTCTTAACTTTCTCAGGATATATCCAAAGTGCAAAAGTATCTTTGAGACCTTGGCTGCTAACATGTTTTTTAGTTTGGGGGCGCTCTTTTCCAATTATTACATTTTTTTGCTAAATACTGTTTTATTGAGGAATGATTGGTAGTCGTTGTTTTTCCTTGCTAGACTTCAGTGTGAATAATTTGCTGTGCATATTTTTTCCCTCCTCTAGTCAAAATGAAGTTCAATCCGTTTGTGACCTCAGACCGCAGCAAGAACCGCAAACGGCACTTCAATGCGCCATCTCACATTCGCAGGAAGATCATGTCTTCTCCCCTTTCCAAGGAGTTGAGGCAGAAATACAATGTCCGTTCTATGCCCATCCGAAAGGATGACGAAGTCCAAGTATGTGTTTTGAGTTATTGATTTCTTCTGCGAAGAATAATGGTTTTGTTTTCAACTAATAAAGGCAATAGACGTCAGCGAGATAAATGGTTAGTTTTGAAAACAATTTCTAAGCAACATTTTGTGGGTTTCTTTATGCATCAAATACCAAATTCTAAACTGCATGGAGATCAGGCCTCGTTCACTCAAGCAGCAGTTTTAGGTGGTCACCTTTAATGCAATGTGTGGGTGCTGTCCCACATAAGAAGCTGTTTTATGCCAGTGTGTGGAAGCAAAAACAGCAAGTGTGCCTGCGGCATTTCAGATCAAGTGTGGTTTGGCTGATTGCCATACTATCAAAGCCCTTTAATTTCAATCAATTAAAATTGTGTAAGAGTCGTGTCATGCAAACACATTTCTGCACTCTTCCTACCGCTTTTTTCCTGATTTGTAGTGATGTCCAAATAGGTCAAACAATGCTTAGTGAAAACCAGAATTGGAAACTGGTATGCAAACAAACTTCAAACTAGAATTTCATTGTTTAGCATTAGCATTCATTGTTTGTGCCAGCCATAGTTTGCCAGATTTGGATGTCATGGTGGACCTATTACTTGCAACCAGGAAGAGGGAAATTAGCCAACATCGGGAAGAGGAAGGTGGCTGTGTTCCCATGGTACAATCCCAATGTCTGGTTTTTACAATCTGGAACTGTGATCTGAAGTGAACCCCCAGGAGAAGAAAACTAACATAGTAGCATTGTGCTATGGAAAAAGAGCATAGAATGAAAGGCATCTTAATCACCCGAGCTGTCTCCTTGTCTTTGGGATGAAGGTCAGTTATGACAACTTTATCCTCATAAGAATGGGAGGAATTGCTGGAACACTGGGAGTAATGCACAAGCAAGTCAATGAAGGTTTTAAGATTGCCTTCCAGCATATGGCTGGAAATGGTGCTTTTTTGGTGTGCAGATTTATTTCTGTTCGAGTGAAAAAACAAATTCAGTTTTCAGATTAGCAATGTATTGTGGGTGCTTGCAATAAAAACTTTTTAGCATAGTAAATATTTAATATTGTATCAGTCTTATTGTCCCTGAATCTAGTTTCCTGCCTGGCCTGTGTAAGAGAAAGTATTTCCTCTTTATTTAATCCAATGCTTAGTGCATGAAATTCTCTGCCGTAGAAAGGTGATTACGATACTGTGTATAACAATGATACCTGAGAATATTAAATATTTTTTGTATTTGTAGGTCGTCCGGGGTCATTACAAAGGGCAGCAGATCGGCAAGGTAGTCCAGGTATACAGAAAGAAGTATGTCATCTACATTGAACGCGTACAGCGTGAGAAAGCCAATGGCACAACTGTACACGTCGGCATTCACCCTAGCAAGGTAATCTTGGCTGAGATGGTATTCAAGGGAAATGCTCATGTTTCTTGAATTATTCTGTTAAATAGAGTGCAATCCTGGTAGCTGTAGATAACTGGCGTTACTTAATTCTGCAATCAGAACTCTCTTGTTTCCCCAACAGCAGTTGTTAAACATGCATGATCATCAAGAAAAAGAGGCACTTCAGGAGACCAAAACTTGGAACAATCCAAGGAACTTTTTCAAAAAACAAAAACTTTCATATGTGGTGGTTAAAGAATGTAATCCATAGAAAAGTAGCTGTCCCTTTATATTAACACTTTACAAATAGTAATTATATATACAGTCGTACCTTGGAAGTTGAACAGCTTAGTTTCCGAACGTTTTGGCTCCTGAATGTCGCAAATCCTGAAGTGGCTGTTCTGGTTTGCGAACTATTATTGGAAGCTGAACGTCCGTCAGGGCTTTTGCGGCTTCTGATTGGCGGCAGGAGCTTCCTGCAGTCAATCAGAAGCTGTGCTTCAGTTTTTGAATGTTTTGGAAGTCGAATGGACTTCGGAACAGATTCTGTTCAGCTTCATTTAGTGATTATAATGTTTAAGTCTATAGCGTTATGAAAAAATAGAGAATCATAATTGAGAGAACAAGGCATCTGACCTAGCCCAAGTTACAAACTATACAAAGTTCCTGGGATATTAGAATTTTGATAACTAATTATAGAAAGTATAAATTTCAGTCAAAGATTAATGAAGCTTATTAGAGCATATGCAGAGGCGTGATATAAAGCAGGCATATATCAAGGATTGTCTAGTATATGCTAAACCAGGAAAGACACAAGTAGCGTAGGATGAAAATCAGCTTCAGCAGACTGGTTTTGAACTTCTAGCAGTGCTGATTGGGGGTTGTGTGGAAGTTTTGGAACTTAAGACTTTCTGGCTCTTCAAGTTTGCTCTTGTTAATATGTTGAACATGTTTAGAACAAATAAAAGCATGTTAACTGTTCCTCTTGAAACTCAGGGTAATTGCTGTGCTTTCTCAATATTTACTGATTGGGATTGTTGATTGCTCCAAAGCATAGTGCAGATGATGAGGTGCATCTGGGGCAAAAGCAGAAGTTCCATAGCAGTAACACAGTCCAGTATAGTCTGCTCTGTCTCTGCATGACAGAATACCTCCTGATTCTTGTGTGGACAGGGACTGCATGAACAGATACGCTGTTCCTGGAATATTTTAACTGATTGATTCCATTTTTCCTAAGATTTGGGAAAGTACAAATTGTGCCATCATTGTGCCAATGCTTGTTCTTCCATAGCAATGGCATCAAAGAAGTTCACTTTTTTCATCTCATTCAGATTCCATGATGAGAGACTGGATGCTGTTGGGTCTGTTATAGCATTGAATTCAGACAAGATTTGAGAGAGTGATTGTTGGAAGGCCATATTGCCTGGAAGGGCACTGATGGCCTTGGCCATGATGCTTTGATAAAATAAGTAGCTATCATCTACACATTTATATCAGTGGTGCAGGGATTTTACTGGTTTCTGTTGCCATAATTTGAAGTGCTGATTTTGACATCTAAAACACTTTGTTACATGGGCAGTGTGTACCTTGGAAATCTGCCTTTCTTCCTTTGCTTGATGGAGGGTTAGTGAAGAGCTGCTTTCGTTCCCCCCAATACATGGGAAAAATACAGACAGTGAGGACATTGTCATGCTTATTGTCTGCATTCCACTTTTGGAATGTGAAATCAGTTTTGTTGTCAGAAATAGGGTGGTGATCAAGGGTTGTGGGATGTATCATTATGCTTGTCAGACATGAAATTAATTTTCTTCAAAGAAAAAGCTGGCATGTTTATCACGCCTTGGTGAAATAGTTTGGGGGGAAATTAATAAGGAAAAAAAGTGAGACATATGTGCATTGTTCCTTTGGCAGTAAGACACTTTGCATCACATTGAATGAAGTTTTAAGGCTTCACTACAATTTAGATAAAAGTTGTTGTGGTATAGTGAGCCAGTGGGCTAGGGACTGGGAAACAGAATCCCGCTTAACCCTGAAGCTCAATTGGGTGACATTGGGCCTAACTTAGGTGGGTTACAAATACGTTTGTTATCCTTTGGAGGCCTTACTCAAAGCAGCCACCATATATTGTATCTTGGCTGAAGCTTCTTCTTGCTCAGAAACAAGATTAGCTCTATGTATGTTATGCCAGTAAGAGTAGGATTTATTTTGAGAAAATTTAAACTGAGACTAGCACATAGCAAAAAGCTGACATTAGTGTCCTGTTACTGTGTGCTGGTATTCTTGCATGCTGTAAAGTGAAGTAGGTAAGTCTTCCAGATGTTTTCTCACATGAATATTGCCTTCTACCCAGTAACAGAGAAGTTCTTAAATGAGCTCTCCTAGTTCTGAAATTTGGCCTCTGCTCATAAAGCTCAATCCAGCCCTCCCATTTTCCAGTTTCCCTCCACTTCCCTCTTTCCACATTTGCAAATTTACCAAGTTGCAAGGTTAGACAGTGTGGGGGAGAGAAGGAAAAACCCCGTTGAGATTAAAGCCCAAAACTGTTTCCTCTGTGACTCATCTAGTAGAAGGAATAAAAATGAATAATTGTTAGGGTTCCTATAATTTTTAGGAACTAGAGAGTTCAAACATACTCAGAAGCAAATCCTCTTGGCTGCCATTTTCCCTCTTCTCTTCCGTCTCCCTCCACCATGCTGCTTGATGAGCCTAGCCAATGATACTGGCATACAAGAGAGCTGGAAGTGGTGGAGGAACTACCACCAAGTTGGAGAATTATTGGAAGAAGCCTGTATTTTTTCTGAGAATTCCTCAAAAATACTATTAAAATTGCCATACCAAGTAAGGATAAGCAGTGCTTGCATACTTCCAGTTTGTAGATACTTGAGGATGAACTATTAGAACTTTTATACTGAGTCATTAGACCAGAAACAATGCTTGCTACTGTTTTTACTGCTTAGGTATCAGTACTGCAGTGTTATTACTCTAATCAAATTAGATGGAAAAATATCATCTGCATCTGAGTGGTGGGATGAAGCTAATCCCAAGCACCAATTAGGGTATTCGTGCATAATAACCAAATGTTACCTGAAGCCATTATGTTACTGTTGCTTGGATAAATTCCGGCTTCTGCAGCTTGAGAATGGGATGCTTGTGATGGATGTGCTCTCAGACAGAAGGTGGTTCATTTTTCAGGGATTGTTTGGGCCTCTGCTAAATTAACCCTTATTAATCCCTGACAGTTTTGCTGATTCTACATTGTTACGCTGGTTGTCTGGTCACATACTGTTTACTGACTGCCTTTTTGGTCAGATGTTCCTGGGAGCCTAATGCTGATATGACCAGATAATTGGCTTGCTCCCTATTTAGTACAATTGCCTTTAAAAACCAACATTTCTTCTTAATGTTGTTGCTTTGCTTCAGTGCTCAGGAGATTTCATTTTTAAGCCATGTTTCTTGTTTTACAATAACCATAGTGCATAATTCTGCTCACCATAGTTGCCGTAGCAGTAGTGATGAGCCCTAGCTTTGTTCTTGACGTTGGAATTAGGGAATGGGTAGGGTGGGATATCACCCTGAGTTTTGTTGTGGTTCTTTAGATGTTTCAAGCATAACATGACAAACAAAAGCCCCAGTCCTTTGCTTGAGTTTGGAGCTGGAGCGACTGTTCCAAATTGGAACTTTGGAAGTGCTTATGGGTTCCCCCAGTCCACTTTCAAACTCCCAAGTGACATTAATTGAGTTTCAGATGCGCAATGTGACTGTCATAACTTTGCATGAGTTGTCATAATACTGAAATCATTCAACCCTTTTCTCCTTTCCATCAAATTCAGGAGTGACAGTGAACATTCTGCCCAAGTGTCTGGTGTCAGTAATGGTCTGGATAAGGACTAATAAACTGAGGGTCAATCCAGACAATTGGTCGTATAGGGTGGTTCCATGAACAGGAGAAGTGGTGTTTGGCCTCTTTGGAATAGATTGCATTTCCTTTAAGGATCACACTTGTCACTTGGGAGTGGAATTAATGTATGGCAGCTAGGTTGTTAATGCCATTCAGCAATTTTCAGTTAACAGTCCCTGTTTTCTAGTTAGTTACAAATCAAAGCACTCAGAAGAGAGCCTTTGCTGTGCTGGTGTCCTGTTTGTGAAATTCCCTCTCTGAAGACACTGGCTGGTTATTTATTTTTGTTCTTGAGTTGTTCTACTGTAGACTTGATAGATTTGGGGGGAAAGTTTTATTTTTCATACTTGCTTTGTTTTTGTTCTCTGAGTTGTATTGACAAGTTTTTTGAGCAGAAAGATGGGATATAAATATTGTAATAAAATTTTATCTTGACTCCCTAGGTGGTGATTACAAAACTAAAGCTGGACAAGGATCGTAAGAAAATATTGGAACGTAAAGCAAAGTCTCGCCAAGTTGGCAAAGAGAAAGGAAAGTACAAGGAGGAAACAATAGAGAAGATGCAAGAGTAAAATGGACTCTTTTGTGAAACCCATTAAAGTTTCAATAAAATCTAACCTGCAAGTGTTCTCATTTTGTATCTTAACATAAGACAGAGACAGCAACAGCATTAGGTAAGAATTGGCCTTCCTCTGCCAGCAGGAATTACGGAGCAAGATATCGAGCAGATTTTCCTAGGCAGGGAATTCAAATTTTACTCAGCATCTGTTTTGATCTTGCCTCTAAAAATAGATGTATTCACTGCAGAAAATGTTGAATGGATAGTCATGCCTGAATCATATTTCTCATTAAGAACATCTGAAACAGTCAAATAGCTGTGGTCACAAGCAAGCTCTAAGTCCAATTAAATGCAAAAATGGATTATTTTAAAAAGAATACAGCTTACCACTACAATAAAAAAAGCAGGGACACTCATGTGGAGTCCAATGGTTCAGTTTAGGGAGAAGCTAATAAATTACAGGCTTTTTGGCCTAGCAGCAATTCTGAATTAAATGGTGTCTATTAGAGTTATTAAGCATATGGAAAAACTGGTCTTATTGAGGAAGGGATTTGCATGCTTGAGACAGATTATAATAGGTATTTAGTTATATTGTTACCTTTAAAAATCATTTGTCAGTAGGCCTGGCCCTGGAGGGTGTAAAGAAGGCTATAACAAAGGTTCTCAAGTAAAAACAACGGTTGCATGGAACCTCTTGGTTAAACAGCAGGAAACAATGGGGAGGAATAAATTGATAGTTTTCATAACAATGAGAAGCAGTGTGATCCCCCACTTTATAAATTATTCATATATGATTGGAGTTTGTGTTGAGCTGTAAGTTTTGGGAGAATACCAAGTGATTCAGGATACAAACAACTTTCCAGCCGGAGTGAATGGGCAGCAAAATGGCAGATGACATTCAGTATAAGCAAGCATAAACTGACACAAACTGGAACAACAACAGCAAAACCACAACCCCTTCACTTACATGTTGAAGGCTCTACTAGCTGCAGTTAGCTAGAGAATTATCTTGGTCGTGGTGGAAAACCTTGTAGCAACACACATGATAGAAGGTTCAGGGGGTGTCAGAGGAGAATTCCACGCATGCAATCCAATTGGTGCCTTGTGTTCACAGAAGGGCCTTTGAGCTGGTAACCAGACATTGGGGATTCTATTATCGTTATTTGCACTGCCTAAATATATTCTAAAACTGGGAAAAGTGAAACCAAAATGATGCACCTGGACAAGAAAGCTAAATACTTGGGTTTTTAAATTGAGGGGTGAGGATTGCATCATTTTGTAAATTGGACATAGTAGGGCAAAAATTGATAAACTGTCCTACTAACTAAAATCCACAGTGGCCCAATGAAATAAATTGCAAATTAAGACAAACCCTAAGAATGAAAATCAACTTCTTGGGAGTTATGTTTAGCCTGGAGAAGAGACTTAGAGATGCTATGATGATAGCCATATTCAAATATCTAAAGGGCTGTCACAAGTTTGAATGGATTCAAATTACAAGAAAGGAGATTCTGACTAAGCATTAGGACGAGCTATTTGACCGTGGAACGGACTCGGAAGGTGGTAGATTCCTCTTTTTAAATAGGTTGGATGTCCATCTGTCAGGGATTCTTTGGTTGTGATTCCTGCACTGCAGGGGGTTTGAGTAGATTACTCTTGGGATCCCTTTCGACTCAACAATTCTGAGATTCCTTTAAAAGCAGGAGGTCTTCCGAGCAGATTTGTTTAGAGTAGTGTTAAATTTGAGCGACCTTGCAACGAACGAGACGCTAGGCATGGGTGATAACAAGGCACAGCATTGGGGCGGGAAAGCTGAGGCTGTGCATGCCCCCGCCCGCGTGTGGGAGGCGACGCAGAATAAGGACACGGGCGTGCTTCGTAGAGAGAGAGAGCATAGGGTGGGGGGAGCTTCCACGGGCACAGCAGGCCGCCGAGAGAGCGCATGCGCAACCCCCGCTCGCATCCGGATTCGCTCGCTGCCCAAAGTGGGCGGGGAAAAGAAGGGAGAGCCTCCTCACGTGCGCCGTCCCCTCACGCTGCGGGAGCCCCTGATTGGTTGGTGCTCCCGGGAGAGGGCGTGACTTGCGAGGTGGCGTAGAAATCGGCCATAGTGGAGGCGGCGGCGGAGGCCGAAGCTCCGTAGTCGGCGGAGGGAGGGAGCGAGCAAGAGCCCGGCCATGGCGTACGGCGGTCTCGCGGTGCCCATCACCGTCATGAGCGTGTTCTGGGCGGTGGTCGGCGGCGTCGTGCCGTGGTTTGTGCCCAAGGGGCCTAACCGGGGGTAAGTGCCCGGAGGCTTCGGGGACGGGGGACGTTCTCAGCAAGGGAGACCGGTGGCGGGCGGCCCTTTTCGAGGAGGCCTGGCTGCCCCAACCGGCCGCCCGTGGGAGCTTGAAGTGCTCTGGCTACACCTCCGTCTGCCTAACTAAAGCCGTTTTCCTGGCCTGGGAGGGGAGCAAACGCGGTTTTTTCACAGTTCGCAGTTTTACACGGCCTGTTGTTCCACGTTCTCGGAGGATGCGGCGCAGTGAGCAACTGCCGTCGCGCAACCCCAGTTGCGGCCTTCCTCGCTTTCTCCCTTGTGCCTCCTCTTCCTGTTCCTTTTTGTTTTCTCTCCCACCTCCACCCCGCTTCCCGTAGCAGCGCCGGCCCTGCCAGCCTTTCTGGGAGCTTCTGTGGCACTTCGTGAGTGGCAGGTGTCAATTCAGAAGTAGCTACACCTGCGAAGCGGCTGGAGTGCCCTTGGGATTTCCCAGCGTCGATCCCCTTTTGTTTTAGTACCCATCCCGTGTTAAGTTAACCTGTTTCAAATGAAGCAGCCCCCGAGTCAAATGCACTGTTTTGCGTTATCTCTTGAAACGGAATATTGTTTGGGATATTCTGGGAATAGCTGCTTTGTAAAAGAGGGGTCAGATGTCACAGTCATTTTCACAACCATGTCGCAGTCTTGTGACAATTTATCTTTTCCGTCTGCTGTGTGTAACTCTTTCCCCTAATTCGAGGACTATGAGGTGGATAAGCTAGTTCCGTTTGTAATTAATCCATTAACCAAACTGCTGAATTCCTAACTGCATTCTGGTTGTTCATCCTGGAGGTTTTCTTTGTGATTTGAAATAAGATTTTCCTATTGAACCACATTTTCCTCTCTGATAACTTCCTCTTCCAGTGCAATTGAGGATTTTCTTTCTTTCTACATTTCCATTACTGGTGCTGAATGTCCAGCTAGGATTACCAGCAACAGTACTAGTTTATTTCTTTGAAATGTATGAATAGTTTTTCAGCAAAAACCTACAAAACAGTGAATGATAACATATGGGGCAGGGAGGCAGTTAGACCTAAGAGAGAGCGGCACAATAACACCCAATTAGCAGTAGGTGTCTTGACATCTAAGTTGCATTATGAGTCGGGTTTAAGAAGTGGGCCTGAACAGTGTTTGTGTTTCTGGCATAAGCCATAATTGATGCTAAGATTGAAATTAGCTTCCATAGCTAGAGATTGTCAACGTTTTCCTTTCTAAACAGGAAAAATCAATTGTGTGGCCTGCATTTCTGAAAACACTTTCCCACTCAATGTTCCCGGCTTTACGACATTTATTGAGGCAGGGGGATTTCCTCCCCACATACTTAACAAGCTTGAAATGATTTTTTCACTGCATTCTCTTTGTCTTGAATTAGTGATTCAACCATATAATGAAATGTGAGCAAAACTAAGTGCAGCTCAGCTCAGTGCTGCATTATAATAATAATAATAATAATTATTATTATTATTATTATTATTATTTATACCCCGCCCATCTGGCTGGGCCTCCCCAGCCACTCTGGGCGGCTTCCATAGAAACCAATACAGTAAAATATCACACGTTAAAAACTTCCCTGAACAGGGCTGCCTTAAGATGTCTTCTGAATGTCAGGTAGTTGTTTATCGCTTTGACATCTGCTGGAAGGGCGTTCCACAGGGTGGGCGCCACTACCGAGAAGGCCCTCTGCCTGGTTCCCTGTAGCTTTGCTTCTCGCAATGAGGGAACCGCCAGAAGGCCCTCGGCGCTGGACCTCAGCGTCCGGGCAGAGCGATGGGGATGGAGACGCTCCTTCAGGTATACTGAACCTTATGCTTTTAAGGTGTTGGTTAGATACACCAGAGTAAAAAGTGTTCCCTTTTAATACATATCCCATGTTCGCTACCTAGGCAAGAGGCCTAGGCAGTAGTATCCAAGCACCCAACTTGTGATATCTATTTTGAATTTATATTTATTCATGCAAAGGTTTCATCTCCTGTCCTGATTTGAAGACCTACTTCTCTTAGTGGTCTATATTGTTTTTAGCATTGGTACTAACAGCCTCTTACTTTGCAAACAGGGTGCTCTAAATCCTTGGTGGGTCAGAATCTAGCCCTGGTGGGTTGAGGACAGGACAACAGACTTGGGTGCAAATATTTTGACAGATGGTGCTTTAGGATTATATTTATTAAAATATTTATGGCCTGCCTTATATGCATTGATCTCAGGGCATGATACGCAATGCATTTAAAACAATCATTCAGTTATATAGGTTCAAAATATGTTGCTTAAAATAGGAGAGAGGAAAAAATTAAACCCAAGTTTCTTATGGTGCTCATTAATCTTACATGATACTGAATTTCACAACTGGGATCATGGAGTAAGCAGAACCTTGAGAATTGATTCTAAACAATTATATGTGTTATCTGAAACTACAGCTGTGGGGTAGCTTTAATTTACTGCGAGTACTGTAATGACCAAGAGACTTGAGTTGTGAACCTAGAAATCACTAGTTCAGGTATTACCTTGAACTTACTAGATGGCACCTAGCAATCTACCGTCTCTCAGTCCCCCCACTCCCCCATCTTCAATGTAGGGAGAGTCCTGACCTACCTGACATGGTGGTTGTGAGGATTCCTGATATGAAAATAATCTTGGTATGTATGAAGCACCTTAGAATCTTCAAGTATTATTATTGTTATTGCAATAGATTTACATTGAATCATCCTCTGTCTGCATGTGTAAAAAACTGAGAAACTATTCAGCTGTGTTTCTTTTCTTTTGTCCAAAGAAAGTCTAAATATTGCTTCCATTTTGTCAACCATTTCTTTCTTCCCCCTCTTTCTACAGTGTTATTAACACAATGTTGGTGACATGTGCTGTCTGCTGCTACCTCTTGTAAGTATCCATTTTTCTCCTTTCAGTCCAGATGTAGCCAAATCTTTGATAGCACAAAACTACAATGCCTTTTTTATTTTAGTAACCTGGCTGGGTGTCTGATGTGATTGGCTGATTTGCAAAAATATGAACATACTATGTAGGATAAAGAACTTTATATAGTTCTCTGATGTAAATCAATTGTTAGTTCTTAACCAGGGTATCATAAATGATGGGAACATTAAGTTTTCTATAATAGAGTTGACTGTACATGAGTCTTTTGGGATGCAGAAATTGAAGTCCTATCACCCTTCTGATTTCTGTGCTGTTTAATACTTAATAGTTGTGCTTCCTCCTTTTCTAGAAAATTTGTTTAAACCATTTCTGCTTCCTGTATTTCTGCTTTAAAATGACTTTTCAGAATATTGCTAAAACAGTAAACCATAACAAAATTTTCAGCCTAGTTTTACCAGCTGACAGGCTCCTAGTTCAGCAATGCAACTTATCCACATGGGAGTAAACTGATCTTCTGTACTAACAGGAAGCTAGTCAGCTAGAATACCATTGTGTAGTGCTAGTTTAATCTGAAGAATTTGCCTCTGCTTTTGCTTACACAAAGTCTAGATTGATCATCTTGCAGTGTTTACAGTCAGCATGCTTCCATCAAGAACTGCCTTGCTTTAGTATAGGCCTGTTTGTGTTTGGTTTAGTGCTAGGGCAAGCAAGTTTTGTGCAAGTACATCCTGCTTGTTTATGGTTCAACAAACCCAAAGACTCATGGATGTGAAGCTGTGACCTGGCTAACTTAAAAATGCATCACACCAGGATGTCTTTGTTTTTCCTTTGCTTTTATTCAAAGCACAAATATAGATGCATGTAGGCAGTAAAAAGTTCTGACTACTTAAGGTTAGTCACTTACAGGCATGGACGTTTTCTCTTTTTTGCTAAGCAGGTAGATCAAAAAGCTATTTTATCCCAAAATTCCTTGCTATGATTAAACATCCTGTCAAATACATGACTTTGACAATACTTTCTGCATGGACATCCAGCCATAAAGAGTTCTAGAAAGCAGTTGTCGTGGTGGTATGTTGTCTGGGAAAGAAGGAAGAAGGGGTTGTTACTAAACCAGGAAAAAGGTGGGTAAACACATAGACCTGGTGTCAGCACCCAATATAGTGAAGCGTTTGCTGGGGCCTAAGCCATCACAGCAAAGCTGTTGCTTTGCCCTCCCCCTCCTCAGCTCCTCCTACCACCTGGGCCTTAGGCAGCAGTGATTCCACAGTGGAGAACCTCTCCTTCTGCTTGTTAACTTGTTGTGAGCTGGTGGCTTTGGCAGCAGCCATGACACTATAGTAGACTACAGTAGAGCTTGTAGAACTGTAGTAGAGCTTGCCTCCTGGCCTATTACAGAGCTATTGCCATGGGAGTGAATAGTATTGCTCATGGAGAGGAGCTGGTGGCTGCCCCTTAACCATGTGCTCTCAAGGAAACTTGCCTGGCAGTGCCAGGTAAGCTGGCAGCTGCAGCACTTCTGCCACCTGGGGTCCCAAGTGACAGCACATAAGCCTCCCTAAGGACCCCCCCCCCACCAGCCCAAAAAAGTGGAGCTAGGATTCAGTACATAGCAAATACAGCAGTCAGAACTAGCTATGGGGTACAACTGTGTAAGTGATACTAAAATTTCAGAATACCTGACTCAGATAGTATCATGAGACTACCAACATCTTAACCCACATGAGAGCTTCCTGTGTTGTTGGGATCAAGGGCTGAGTGCTGACCTTGCAGTACAGAAGCTATACAGTTCCTAGATCCCTGGGAAGAGGGAAGAATAATAGTTATTTATACATACATACATACCCCACCCATCTGGCTGGGTTTCCCCAGCCACTCTGGTTGGCTTCCAACAGAATATTAAAAACATGATAAAACATCAAACATTAAAAACTTCCCTAAACAGGACTGCCTTCAGATGTCTTCTAAAAGTCAGATAGTTGTTTATTTCCTTGACATCTGATGGGAGGGCATTCCACAGGGCGGGTGCCACTGCCGAGAAGGTAGTGTTGTACCACTCTGAGGAATGTAGCTCTGAGGTGACTAGAGGTCTCCTAACAGCTCCCTGCGCCCTTAAGAAACTAGTTTCCAATACAGTGGTACCTCGGTTTACGGCCAGTCCAATTTACGAATTTTTCGGTTTACGAACTCTGCAAACCCGGAAAGAGTGTCCTGGTTTGCGAACTTTTCCTCTGTCTGTGACCGGAATCCGAACGATGGAAGGGCACCGGCAGCGGGAGGCCTCATTGGGGAAAGTGCAATTCGGTTTACGACCGGTTTCAGTTTACAACTGAACGGATTAAGGTCGTAAACCAAGGTACCACTGTACAATACTTTACAAGTGTGGGCGGGGCCTAAGTGTCATGGTGCACAGGGCTTTTTGCAATATTCCCTTTGTGTAAATAGGGTCATCTTTACAAAAAACAAGAAAGAATCCAGGTCTACAAAGCTACAATATAGTACCTGTAGCTCTGTGGAACTAGTTTTTTCTTTTCTTTTTAAAAACTGTTTATAGGATTAAGGTGAAAAGTAAGAGGTTTGAGGAAAAAACAAGATGGGATGGAGATAAGGAGTCAAGGGAGGAACACTGAGATCCTTTTGAGCGAACTCCTTTTTTAAATCTTTTTCTTCCCCACCCATCCATGTGTTTTCTTTATGAATCTGATACCAGCTAAATCAATACCACTATGTATGTGGTGGGAACAGCTTGGTGCTCATATATAGCTTCAGGGTAATTTTCCACAGTTGTAAAAACATACGAGGGCTGCCCATTGCACTTCCATGGCTTGGTACAAATTTATCATAGGCTTTGATAAACAGTGTCCGCATTCACAACACCAAGTGAGAAAATAGCATATTGCAATGTGGGACATGATTACAGCTGGACTTCCATGGGAGTGGCTTTGGGCTTAGTTTGCATTTTCACAGAGCCCCACTTAAGAGTAAGCACTGCTGCTTGCTGAGAGGTGACCATGTTGCATACACTTTCAAGGAATAAAAATCAAAACCACTAGAATGCCTATATTGCGCAAATCTAATTGAAAAAACACATAAACGTAATAGGCTGTATAATAACAATTGTAAAGTTATTTAACTACTTCTCAAAATTAGATACAGCTTCTCATAATGTCAAAATCAACATCGTGACATAACATACTAAAATGTAGCTTATTCAGTTGACCACCGAGTCCACAGAGTTTTTTTACACTTTCAAGGAAACAATGACTAGCTCTATCTTCCTCCTCCTTGGAACCTAAGCTAGATTAAATGCTATTATAACCGCCTTCAATAGCCACCATGGGCTACATATGTGAATGGCAGTACAACAAATGGATCTTGTCATCTGACATTCCAAACATAACTTCTTCTTGTTTTTAAAATAGTACTGCACTGCTCAAACAAACCCTGTATCAGTCATTATATGTTTTGATTCAATAAGAAGAAGAAGAAGAGTTTGGATTTGATATCCCGCCTTTCACTCCCCTTCAGGAGTCTCAAAGCGGCTAACATTCTCCTTTCCCTTCCTCCCCCACAACAAACACTCTGTGAGGTGAGTGGGGCTGAGAGACTTCAGAGAAGCGTGACTGGCCCAAGGTCACCCAGCAGCTGCATGTGGAGGAGCGGAGACGCGAACCCGGTTCCCCAGATTACGTGACTACCGCTCTTAACCACTACACCACACTGGCTCTCCAGTGTAAGGAGTGTAGGGCGAGGACATAAATGGGCCCTGGTCAACCGTTTTAATTATCTTCTGTAAATCTAAAAATTACAGCATGCAATGATGCAGAAAGGTGTCTTCTCAATAGAGTAGAAGGAAGGGAAGCTCCATATATAAAGCTTCTGTTGATATCTAGGCTTCCTTTTGACTTGGGCCTCCCTTGTCCTTGTGAACAATCAGAATTGGTGAAGGTGACATCAGTATGGTGCAGAATTCCTAAGTTGTAGAGCCAGATAAGCTGGCCCTGCCTAACAGTGGAAGTTCAGCGGTTCTTCCTCTGCTTCCCAAGCAAGAGCAGTACATCTTCTCCTTCACCTCTTTAGCTATGTATTTCAGCTCAGTTTCTGCACATCTATTCTGTAGGTTAACACCAAATGCTAATCCTTATTTTCAAGGGAGATTTAGAATGCAATTATGTTAACTGATTTTCTCCCCCAAATAATTATGTGTGGCTACTATTTCATAATAAAATCTCCACTTCCCCCATGATTTAAATATTTCTACTATTTTGGAACAGGTGGGAAGCGTGGCATCCAAAATCAATGGTAATTGTGAATGGCAGTGCTTTTGGCAACACTGAGATGTTACTAATGTAGCATATGCATTTTGCATATGTCTTCGTTGCTACTGTTGTAATAGTTTTTTTCATTACATATCCTTCATATGTATTGATGGGCAAAATGTTTTATGGCAGTCTTGGCAAAGAGCACAACTTTGTGGTTCTCTCATTCGTCAGTTCTTGGGACCTCTTCCCATCAAAGATAAAACAAAGTCTGAATCTGGGTGCTGATCATTAAGGCTGCCTTGTAATTTCTGTCTTGAGTAATTTTCTGGCAAGATTGCTTTTGAAAATGAAACGGCATTCACTTTCTACCTGGTAGCACAGCTCTGGGTAGGTGAATTCTGTATTCAGAGTGCACTTGTACAGTGGTGCCTCGCAAGACGAAATTAATCCGTTCCGTGAGTCTCTTCGTCTTGCGGTTTTTTCGTCTTGCGAAGCACGGCTATTAGCGGCTATTAACGGCTTAGCGGCTTTAAGAAAAAGGAAACAAACTCACAAGAACTCGCAAGACGTTTCGTCTTGCGAAGCAAGCCCATAGGGAAATTCGTCTTGCGGAACGACTCAAAAAACGGAAAACCCTTTCATCTAGCGAGTTTTTCGTCTTGCGAGGCATTCGTCTTGCGGGGCACCACTGTAACTTGTTTGCTTTCATCATGTATACAGTGGTACCTCGGGTTACATACGCTTCAGGTTACAGACGCTTCAGGTTACAGACTCTGCTAACCCAGAAATAGTACCTCGGGTTAAGAACTTTGCTTCAGGATGAGAACAGAAATCGTGCTCTGGCGGCACGGCAGCAACGGGAGGCCCCATTAGCTAAAGTGGTGCTTCAGGTTAAGAACAGCTTCATGTTAAGAACGGACCTCCGGAACAAATTAAGTACTTAACCTGAGGTACCACTGTACTAGAAATGGGATGCAAAATCTGTATCCCCTTTGGATGTGGTTGGACTACAACTCCCATTGTCCCTGACAGCTTGTTGGGGCTGATGAGAGCTGGAGTCCAGCAACATCTGGAGAGCCATATGTTAACTACTCTGTACTAGATAACGGTGAGGATACCATTGGAAAATATTGTAATGGGCTTACCTGAAATCTGCAGGAATCAGTACTACTGTGGCCCGAAACTGCCCTATGCTTGCTGCACAAAACATCCCTTTTTGGATTAGGCATGACTAACTTGCATGCTGGGGAGTGTCTTAACCTCCACCAGGAAAGAAGCTGTGGCTAAGGTTTGTGGGAGCTCCATTATTAATCTGGAAACAGGATAGATTGCCTCTTGGTAACATGATAGAATACATATAGTAGCTGTACAGATTGCCCTGTTTTGTGTTTGTTTTCTGCTGTTATAGTACCTTATTTTTTGATTTTCAAAATTTGGGGCAATTTGGGTTGTGTCGAACTAAGTCGTACTCAGAGTGGACTCATTCAAATTAATGAACCTAAGTTAGTCATGCCTATTAACTTCAGTTGGTCCACTCTGCGTAAGACTAGCATTGGATACAACCCTTTGTAATAACTTATCAAAAATAAATCTGATTATCATTTGAAAAGGCCAAATATCAGGCACCACAAGGAGAGTTTATTTCAACCTATGGCATCCTGATAAACCTATAGGAGCATATGTGTTCTTTCTGTTTTCAAAATGTCTACTTTCAGGGAACCCTTTTCACATTGACATGCCTGTCACAGAACCTTGTCTGTAACTGAGAATACGTTCCATACACCATTGGAGCAGGAAACTAACTGGCTGTGCTTTCTGGTCTTTGCTGTTACCCCTTGAGAACTGAGCATGTGCCATAGAATGCCTTCATAACTGTTTGTGGGTGTACACTGTGGAGGAAGATTGGTAACAGCAGAGAAGCTGCCTTTCAGAAAATCTTCTGCCCTTTGTTGATTGCTTCTGAAGAACCCCATGGGTTCTCTGGGACACAGTGTGAAAAGTGCTGACCTATAGCACGCTCTAAGCAGAGCAAACAGTAAGCAAACAAGCAAAGATGTATGCTGGTTATATAAAGAGAAAGAGACAGTGTATAATATACACACTGCAACGTAACTATTTGATATGGGTTAAGCTTCCTTCTGGTCACAAATATGTCAGTTGGGACTCCAAACATGAGTAATCATATCTGTAGAATAATGGGCGGATAGCTCAGTTGGTTAGAGTGTGGTGCTCATAATGCCAAGGTTGCAGGTTCAAACCCTGTATAGGACAGCTGCAGTATTCCTGCATTGCAGAGGGTTAGACTAGATGGTACTCAGGATCCCTTCCAACTCTACAATTCTGTGATTACATGATTTCAAGGGAAACTACTGGGATCAAAGAGGATGTCATCCTATATCTGTAGCAATCCATGATGAAAATGCTAGATTTTGCCAGGAGTCCTGTTAGTAATCAGTGTTGAAAGTGTGCATTCATTTTGCTGTGGCTGTTTAATCTGTAAAATTAAGAGCAGTACTGAAATTTGACCAATGAACTCTGAATAGGATTAATCCTGTATTGCTTGTCTCTGTCTGCTATGGCTTTTCCTTCCCTCTCCCAGCTGACCTGCGTTTCATTCTCTGGTCGAAGCATCCAGGTTTGTGTGGAATTTTCCATGACTGCCTAAGCACTCTGCATCTGTAGCAGCTCACATTACAAAGCCGCTTTGCTCTTCCTCCTCCTTCTATAGCATTCTAGAATTAGCAGTTAGATGTGCCTGTGTGTTCACAAAATGTTTTGTGCACTGAACATTTAGCTACACAGTAGCGTTGTACAAATTAAAGAGATTCTTAAGCCCTTTCTTATTTGCCGTTGTTAACATACCAAATATGTAACCCAGAAATAAATGTGTTGCAGTTTTCTAAGTGTTTTTCGTGCTACAAAATGTATTGTGTCCTACTGGGGCATTGAGTCCTCCTGCTTCGCTAATATGGTCACTGCTCTGAGAAGTATGCATTTTGTTCTATAGCCATTGCTAGTAGCTTCACAAACTCTTAAAAGACATTCTGTGTTAGGTTGTCATAAAAGATATATGGGTAGAAGACTTAAGCTTTTATAAGTATAACATTGATGCAAAAATCCCCTGACGCTTGTCTCCTGCTCCTAATGTATGTCCACTAGCAATGTCAATGTCTAAACAAGACACACCAACCCTGTGAAACTACAATTAGAGCAAGAGAAATGATGGGTCTGACAAATAGGGCTGCCGAGTGACTGTATTTTTAGGTTGCCCTTTAATATTGGAAGAAACCAGTCAGACCTGCAACAAAATGTTACCCTTTGGAGTGTTCATGTTCAGTCAGTCGTGCCCTTCTCCATACTTAATTCCATTACTCCTCACATCCAGTTTTCCAATTGCCTCTTGTCATTCAGCATTCTGTGTTCAGCATGCTCTGTTCTTATTAGGTTGTTTTACCGGGTTGCAAACCTTCTGGTTTATCCAGGCCTGCTCATATGCCCCTTTTATGTGTGGAAGGTGCCTTTGGCTACATAAACAGCACTCACCTCTGAACATGAGAACTAGAGGGAACCAGTAGGTCCCGGCATCAAAATGTGGAGTGCTTGTTTAAGGTTCAAGTCTCTCCACTCCATCCCGTCCCTCCGCCTGGCTTTCTGTCTTGTCTCCCCCAACAGTCAGTCAGCATTCTTTGCCCACAAAGCTGTCCTCATTGGACTGGTTTTTCTTCCTCGAGGTGTAGTGAACACTCTGGTGCACAGCCCCAGCTACATAGAAATCTTGGATGTCTCCTTTGATTTCTATGAGTAGCTTTCTGTTCCATCACTGGGAAAATTTAAAAAAATAACTTCTCAGAGTGATCCTGGAAATTGCCTATCTAGACAAAGAGGTGGTTCTATCCCTTTTATGTTTTTATATTGCTGACTGTACACTACCACAATATTTTATGAAGGGGTGGTATAGAAATAATCTTCAGGGGTACCCCTAATTTGCTGATACCTCCCACTTAGTGTGGGTAGTGTGGTTCTGGTTGCATAAGTGTGAGCACTACCAGACTTGAAATCATAATTCGTATGTAGATCAGCCTTCCTCCATTTGTTTTCTTTATTACAGTTCTCATCGTTCCTGACCATTGGCCATGCTGGCTGGGGCTGATGGGAGTTGCAAAACATATGGAGGAGCCCTAGGTTGGGGGAGGCTGATAGAAATGATGCTGATACATATTGAACTTCCTGGGTGATGGCATGAGTTAGAACACTTTTTTAAACAGTGAAAATGGAAGAGAAGCTGCCTAGTTAAAACATGAGAATTACTTGAAATGAAGTAGGGCAATACACTTTGATTTATGGGCAGTTGCTCAAACTTTTATGGGTATCTTATTTTCAAAGTTTAATTTTGGTAACATTTTGTTTGGACACTAGTTTTAAGTAACTTGCCATTCTATCTCTTCCTTGGGTATCCTGATAAATTTTAGTCATTCTGTTAATAGTCTGCTCTTGTCTTGCAGCTGGCTGATTGCAATCCTGGCTCAGCTGAACCCTCTCTTTGGACCGCAGTTAAAAAGTGAAGTAATTACATATCTAAGGTACCACTGGCCTTAACCAATGTGCTCTTCTACTGCAGTTTGTGGACTGGGTAAATATTGCCACTTTTAAAATTATTTATTACATTTACATCCCACTTTTCCTCCAAGGAGTTCAAGTTGGTGGACATGGTTCACCTCCTCCCATTTTATCTTCACATGTTTACATACCCAGTGGAATTGGTACTTCAACTCCCAGCACAATTTCCATTCTTTCTCTATTGCCATTTTCTCTTTAATGAAAACTTGGACTCCCGTGGTTTTGGCTCATGCTGCAAGTTTTTTCTCCATGCCATATTCCGTGTCTGTTGCAGAGCTACAAAAATGCAAATTCCAGTTTCTGTTTATGGGTTTCTAGAAAGACAGCTGTGTTAGTCTCTTGCAGCAAAAGAAGGGAGAGGCTTATAGCATTTCATTATGGCATAAAGTTTGGTGGATTTCTGCATCTGATTAAGTGGACTGTGGTCCATAAGAGCTTATGCCTCAACAAATATGATGGTCTTTAAGGTGGAGTAGCCAATGTGGTGCCCTTCAGTTTTTGTTCAAAAATAAAAGAATTGTCTGCTTGCATGGGAGTGAGAAGCAATTGTTCCTATGCAAGCAAACAATGGCGCTGGCTCCCTTTTCTTCCTGCCTATTGCTTTTCTATTCCTGGAGTCAAAAAGGGCTTTTGCTTTAAGGGGCACTAATAAATTATCCAGTGTTTATTCTGTCTACTTATTTAATATTGAACAAAATAGCTGTGCCCCCAAACTTCCTGTATGAGGTATGTGTTGTATAAGGGGGGGGGGGTATACCATTCTCTCTGCTTTAGTTCAGTGGTTGAACATTGCTGTTGCAATGTTGGCTAAGGCCTGACAGGGCTGTGGGTTGTTTTAGTAAGTCTTCGTCTCTCAATGCACCAAGAAGTTTGCCATGCGAACAATTACAGCAGGAAGCAACTTCAGGAATGTGGATTCTGTAATGGTGAAACTCAATAGTTCAAAAGGGTTCTACCTGCTGTTTTATCTTGCAGCTCTGATTCACCTTAATAACTATAATTTCCTCTGTTTGAAAAAGCTGAATAGCAGAGGACAACTGGTGGCTGATGTTATGGTTTAATTGTCTGCAGTTAAGCTTCCTTGAAACAAAGCTCTAGTGTTTTCAGATCAGGGTTGTAATGAATTGGGATAGTGACAGGCCGCAGTGAGCATAGGGAGCCTGGTTTCCCTTTTTTTAGCAACTCATACAAGTTGGCAGTAGTCTTGTATTTTACAAAGAAAGGCCTCGTGCAACACAGCAGTGAACCTGGCTGTATTTGCTTGTAATAGTGCAGTGCATCCTGCCAAGTAACAACTTGACTTGAAAATTAAGTTGGTGGTATATCAATAACTAAGGAATTGGAATTAACTTGGAGGTGGGGGCAAAATTTAGCCTTGTTGCTCAAAGGTGATATTCTGGCACTAGGTACTTGGTTTCTGCTCTTATTTTTTTCTGATACTGCTAATACCAGTGGACTCTAGCTGACAGTTTGTATTGACTTATTACTGCATTTTGCACAATTGGTTCATGTTTTAGTGAGTAGAGTCTGGAAAGTAAGTCTTTCAAGATCCAAATGGATCTTCAACTATTAGTGTAATATTTTCTTTGCAGCAACTGTGATGCTTAGTATAATAACACCTCCCTGCAAGAATTTAACTAATAGCTGAATTAAAAATGCCACTGAAAGAAACTAAACTGCTTTTTTGCTTTGCAGGATATGAAGAGATTTTCTTTATGTAAAGCCCTGTTGATCCAGATGCCTTCTAACGTACTTTGAATCCGACCACGTCTGCTCAATGCCTTACTGTCTGTTCTATTACAAGAAATGTTTGCCTAATCTTGTTGTTTTTTCACCTATGAAAGTGCCTAATAGATACCTATATTTCTACTCAGTACAATGTTGTGCTTGAATTTCTAGTATTATAAATAATATTCCATCCCTCTTCTCTGCACTGACAGTGGCTAGATGGAATTGAGAATTGCCTCTGAGCATTTATTTGCCTTACCAATTTTTATACTAGACTGTCTACTGATCCAGTTTTACAAGCACAGTCTGAATGCTGTGTCTGATAACTTTAAGAAATATGATTGTGTCCTCAAATCTGAAATAAAATTATTTTCTTCTTAATGTGGTCTTCTGGCTTTCTTTAGAACACGTTGTTCTTGCATAAGCATATTCAGCACTTTTATAACATCTGAAAAGTTAGGGACTTAATGATTGGTTGCATGCCTGTGTGGAACAGTTCAGTTGCTTCACTGAAGTTTTGCCCCACCCTTCATGAAGTGTGTATGCTGTGAGAAATACCCAATATGGGAACTTGGATACTTTCATAGTGTTTGAATGGAACTGCAGTACAAATAGTGTAATTGTTCCTTAAGCCATATTAAGTTCAGGATAGAATTTACAAATGTTTATGAAATAATGAAGTGACTGGGTAACCCGCATATAATTTGCTTCATCAGCTGGTTTGCTTAGAAGCATATATTAGGAATGAATATGGTTACAAAGCACCTTTTGTGATGTTTTGTGCATGGCAGACTTCTAAAGTGATCATGCAAATGTTGTATTGTGGGAATAATACTTGGGAGTGGCTGTGCTTTTGAATGTGCTTGTGAACGCAATTCTGAACACATGCATGCTCATGGCTGGCAGCTGAATGTTTAAAGAGACTCATTGCAGAACGTTGCTTGAGCTGACAAAGATGTGAAAGTCCTAGCTGGGGGGTGTTTGGAATTAGGAAGGCTTGTTTGTGCACAAGTCAGCAAGTAATCCATATGTAAACAAGTTATTAGACTGCTGTAAGGTCCTCTTCAAAAATAGCACTGTGGGAAAGTTATACGGATGACTGAATGTGAGATTACTAAGCAGTGAGGTATGGTTTTGTAACAAGCTCAAATCCTTGCAGTGGACACATAGCCACAGTTAGCTCTGGAAAACGGGAAGGGAGCTAATAAACCTTTGCCGCTATGAGTGACATCCAGTTGTGGCATCCTGCTTGTGCAACAGACTTCCATGTGCACAAAGGGGCATTTTTCTTTTCATAAAGGTAAAGGGGCCCCCGATGGTTAGGTCCAGTCGCGGACGACTCTGGGGTTGCGGCGCTCATCTCGCTTTATTGGCCGAGGGAGCCGGTGTACCTGGTCATGTGGTGCTTTCTAATTTCATGTGGTTCATGACTAAGCTGCTTTCTGGTGAACCAGAGCAGCACACGGAAACACGATTTACCTTCCCACTGGAGTGGTACCTATTTATCTACTTGCACTTTGACGTGCTTTCAAACTGCTAGGTTGGCAGGAGCAGGGACCGAGCAATGGGAGCTCACCCCATCGTGGGGATTCGAACCGCCAACCTTCTGATCAGCAAGCCCTAGGCTCTGTGGTTTAACCCACAGTGCCACCCGCATCCCTTCCCTACAGCTCCCATAAATCTGTTTTGGAGGGTATAGGGAACTGCAGGGGCCAGGAGGCAGTGGAGGAAGGGAAAGTCCTGTTGCATCCACTGGCACAATGTTGCAACTCACCTAACAAAGTTGTGTTTGCAAAAGAGCAAGCAATGAGAAAGAAGCACCAAACCCAAAGCCTGGTGGCGATTTCCACAGAAGCACAGCTCTTAATGCCTTCCTATGAGGAGCATCATCATGACACTAGAAGCACTTGCAAAGTTAAGCACTGGGGAGGAATGCTCATTTTTGCTCTGCAGTATCTTCAGTTGTGTACCTTTAGAACAAAAAAATCCCATGAATCTATTTCCTATAAATTGTCGCTGTATATTGAGGCCTGCAGACGATGGTTTCCACCAGTGATGATGGGAACTGTAGTCCATAAATACCTGGAGGACCACAGGTAACCTATCCCTGCCATAGCAAATGCTCGGCCGAATGCAGAGTTTGATCCCACTTCTTCCTTTCTCCTGCGAGCTCGCCGTGCGGCTCGAAACTAGCAGCTGCCACAGCCGTGCCTCTCTCGGGCTCGCCGCCGCCGCCGCCGCCGCCGCCGCTCCGAGCTGAGAACAGAACGTTCTCTTCCTTCTATCCTCCCCCGCCCTTCTCACTTGAAGCGGTCACGTGAGAAGGGAAAACAGTTTCTGCGGCCGCTGATTGGCTCTCGGCTCCTCGCTCTCTGATTGGTGGCCTGGCTTCCTCACTTTCTGCCCTCTCCTGGCTTTGCTTTTCCCTTCTCCTCCCCCGGTTTTTTTTTTTTTTTTAATAAAAAGCCCACGTGATGGGGGCGAGTCACGCGATTTCCGGGAACCCGTCAGGAAGGGACATAAACAAAACAAACCCCAGAGCGGCATGGAGGGGCCGGGCCAGGGCTGGAGCCTCAGCAGAAGTGGGGGCCCCCACTGAGACACCCCCCATTACCCCGCTGGGACGGGGCGCCAGGTAAGGGGCCTGAGGGTGAGGCGGAAAAGGCTGGAGCCCCCGAGGCGGAGGGTGGGGGGCAGGAGCTTGAAGGGGGTGTAGCGGTGGCCGTAATGCCCCAGCGCGGAAGGAGGGCAGAGAAGCGGCGCTGAACGTCCCAGCAGCTCTCCGAAAAGGCCCGGGCTGGTGGGAGGCAGGAGGAGAGAGGCGGGGTTGCCGTGCGCCCCCTTTTTTGGGGGGTGCGGGGAGTTTGTCTTGCTGTTGCCCCCGGGAGGCGAGAGTCCTCTGCTGGGGAGGCTGCGGGGGAAAGAGCGATCGTGTCGGGAGGAGAGATCTAAAGTTGCTGTTTCTTCTGCCGCAGCTTTTGCTTCGGAAAGGGGGCGTGGAGGCAGCTGCGGGAGCAACTGCTGGCTGGAGGATTAGGCTTGGTGTGTGGTCTTTACTCAAGGAAGGAGGGCGAGGGGCTGCGCGCCCCCCGGAGCGTCCCCTTAATCCTAGCAGCGATTGTGCAGGATTCCTGCAGCGAAAGCAGTTCTGGTTTCTTTTGGCCTCTCGCCCCTACATGGGAAAGGATATGGAAGAAAGGGGCGTGTACTTGCTTGGTTGTCTCGCTGGGAGGCTTTGCCTTCTCCTAGGACTGCAGAGGAGCATGGGAGGGAGAGGCGTGGGGAAGGGGGAGTTTGGGGAAGCTTTTGATTTTGTAAGTTTCCTTTTCCTTGTAAGATGTAGGAGGTAGCTGATGGTAGGTGTGGTGATACTGTGGACTTCTGTAATGGTAGTTAGAATAATCCAGTGCTTACCTTCTGCCCTATTTCCATCTTGAGAGACGTAGTTCAACCTGGTTGTTTCAAAAGGTGTCTTGATATGTTTATGACAAGGTGGAGGATGATAAGAAGCTGTTTGCCTCGTTTTCGCAGTCGTCCACACGTTTCCTCTCAGCCTGGGGTAGGTATCTAAAACGAAAGGAGTTAAGATCTTGAGTTGTGCAGTTGTGTCGGTTCAGATCTTTCGTCTCCCAGAAAAGCTGAATCCTTTAAGGATGAATGTGTTGCCAGAAGTCGTTGTTGCAAAAGGAACGAAGGAAAAATCGTTAATGATGAACTATTACTAAATAGCCGTCAAGATTAGGAGAGACAAACATCCAGAATCCTTTTGCTTCAAATCGTGTTACACCTAAAGGCTACACGTGTTCCCATTTTATTGCCTGCTTAGACTGCATGAGGGGTGGGGAAGTGAAACCTCTCGGGAGATTGCCTGAGTCCTCCTGTCTTTGCCATGGTCCAGCCAAGAGAGTAGAACATGGAAACCAAGTAAACCGTGCGGAGTCCAAGAAAGAAATGTTGTATTTGTTGTCTTATGCAAAAGAGGCGTTGGCAGAAAAAGATGAAAATCGGTCAGTTCAAGTCTCGTGATACTCTGCGTCTCTGTGAGGTGCGAGAGAAATCCTCAGTTTCGTTGCAATGATAGGACTTTGGGAAAGTGACAACTGAGTTTGGCCCCACAAGGGGAGGGGGGCGGAACCCGAGGCTTGCCGGCACCCCTTTCATTTAGGGGGACATGCAGTCTGTTCGGAGCCCCCTCTCGTTCTTGCCCTCCACTGCTCCTCTTTCCCACCCTCCCCAAAGGCAGGTCACAGCTGCCTTCTCTTCCACCCACTCCTTATGACTTTCGTAAGTGATCTTGTGGCTAAAGAATGTCGCCGCCCTCGCGAGTCAGGTGTTTGGGGGGCTTCCTTCCCCTCCTCCCCCCGGATCCCTTCCCCGCCCTTGGCTTGGGGAGGACGGAGGGCGTGGGCCGGCGGAGTCCCGCTCGCTTCGGAGCATCCAGAAAGTGATTTGTTTACATGTCGCCTCATGCTAGCTTGGGGGAGGCCACTGGGTAGAGAGACTGACGGGGAACCAGCCCAATGGCAGCGGGGCTTGGAATTAGGCGGGCCAATGCGACCAGGGAGGGGGTGGGGCCAAGTGACAACTCGGTCGGCTGTGTTTCGGTGCGTTTGGTGGGGCGGCCATGTTGGATGGGAGGTGTGTTAGTGGGTCAGCCTAGCCGAGGGGGGCTGTGGCCTGGGGGAGATGAAATAAAAAGGGGCAGGAGTTTAAGAGGTTGCTGAAGGCCCCGTCCCCACCCCGTAGAGCAGGCGGGCCCTGGGCAGAGCAAGTTTCTGTAGGCTGGAGGGACGACTTGGATTTAATGCTCCTTTTCCTTTTCCTGCAGTGAAAAAAAGTCATGCCAACTCTGTTGTGCCGCCGCCAAAGTATGTTGGGGCAGGCATGTGGGCATGCAGCAAAAAGCAGGCGAGAGTTGCCGTCACAGTTGCCATGAGTTTTTAGAGAAGCACATTTCCATTATAGGGGCGGTTTCCTATCTACCCGTCACCTTTCTCTCTGGAAAAGGGGGCAGTTCCTTTTCACGTGAACGGTTTTAGTATTCACACGAGTTGCAATAATCACGCTCCATGTAATTTTTCGTATTAGTATTTAATATTTGGAATTCGTGTGAATACTAAAACCTTTCACGGTGTATTTATGTCCTTGCAGAAGCACAGGAATGTCTATACCTGCAGCAAGCCATTATAAAAGCTAAATACAATTTCGTTGCTTTAAAAAGAAACACCATGCAGGAAAAATGTGCACCATTATAAATCATTATGGAGACACATAACCAAGTCCAGGGATGGAATAAAATGAATACAGTTAAAGAGACAAGGTCTATATGTCTTACTATAGTTCAGTGATTTTATTTATTTAAGTGGCTTCTATATTGCTGTTCAGGATCAATGCATTCAAAGCAGGAGTTCCTAAATTGGTCTGTGGCCCACCAGTGGTCAGTGAGCTTCATTCAGGTGGTTTGTAGTATGTCTGCGTTTAATATTCACATTGATTTTTAATTGTATTTTTATTATATTGTATTTTATTGCAATTTGAATTCAGAATGTAATACAATAAGGTGCAATATAAGAAAAGAATGTAAGAAACAAAAAACCCCAATAAAAATGCAATTAAAAATTATGCAGCATCTAGCACAGTGTATTGCAGCCGGTACCACAGGCAGAAAAATCATAAAGTGGTCTGCCAAGACCCTCAGCAATTTTCAAGTGATGAGAAGGGGTATGGGAACCACTGTCTTAAGATATAAACCAGAGAGGTTAATGTGTTTTTATTTTAAATGCCTGTGTTTTGTGATGATGTAGAAGGGCTACCTTCTCTTCTGCAACCAGTACTGGACAGACGGCATTATCTCTGCAGAGGTCACTGAAGCAACCTCAATTTTTTGTGCAAGCTTCTTGTAAATACAGTCATTGTTGCATGTGATGCTGCAGTTCCTAAACAAGCAAGAGTTTAACAAAGAGCTGTAGCTTGGTGGTAGAGCCTCTCCCACCTCCTATGTGGTCTTCCTATGTTCCTATGACTATTGTATGAAACCCTGGAGAACAGCTGCTGGCTGGTATTGACAATACAAGCTAGATATACCAGTTGTTTGATTCCATATAAGGCAGATTCTGCTGTTCTGTGTTGCAGATTTGCTTCATTGGTGGAGCATAGTAATATGCCATGTGCTCTTTATTTTTGTTTGGTTTTCTTTCTGTAAAATTTGAATGCTAAGCTGTATTGCAGGCTTGCTCACTTGCAAAAGCAATACAAGTACAGTGGTACCTCAGTTTACAAACTTAATCTGTTCCAGAAGTGTGTTCTTAAACTGAAACCGTTCTTAAACAGAGGCACGCTTTCCCTAATGAGGCCTCCCGCTGCCGGTGCCCTTCCACCGTTCAGCTTCCGTTCTTAGACTGAGGTAAAGTTCGCAAACCAAGACACTACTTCCGGTTTTGCGGAGTTTGTAAACCGAATCGTTCGTAAACAGGACTGTTCTTGAACTGAAGTACCATTGTAATGTCAAGTTAAAACTTTTTAAGGGCTTGATCGGAGAATATTTAAGTACTGTATTATGGAAGAATCAAAAGACTCCCAAACCTTTTGCTTCTTTGTCTAATTACAGGGTGCAGGATTTAGTCTGTACACCTCCTAGTACATTGTCCTAGTTGCATGGAAGTGAGGTGCTTTCATTACATGTAACACTGGGAGCAGGAGGTACTCTTTAAATACCGTAATCTTATGCCAACACTGAAAAGAAGCTGGGTGACGCTGTAAGTGCAGGCAATTCTGCTTTCCTGTTACAGTACTTGTTAGCAGTGCATAGTGGGGTTGTAGTGAGGAGGGATTTCTCTATATGAATTGCAGTTCTGCATTATTTCAATTTACAAAATAATCCTTTTCTTTCTTTGGCAGCTTTTATGCCTGCCATAGCAAGGTATCATATTCCTTGTTTGGGAATAGAATCTCAGTCATGTTTGAGGCAACTGGAGACAACCAGTGCACTGGAAAACCAACTTATACCATTGTTCTTTAGCACTTTTTAGTGGTTTGATGAGAACTTTAAGTGCATCATTCAAGAAGAAAACATCTTCTGTTCCTTAAAGAGATTTTTTCCTAATACTGTAAAGAATTTAGTATTTTTGTTTTTCAGGAGCATCTTCATGATTGCCACTTATCATGAAGAGGCGCTCATTACCTCTTGGGCCCTGAGGGTTAAAGCCCTACTTGAGGCTAATGAGCAGTGAGGGGCAATGGAGGAACAATTATTTACTTATTTAAGACAGTTATACCCCACAATTTAGCCAAAAAGGCTCTCGGAGCAGCTTGCAAAAATCAGTAGTGAATTGGCTCCTGCCCTCAGAGTCACAATTTAAAAAGAGATGACACATGAGAAAAAAAGAATAAGTGGGAGGATGGGAAAGCAAGCACAATTTTTAAAGTCACAGTTCCTATAGCACAGTTATATCATTGTGTCTAAGCAGATTCTGGCTGTCTAGAAAAGCAGCAGCTGGCTGACTGGTTGACTTGCCTTCTGGAAGTACTGTTCCCCCAAATTCCGTTTCTGTGATAAATTTTAATTGTTTCTATTCTTTGTAAGGCCTTTAAAACATTTTATGTGCACCACATAGAAATTCTGAATATTAAATAGCATAGCAGTCAGTATCTTTAAAAAAATCTCATCCAGGAGCAGTGGCCAGGAGGACAGGGCAACTCCTGTCACATATGGCAAGTCACTCTTTTCTCAGCACCTGGGCACATCTGATGACTGAACTGTGTTAACAGAGACCTAAGGCAGTGATTACAAGTAATTTTATCGTTTAAAAGGTGGCTAACCTGAGGCCCTCCAGATGTTGCTGAACTACAGCATCTGTCCTCCTTGACTATGCTGGCTTTGGCTGATGTGATTTGTAGTCCAACAACATCTGGAGGAGCACAGATTATACACCCCTGCTTTAAGTGCTTAGTAAGCATGTCATAGGTGGCTTTTGATGGTTCCTTAATGTCTTCCTGGTGGCCAGATTGCAGTGGATCCTAAATTAGTCAAGAAAGTTCTGTTGAATGGCACTAGACAGGTGCAATAATGGCTGAAGCATTGTTTCTTCACTACCATCTCTCACAGAGTAGGCTCGATTGTGTGTTTTAGCCATATGTCATCAAACTCTTTGAGTTTTCCACCACCTATGTCCCTATCCTTTTCTTTGTTTCATCACCCTTTCGTTTCATTACTTCCAGCTCACTGAAAAATCATTGAGCTGTGACTAGTAGAAGAGGATGTTTAGGAGCAACCATGTCCAGTCCCAGACTCATCTCTGTGTGGAACCAGCTTTGCCAATGGAAACCTCCTCAGGAGGTTTCTTGAGTGATCTCCAGGATCAGGCTGTTCACATTGGTACACCACCCTTCAGAGACGGGTGGCTGTTATCAGCCTGAACCTCAACAGGAAGTAGTGGCTTTGTCTAGGAAATCAAATTAAACCACCCTCCTAAACCAGATGAGAAAACCCAAGTCAAATATTTGACCTGTACAGCCCCCATGATTGTCATAGCAGCCTCAGCATGTTGAGGTCCATGTGCAGGGGAGTTCTGAGCACCAATCTAAGACCACCTAAGTTTAGACAAGGAGACTGTTAGACTGAGTTGTTGGAGCACTATTGGAATTACGAACACCAGGTACACATGCTCAAAACTGGAATCCATTCAGAAGCGTGCAGAGGCAGATGGGATCTTTATAGCCCATGGCAATGCCTAATCTGTGGTAGTTCTGCACAGACTGCTCAAGATGTACACAACTGAGAGGGATCTGCTCCCAGCTTGTCGATCCATGTCTTGGTGATACAAGTCAGAATAGCTTCATCATCTATAACGAAATCAAGAATTAAGGAGATTTTCTTAATTATTAAGCAGCAATACCTTGTGAGTCCAAGACTGGGAAAAGGACTCACAATACCTTGTGAGCCCAAGACTGGGAAAAGGACTTAGAAGAAGGGCTAGGCAAATGTTTAGCTGATCTTTTCACTGGCACCAGCAAATCCTGTCGCTCCTGTAATTCCTGTATTCTCCCCTTACCTGCAATAACTGGAATGGAGGCATCCTTCACCTTCCCTCCTTAAATTGCTGGATGCTAAATTTCCTAGTTACCTCAAGATCAAGCCAGCAAGAATAGAGGCAATACCAACAGCAGACAGCTAAAATGCAAGATTAAAAAATATCACCCTACTGATTGTTAGCTTCAGAATTAGAGCACAAACTGATAATTTGATCATTGAAGATTCCCCACTCCTTGCTCCTAACTATTCCCCTACTAAAAGTTTGTACTAGATTGACCTCCAGTTTTTTGTGGTGGTTTTTTTTGGAACATGTATCAGTTGCATAATTGTTTAGCTATTTCACTTTCTGTTCTGTTTGGATTTCAAGTTTTTAGGAGAAACAGAAAGTGTGTTCATTCATAGCCATGATAAAATGAAAATCAAACTTGCCTGTTTCCATAGTTCATTTCTAAAGTGCATCTAACGTTCAAAGTACTATATAGTGGTGTTTTTTTTACTGCAGCTGAGCAAGTTTGGTGTTTTCAGCAAATTACGTTTCTGAGGGAAGTATTTCTTTTTAACCCTTGTAAATACTGGTGGGGAGTTAATGGCTCATTACTGAAAGTAGTTTTAATACGTCATCCCTTACCACCGCCCCCTGCCGGGACATGTATAAATAAAATATGTAGGCCCTAAGAGGGGTCCTCAACCTTTGGGGGCCCATGAGCATTTCTGAAATTTTAAGGTTGCACCATGGGCACTACCACAAAATGACTCTCCTTGGCATATGGCCACCCTCAAAATGGACAGCATTGAATTTATGAACTATGGTTTAGGGTTCAGTGCAATATGGCGTGTCTTCTACAGAATTATAACTCCATAATCAATTTACCTTTGGGAGTTTGTTCACAGTACTGAGGGGAAGAAAACTTTGTAATGAGCGCAGAAGACCTCACACTTCACAGTGGCCACAAAGATGAAATTTTGACGGTTGCCTACAGGATTGGGGATAGGTACCTCTGTGTTAAAATAGACTGACAAGCTAGCTGGCAGTGATATGGACTAGTATTTGCCAACACGCTTATGTAATGTGCGGAAGCAAAGTATCACTGCGTAACCAGTTAGCTACTGGACATGAATTCTTTCATAAGGACACATTCATAGCATGAAACAGTTTTCGTAATCTGGCACCACGGTCTTGAATGCTAAAGTTGTTTTTGAAAGCTATTAATAGAGCAGATGATTCTTTTGTGCATTTCAAGTCCTGACTCTAAAGTGTTCTGTACACCAGGCAGCAGACAGAAAAAAAGATCTTTCTATAAATACCACTCTCTGCTTGAAAGGCCACCTTCTGTAAGACAGTAAAAAAAAATGGTAGGAGCAGGAACTCACAGATACAAACGAGAGAGGAGGGAACTTGCTTCCAGAAAGTTTGTAATTTTGAGGAAAATAATCCTCATGGTCCCATCAAGAAGAATAAAAAGCAAGTTTTCTAAGAGTAAAACATCTGGATACAATTTGTCATTGTTTGGGACTTCTTTGAGGGTTGAATCTAGACATAGTGTTAATTGTGTGAATGCAATTAATGTGCACGTTTTTTATCTCCAAGTTGAAGCTTCTCTAGAAATGTGAACAACAGCTTCAGATATGTGATTTTTGTCAGATCTGGTAGGGGGAAAGTATGAAACTCTCCCCTCCCCCATGATGCCTTTGGCTACTCAAGCTTTGCTATGACTGCTATTTACATAACCCAAAGTGTGCAAGTTAATTGCTTTCAAACATTTAACATCATATCTAATTTAGCCCTGATGGTATCTTATGAGAAGGAAAACACTGGGAAAATATGGGCATGTATTCCTTATGTTGTTAACTAGCATTTTGGTCCTCCAAAATCTCTAAAACCAGGTGTTGAAAATAATGCTAAAACTTTTTTTAAAAAAACCTAGTTTCATGTTTTGCACAAATTTCTTTGACGGAATTGTCCACGTTAAAGTGTTTTGGGCAGGAAAAAATTTAGAACTCATTGACAAGTCAGAAGAGTAATAAGGACAGAATCTGTATTCTAGGTACAACTGTTAGATGTGATAAGCCAATAAGTCTCTTCCCTTTTGTAACTGAAATGCTTATGGCTTCCAAAGGTGGCCTCATACTTTGCATGAAGATTGAGAATACCATGGCTTGACTGAGTTGCACCTGGGTGTTTTCAGAATACACACTTATCGCTTCCATTGTACATGTTTGCTACAGGTAAGTTAGATGGTAGGGATGGGGAATTGTTTTCAACCCAAGAGCTGTATTCCCTTCTAGGCAACCTTCCAGAGGCCATGTGCCAGTGGTAGGCAGGGCCAGAGACAAACACAGTGAGAGCATTAGATGCAAATTTTACTTTCATACCATAGGTTAGCATCTACATAAACTCACATACCTCTCTGTATCCACTCAGAGAAGCAAGAGACATTATAAGAATTCAAGGACACAATCCAGCCAGGCAAAAGCTTCAAGGAAGGTATGAAGTAGAGCTAATGAGGGGTGTGGCCTGGAGAGAATGACCAGACAGTGAGGGGTGGAGGGGCACATTTGGCCCTTCAACCTGATGGTCCTAACCCCTGACCCACGGGTTCAAAACCAGTGCTGACTATTTTGTTGTTGTTTAGTCGTTTAGTTGTGTCCGACTCTTCATGACCCCATGGACCAGAGCATGCCAGGCACTCCTGTCTTCCACTGCCTCCCGCACTTTGGGCAAACTCATGCTGGTAGCTTCGAGAACACTGTCCAACCATCTCGTCCTCTGTCGTCCCCTTCTCCTTATGCCCTCAATCTTTCCCAACATCAGGGTCTTTTCCAGGGAGTCTTCTCTTCTCTTCTCGTGAGGTGGCCAAAGTATTGGAGCCTCAGCTTCAGGATCTGTCCTTCCAGTGAGCACTCAGGGCTGATTTCCTTAAGAATGGATGCGTTTGATCTTCTTGCAGTCCGTGGGACTCTCAAGAGTCTCCTCCAACACCATAATTCAAAAGCATCAATTCTTCGGCGATCAACCTTCTTTATGGTCCAGCTCTCACTTCCATACATCACTACTGGGAAAACCATAGCTTTAACTATACGGACCTTTGTCGGCAAGGCGATGTCTCTGCTTTTTAAGATGCTGTCTAGGTTTGTCATTGCTTTTCTCCCAAGAAGCAGGCGTCTTTTAATTTTGTGACTGCTGTCACCATCTGCAGTGATCATGGAGCCCAAGAAAGTAAAATCTCTCGCTGCCTCCATTTCTTCCCCTTCTATTTGCCAGGAGGTGATGAGCCCAGTGGCCAGGTGGCAAATTTGATTGTTGCATAAGGTGTGGAGCTTTGTCGTTAGCAGAAGCTTAAATTGAAGAAGGTTCTCTAAAATATCAGTAAAACAGTTATGCTCTTGTGGTTCTAGATTATAAATCACCAGGTATCACATTAGAAATCATTCCTTTAATCCTGTTCCTTATGTTTCAAAGTATTGCATAGAGTGCTCAGTGCTCTCAAGTTGTGATCCTTAGGCAGTATTTAAACTGTACAGTGGAAGTTAATTGATCCAGAGAAGCTTTTGAAATGACTGCAGGTTTGTAAAATTAAAGTTGTGTGTGAGGAGATAGCTTCAAGTTTTAGAGCTCTTGTTTGTTTTATAGTCTTGTGGTCTATGATCATACTGGTGGCACATGGATTAAAATGCTTCAGGGGAGTTTTCTTTCACATAAATTGGGTGTAAGAGATACATGACTTTTATTTTCTTAACCAGTAAATGTAGATAAAGCATTCTTCTAATGTTCTCCACTTTGCAACTAAAGGAACTAGTTTAAGTGGTGGTCAGAACCAGGCCTGTCCTTGTGGAACTCTGTTTGCCTGCCGGCTGCTGTGTGACTCATGGTCCAGTTTGAACCCAAACTTAATTCTTGTACAGTGGTACCTCAGGTTACAGACGCTTCAGGTTACAGACTCCGCTTATCCAGAAATAGTACCTCAGGTTAAGAACTTTGCTTCAGGTTGAGAACAGAAATTACACAGCGGCAGCGGCTGGCCCCATTAGCTAAAGTGGTACCTCAGGTTAAGAACGGACCTCCAGAACGAATTAAGTTCTTAACCTGAGGTACCACTGTACTGTATTCACGAGCTTTCAAGCTGATCTGCAGCATCTTTTAAACTGTACTAAATTTAGCTTTTTCAGGAAAAGAGGCATAATGAGGCATGTAGAATGGAGGCAGGATATTGGAATGATAGGTATGCCAATTTTAATTTATGAACATACAATCCTTAAACAAGCAGAAGATTTTTGTTGTTTTATGGCAGTCATTTGCTTTACCTCCAGCTTTCTGGATAAAAAAGAAGAAACTTCGAGGACTTTTTTCAGTGAATGGATTTTAATTGGGGACTTTTGCTTCTGAACTAACAAGCAAATTCATTACAGCAACCCATTGTGAAGCGCCATGGTGCTGAGTGGGTTATTCTATAGATGTTCCTTTGCATAATCTTGCTGTTTGTGGTATGCTGAAGGGTTGCACAGTTGGTGCCTTGAGGCGATCTGCCAAAAAGCTTAAACATCATGTTTCAGGGGTGGCAGGGAAGCTGGAGTAGCTAGAAATTCTAGGACAAGTATTATTATTCAACTTTAAATGGATGATCCATTGCATAGTTGTCAAAAAAGTAGATTTATTGGAAGCAAGACATTATTGGGACTCTGTCTTGTTCAAGCATGATTATGGTGCATTGTGGCTTTTTGAGTGTTTTACTGAGCTCATATTAATGACAATTATTCCTGCTGCAGCACAAAGCTGGTCAGTTATCTTCCATATGCATCTTAGGACACCACTTACCATACCTGAGTCATGTCTCCTTTCCTTTTAATTGAATTTTGAGGCATGCTTCACCCTCATACGAAAAGCTTTTGGCTTTAAAGGGTGTTAGAATAAAAACTATCCATTCTTACCTCATGGTTCTGTATGAGTTACTGTTCTAGGTGTTCCACCTCTGAGGGCAGTCTGTTGCCTTTCTGTATCAGGAGTTATGAGATAATTTGGTCACACCTGATTCAGAGTAGGGCAAAATACATAGTCATCAGCAGAGGCTGCTTGGAAGAAGAGACATCCTGAGTAGTGGATCATGCAGAGCCACCCTGAACAGTGTCTCCTGTGAGTGGACACTTTGGGATTTATATGAACATTTTAATTTCCTTCTTCTGGCACACTGGCAATTTAAAAAAACAAATAATAGAATTTAACTAACCACTGAATATTAAAAAGTAGTTTACATGCAGTAGAAAATATACCTTAACCATTCCAATAATACGAGGGGTTAAAACAAGTTAACCTACAATTTTTCCAGCTATAACAGCAGTCTTATAAACATACATTATAAAATAATATTACATATTAAAATCTTGTGGGGGGGAGCACAAACAGATGCTATGCTAGAATATGCCTTGTAATATTAAAATGAGGCTTGTAGCTCTCTGAACAGCCTAGTCTCAGTTAACCATGTCCTGGTAACATCCTGTTTGGATTACTGCAATGCGTTCTACATAGAGCTGCTTTTCAATACTGTTTGGAAACTGCAGTTGGTTCAGAATACATCAACTAGATTACAGAACGTGACTAAGCGAATAGAACCTTTCTGGCCGGTCTTAAAACAGCGGCACTGCCACCTGATTTGATTCCAAGCACAATTCTCAGTGCTAGTACTGACCTTTAGAGTTCCAAAAAGCTTGAAACATGGATGCTTAATGGAACACCAGCTATTAAGATCATTCTCAGGAACCCCTTCACCACTGCCTCATATGTCCACATATTCAGTCCGTTGTCAAATCATGTCATTCTCCATTTCAACATTTCATAAATATAGCCATTGCACTGTGCCTCTTCAACAAGTACTCCTGATTTTCATGCCCTCTTCTCTCTGGTGGTCCCCTCAGCTCTAGCCCTTGCTCTGCTGCCAAAATCATTCACTTCTCTCATTGCTCTGAATAAATCTTCCTTTTCTGTTTTATCTACTTTCTCCCCTGTGATGAAATTATGAAGTCCAAGAGAGCAGGTACCTGCCCAAGTTCCTCAAGGCAGGGATTTATCCTCTTGGACTTCATAAAATCATGGACTCAGATCATGCTATGTAAAAAATCTCACAGACAGTGTTCAAACTGAAATTGATGCACTTGCTCAGTTCTGACATTAGGATTCATGGGTATTAGGTTGTGGAAACTTTCTTTGTTCAGAAATTATCAAGCAATCTTCATTTCAATGCAAACTGAATATTTGGTTTTGGTTTTATTTCATTCAGAAAGTCCCCAGAGAAAAGTTCCATGTAGTCGACACGAAGCTTTTTCTAGGAAAATAAATCTGTGAATCTCCATTGCATGAGTTATATGTTGCCTATTGACCCTGAAGAAAACCTGGAACGGAATTTGCAAGCAAAGAAAAGAACAAGTTTGGACTTAGGCTTGGGGGATCTGGGCCTGGAAATGCCTCAGGTAATACCCAGTATTATATTCGCTTACCTGATATAAGAAGTCAATAAATTTTACTTAGGTTTTGATTTTATGTGTTTTGAGGTGGCAGTAGAGCTTATCTCAGCAGAATAGGGAAGGAAACAAATTTCTATTTCAGAGAGTTGATTGCGGGGGGGGGGGGGCAGCAAGAGGAAAGAGAATTGCTGGAAATTCCTGCCTCCTTGTTCCGCTGATGGAGCCTTGCCACCACTGGATACAGCCAACGTTGAGTGCTTTAGGAACTTCTTGCTTCTGCTTTTCCATGACATGTGAATCTAGCATGTAGCAATTATCTGATTCAGGATGCCAAAGACAATATAATGGGAACAGAGGTATGGGAAACATAGGCATTGGCCTTCCTTTGTACATATACATTTCCAGATAATTGCTTAGTATACAGTCATACCTCATGTTATGTTTGCTTCATGTTACATTTTTTCAGGTTGCGTCCCGCTGCGACCCGGAAGTACCGGAAAGGGTTACTTCTGGGTTTCACTGCTCTCGCATACGCAGTAGCGCTATGTGCACTTCGCGCATGTGCACAAGCACTAAATCATGCCGCGCACATACACAGATGCAGCGCTTCAGGTTGCGGGCTTTTCAGGTTGTGAACGGACCTCCGGAACGGACCCCGTTTGCAACCAGAGGTACCACTGTATAGGCAGTGAGAAAAGGGATAGTTCACCAGCCAGTTTTCTTTTGTTTAGCTTAGCAAATATGCAGAACATGTTTTAAAACTGGCTAAACCCAAGCTGTGGCTCCTGAGTGACTGTTGTAATAAGGTGCTACCATTTAAAGAAGAGATGGAATATGTACCACATTAAAGGAAAATGCTAGCAATCGCCCAGTAGGATTTTATGTTTCTTTGTTACAAACTGGTTGTTTGTGTTACAAATTATTAACATTCTGTTGCAGCCTAGTGTGAGTGGAATGGACCCTCCTTTTGGGGATGCCTTTCGAAACCACATGTTTTCAGAACAGACTCTGATGAGCACAGATCTGTTGGCTAACAGTTCTGATCCAGATTTCATGTATGAAGTGGTAAGTTGCTTGTATTTTTCTCTGAACTGCATAAAGCACAGCTTAGCCTCTCTCAAACAAGAGGGGGTGTGCCTTGCAGCAACCTGTGCACCGAAGGCCAGTTTGCTGTGCTTTGCTTCTCTATTAAATTTAATCACTAATTGAGGAATCCTCAGTTCCTGAGCCCAGCAACAGTGGCTTCTTGCCAATGAAAGGCTGACAAAGCTGGCCAAGAAAGAAGTAAAAAAAGACCTGTGCTTGAGCAGACTTCAAGGCATTGCTGACATCGCTACATCCAAGAGGAGTCAGAAGTGGTTGGATGTTAGAAAAGACGTTTCAAAAGTGAGGGAAATAGAGAAAGTGCTGGAAGACAACCAGCACTTGGTCCTGCCCCATGTAGAATCTCTTGTTGGGCCTGGTGAGGACTCAGTGTTCCAATCTCCTATAGTTATAATCTGTGGGTTGCCATCTGATTTTATTCTGCTCCAAATTTGATTTTAAGCTGTATTTGTATCGATTGTTTGATTTATGTTTTTAATGTATCATACTTTGATGTTAGCCGCCCTGAACCCGGTCCTGGCCGGGGAGGACGCGGTATAAATAATTTTTTCTTCTTCTTCTTCCTCCTCCTCCTCCTCCTCCTCTTCCTGGAAAAATCCCCCAAGTGAGAAAGTGCCACAAGCTCCCTTGGCAACTTGTTGCCAATCTGGTTTTTTCCCATTCGGGCTGTTTTTCTTTGCCTTTAACCAAAGTCCACACTCAGTAGTTAAAACTATTGCCATTTGAGCTTTATTAGTACTATTTACACTTACTTAAGGCCAAACACATGGTTGCAGGATAGTATTATCAGTAAAAACAAGAATTTAAAACATTCAAAAAATTAAAATCGGCAATGAACTAAAAGCAGATTAAAACACACATCAGTGTGCTAGCTATCTGGGTAAACTTGCCTAAACAGGGTACGCTGAAGGTGCCTGCCTGTTATCAATAGGCAGGGAGTCCATAGTGTAGGTGCACTTACAAGTATCTGGATACTGCCTCTGCTCAAATCTTTTCCTTAAGCTAATTGTGCTTGATTCCTTCAATATTTCTGAACAGAACTTGTCAAAGACTATTAGTTAAATACAAATGAAGGTGATTAGAAAGCAAATAAGATATTTTGTATTTTATTCATGCACTTAAATAAAATTCTTCAGACTAGATGATACAGCTTTGTGCTTTAGAAATGTGAGATCAGTGATCCCTTTCTCTCTTGTCCTAATTTTAGCAGTGTCACTGACAACTAACTCCGCTCTTAAACTAGATGAGTCACTTATTTCTAGGCAATTATAATTGATGGGCTTTTCATTGAACTGGGCATGGGAACTGCTGACCTCTTAAAACCCTTTGATTCAAAGCTGACAGACAGACAACACAATCCTATGCATGTTTTCTTGAAATTCCCACTGTGTTCAGTGAGGCTTACTTCCTGGTAAGTGTGTTTTAGGATCACAGCTGTTGAAGTATTTCTCCCCTGAGGTATGAATAGCTTTTGTAGGTATATGTGGTGCATGTCACCAGCAAATTAGTGCTTTTTGTGGTGTGGCTTGAGGGTGAATCCAGAGAGAAAAGTAATTTACCATTATTTACTGACATTTTTACATCTGCCACTGTAGGACAGAGAAATGGATTACCAGCAGAGTTCCAGGGATAACCTCCTTTCTGTAGAGGACTGTAAAGATCTTGAGAACCTGGAGTCCTTTACAGACATTCTGGATACTGAAACCTCTTTCCCTGCAAATTGGGAGCAGTGGGACACTTACTGTGAAGATTTGACAAAGTACACCAAACTAACCAGCTGTGACATCTGGGGAACAAAAGAGGTGGACTATTTGGGCCTTGATGACTTTTCAAGCCCGTACCAGGATGAAGAAGTGATAAGTAAAACTCCAACTCTGGCTCAGCTCAACAGTGAGGACTCTCAGCCTGTCTCAGATCCACTGTGCTACCCAGAATTGCTGTTCAGTGTAAAGCAAACCCAGTTAACCTCTTTGCCAACGAAGAAGATTGCAACCAGAGCAGCAGCCCCCGTTTGTTCATCTAAGACGGGCCAGGCTGAGGCACCTTTATCAGAATCTGCCCTGAAGGGAGGCAAACCCAATTCAAGCACACAAATCATGGTGAAGACCAACGTGTACAATAATGAGAAAGTGAACATTCATGTTGAATGCAAAGATTATGTTAAAAAGGCAAAAGTAAAGATAAATCCAGTCCCGCAGAGCAGGTCTTCCATGAGCCAGGCAAACGCTGATGCTGCAAAAGAAAACACCTGCTACTGTGGAGCTGTAGCAAAGAAACAAGAGCGGAAAGGGAATGACTCCCTTCAGAGTCACAGTCCAGTGTTGCCTTTTAAAGAGACTCAGGCTCTGCTCCTCACTCCACCTCAAGAAACTCCAGGAATAGTCGCTGAGGAGAACAGCCTCTCTGCCAGCACCTCTGTTTCAGATCCTTCACAGAAAAAGGAAGAACACAACTATTCCCTCTTTGTCACGGACAGTTTGGGTGAGCAGGCCGGTGCAGGCAAAGCTGATCCAGAGGAGGAGGAGGAGGAAGAAGAAGAGGAAGAGGTGGAGGATGAAGATCACGATGAAGGTTTCGGAAGTGAGCATGAACTCTCTGAAAACGAGGACGAGGAGGAAGATTACGAGGACGACAAAGATGATGACATCAGTGATACTTTCTCTGAACCAGGTAATTTTAAGCTTGTAATCTAGAGCTAGATCTGCTGCAGGTATGGGGGGGAAAGGAAAAATTTTGAATGGGTATGTTGGCAAGGCTGATGACCCACATAACACTTTTGTTAGTGGAAGAGTTGTGAATTATTTTTCAGTCATAACTGTTCCCATGTCCATGTAGAGACTCTATTTTTTGGCTGCGTATGCCTTTGACTAATGTGGCAGAAGGCTGCAGAGTTTAGAATGCTGCATGGTTGTCTTCCTAGTCCTCTTTTCAAGCTTCAGAATCTTGTTTAGAAATAACTAGGATGGTCTCATCTGGTGAGTTTAAATGGAATGCTTTAGAGCCATTTAATGCAGGTTTGCCCCTATTGCTGTGGTGAAGGGGGAAACTGCTGAACTGCAACTTTTTATGCCTTTCTTAGGGTATGAGAATGATTCTGTGGAAGACTTGAAAGAAATGACCGCAATATCTTGTCGAAAAAGAGGGAAGCGAAGATACTTCTGGGAATATAGTGAGCAACTAACACCATCACAACAGGAGAGAATGTTAAGGCCTTCAGAATGGAATCGAGATACACTACCAAGTAACATGTATCAGAAGAATGGATTACATCATGGTAAGAGCAGTCCCTTAACAAATGTTGTTGCTTTCAGGTGCATATGCACCTTTTGAGAAGTTTGTCATAATTTTTTTTGCCTTCCGGTTGTATAATTGATTATATATTGTACTGGGTAATAATCATAACAGTGCCATGGGAGGTTGTAGGATAAAAACTGTTTCTAAAATTTGGATGTAATTCACAGTATTCTAGCAACCCATCAGATAACCTGCTTTTGTATATATTTGCATAGGGAAATATGCTGTTAAGAAGTCACGGAGGACAGATGTAGAAGATTTGACACCTAACCCTAAAAAACTGCTACAGATTGGGAATGAATTGAGAAAGCTGAATAAAGTGATCAGTGATTTGACTCCAGTCAGCGAACTTCCTTTAACAGCTAGACCAAGGTCAAGAAAAGAAAAAAACAAGCTAGCTTCCAGGTGAGGTGGCATCATCATCACCATAATAATAATAATAATAATAATAATAATATCACTAGCAGTTAAGATTACTACATGCGAAGGTGAGTGGATTCTTCTGTTTTGACAAGCATTTTTAGGCTAGCATTGTACTGGAAAAAGTAGGTTGTGCTGAAGTACCTGGTTGTTTTTCTCTCCCCGTTCCTGCTTTTGGTGTATGTTTGAGGCATATCTGATTATGATGGTGTAATATGTCCAGCCTACACAAATGGCTTCACACTAAGTGATGCTATTTAAGTCTAAAAGTTGTCATACTTTGCAATAAACATCTGCATAAGACTATGGTAGTGTTATCAGTCAAGGCTTAATGAGTGTTGGGAATTATCGTTCAGTATCTTGACTATTAGATTATAACATCTAAGCTATTATAGGTGTCCTTCCCCCCCCAACAGCTTATGTTTCGTGCCCCCATGTGCATAAGGGAAATTGCATAAAGTACCCCACTTTAATAGGGAGAGCATGTGGGAAATGGAAATAGGTGGAGGCTGCTGCCCGGCTTGCCCCAAGCCAGCCTGCCTGCCTGTTTTCCTGAGGAGAGCCAGTGCATGTGGTTGCAGTGACTGGCCACGGAGGGCGACGGCCAATAAAGGTACCCAGGAGAACTGGTGTCAGGATGGGGGCAGGGAGAAGGCGTCTCCTGCCCTGCGCAGCTGGTCAATCAGAGGTCGCCTTCTCTCGTTCAGGCAGCAGCCCCAGGTGATTCTGGGCAGCAAGCCTGAGTGAGAGAATGGCTATTTATTTATTTAGCGGTGACCCATGTGAATGGGTGCACGTAGGTGGGGTGGGGATGGGGGCACCTGTATAGCATTGATGACTGCCAGTACAGTAACATCAGGTATGCTCTAAGACAACTAGATGGATATTCTAAGCTTCTTTTTTGCCTTCCATTATCACAGAGCTTGCCGACTTAAAAAGAAAGCCCAGTATGAAGCCAACAAGGTGAAACTGTGGGGTCTCAACACTGAATATGGTAAGTCTTTAAAACAGAAAAAGGTTTAATTAGTAAACTAGTTTCTTGAAATAACAAAGGGTCGCTTTGTGTGAGCATGCTGCCTGGACATAGCAGGCCATCAGGGTCTACTTGCAGCCTCAGCTCATGAGGCTTGAAATCTGATGGTCCAAATATATAATGGACAGGTTATTGTCTCCACAGAAAATAGTATCATCTGTTTTTTATTATTATTAAATTGATTAACTACTTTTTTGTCATGGCAACTCAAAGCAACTTACAAAAAGAAAAAGAAGTAGGACTGGATGAACACCAGATGTTTGTTATAGCTATTGGCAAGCACCTCTGGAAGATAAGGCCTTTTTAGCCATAGCACCTTGCTTGTGTAATTTTCCCAGGGAGGTTTAGCTGTGGCTTACATTAATACCTTTTAAGTGCATTTTTTTATTTTCTCCCTTCCCCCTCTGTTCTATGTTAAGCATCACTTTTTATTGTTGTGTTTGTATTAGTTATTTCAAATGGACTTGAAAATTTTGAATGAAAGGGGCATTATAGCAGATGTTAAATGAATAAATAGGGAAGTGTATTCTTCCTTCCCCAAAGGGTGCATTCCAGTAGATTTACATTGTTGCCTGGTCTCTTCTTGCAGATAACTTGCTGTTTGTGATCAACTCTATCAAACAAGAAATTGTGAACAGAGTGCAGAGTCCCAAAGATGACAGAGTAGCCAATATGGGTCAGAAGCTTGATGTACTTATTAAAGATACTCTTGGTAAGTAAACATCTAGTGTGATGGTACCAAAAATCATTAGTTTTTCTAAATGTTGGAAACAATGCTCGCACAAATACCATGACTTTAGACTATGTTCACCTACTACACTACTACACTACTATTGACTTGACTTTTTAAAATCACTGAGATCTTGCTTTTAACTAATGCAACCTAACATCACAACAGCAGAGGCCATATTCAGATGTTTCAGGCAGGGAATATACTGTTCCAAACAACTTTTTTAAAGCAAGCATCTCCATTGCACTGAGTTTCACATAACTGCTGAGGAAATAAGATGTTTGCTCTAATCACGCAAATCAACTTTGTGTGTAATGTTTTGCTTGGGTGTTGTGATCACCTATTGACCTGTGATCAGTGCCAATTTTCTATAAGAAGAGGTGCCAGAACAAACCTTGTTATCTTATAATGGCAGTGACACCCACCGGAGAGGTGCTGGAACTGATTCCGGCTTGTTCTAGCTGAGAAAAAGCCCTGCTTGTAACAACTCTTAATCGGCTTCACATTTGTCTTCAAATTGTTCTTCCACTTTCCTCCTGACCTACACTTCACCTTGTTTCTATAAAGAAAAAAGCATGGTGAAACACCAACAAACTATCCCCTCCCTTTGTGGGCTGCCCCATCATCTAGTCAAGCTTTTTATACCTACCGCCACTAATGCATCTTTCTTGATGGTAAAATTTCCTTACCACCCACCAGTGCTCGGTGGAAGGAGGATTCAGCTTGTGCCCTAGAACCCCCTACCGCCCACCTAGAATCCTGAAACGCCCACTAGTGGGCGGTAGGAACCAGGTTGACAACCCCTGATCTAGTGATACCTTTTCCAGTACAGCACCCACAGTGCCCGTGAGGCCCCTCCCCCATCTGAAATGTTTTATAACGCCATTTCTGCTGATTCACTGCAAGTGAAGTGCTGGCCAATGCTCCAACCCACCAGAATCTTCATTCCTCCTGAATGACACCTGAATAAAGAGAGGTGCCCTCAACACTTATTTCCAACTTAAGATGTGCCAAAAAAAGGTTTGGTACCCTGATCTAGACACCCTTTCACTTCTCCCTCTCAGACTTTCTCTTAATTCATTACTCCAGTGCTATAGTGCACAAACTACCCCCACACCAACCCCCCCCCCCACATCTTCAGGATTCTGGTCATTGGTTATACACTTCACATACTCCCTATTATGTTGCAATGAAAAGCTGTATTTTAGGTAGTGGATCAAACTCAGCACCAAGGAGCTACTAGGACTTCAGCAGACATTAAATGGTCTGAGTAGGTCTTGAACAAACCACTGTTTGCCTTGTTTGTTTTCCTTAATATTCTATTAATTTTTTCCAATTTTTAAATTAATTTTCCAAAAAAGTTTTTTAGACAAACAAATAAACAAACAAAAATCTCAACCATATTTAAACCAAACTTAATAACATTGTTAAGTGACTTCCTCATATCCCCCTGGATGGATTTCGTTGTATATCATTTTAACGGTTTTCCAAAAGCAGTATTCTTATAAAATTAACTTCATCACTTAACATCTTTCTTTCTTTACAATTCAACATTAAACATATTAATTCATCACACTGCATGTTTAAATCCTAGGCCTGTCTGGTGCTTGCAAGCTTTTCCAGTTAATTTAACTTAACATATTTAACTAAATATTCTTTAAATTTCCTCCATTCCTCCTGATACTCCTCCTCCTTCTGGTCGCGGACTCTTCCAGTCAGGTTGGCCAGCTCCGAAAAGTCTATCATCTTCATCTGCCAATCTTCCACTGTTGGTACTTCTTGTGTTTTCCAGTTTGTCGCTAACAAAATTCTAGCTGCGGTCGTGGCATACAAAAATAATTTAACGTCTTTCATGGGCAATTCCAAACCTGTTATTCCAAGAAGAATGTTTTCCTTAATATTCTAGGAAATGCTGCTGTCTAACTCAGGGTCTCTGGTTTTATGTTTGTGCATTTTACTCTTTTTCTTCATTATTGGCCCGTCTTCCTAATTTTTGACTTTCAAACCTGTTACCTATTCTGACAAAGATCCTTTCCAGGGAAGTAGAACCTGTCTTGGCTGCACACAGCAGATATGTATCAGGATCTGCCTCACAGGCCAAATGCGACAAGTGGGTGAGGCCCCCCCACCTGTCAATCAACTGATGTTACAAACGACATCAGGAGATTTGGTGCTCTGAAGTTGTGAAACTGGAACTTCAAAGCATCTAGGCAGCAAAGTGCCGCTAAATGCAAGTTTATTTCCTTTGTTTCAGTAAAACAGCTGTTGTACTTGGGAAGTTGCGCAAGGGGGCTTCGTCCAAGCTCTGCCATTATCTGATGTCATACAAATGTAGGGTAGATGGGCGTGGCCTGCCCAAAACAGCCTCACAGGCCAAATAGTTGGGCCTGGTGTACCAAGAATGACCTGAGGGGTTGAGGTTCCCCACCCTCATTTTATATGTGTAGGCACTAACAAATCCTGAATTAACAATGAGCAGAAGGCAGAAAACACACATCTGAATATATGTCTTCATTCATTTTTTCAGGGCCACCTGTATCTGGGCAAACATCAGAATTTGTGAACCAAGTTTTAGAAAAAACAGCAGAAGGAGATCCTACAGGAGGCCTTGTAGGGCTACGAATACCAACATCAAAAGTTTAGTAGACATCACTTGATCCATTCACATTGGTCAGAGCTCTGCCTGTGTCATGTACTACATTGTAAAATTATTTCTGGTCTGCATGTGAATTTAGCTTTCTATAAAACACAGTTTTCAGTTCCATCATTTTTTTCCTTTTTATAACAATGTAGTAAGATAAGTGAAAGCATGGTATAAAATGCTTACTGGCATTTTGGAGCATAAATCTTGTAGTTTTAAATCTGCTTCTGTCATAAATGTGGTGACTACATATTCATTTTTAAATTAAGTTTACCTAGGACCAGATAATATAACATGCAGGAGCAAAACATGTTTTTTGCAAGTAAAAATCTTGCGAAATGCCAAACGTTATGGCAGGTTTATGCTCCAAGAAAAATAAAAACTTAGAATTCAGATTAAGAAGGTTTTTTTCAAGAATAATTGCTCTTTTGTTCTAAACTAAACAGTAAGTTTTCTTTGCAACCATAACTTGTACATAGCACACCTGGCAATAACGCTAGTGTGCCATATAAAAAAATATAGTTTTCTGAGCTTGATACGGTATTTAAATGTCTGTGCAAGTAAGAAAATGTATACTCTTTGTGCCTTGTATTGAGGGGGAGGGTGGGTGGGGAGAAATGTAACTATAAAATGGTAAGAAACCCTTGTGGGAGAGAAGATGTATAGATGGTCTCATGGGTTTTAATGTATTTGTTCCAGCTCTTACAAATTTTTGAATGTATATAGGAATATGTTGAAAATGTAGATATGCCACAGAGTCTATGTATTGTATAAAAGATGGCTCTAGAAAACTCATTTTCGGTACTTGGCCGGAAGAAAACAAATACTTGCACATTAATGCGATTGTTTATTTTTGTACCAAAGACAAATGCAACTGATATGGCAGATTGCCAGTTTAAGTAAAGTTTTGCACAGCTTACATGATACTGTACTGAATGTATAAAAAGAAAAAAACTTAAAAGGTCAGGGTTAGGGATCTTACTGAACTGTGAATTTTTTTTCTCTTTGGGTCCAATTGTCTACGGAAGGAGCATTCATACATAACTATTATTTTGCTGTTCTTCTAGTTCGCTTCATAGTAGATAAGTTTGCCATCTAGAAGTCTGTAAATCCTTTTTTTTTCTGCACATAGTAGAAATTTTAATATATTTGGATTTTAGTAAGCTATTGGTAAAGTAGATTTTGACTTTGGAAATTAAAAATTTAGCTTGTAGGATACTTCCACCAAACAACCAAAATAAAATTATTTTTATTGTAATGTGTATATATGTAAAGAAAAGAGCTAAAATATCTAATTCCTTAGTTGCCACTTTTCCAGTTGTTGTATTATTGTGCATGTGATGTTTCCAAGGATCAACACAGGCTTAAAAAAAAGAAAAGAATTTATAGATTTTATATTTTTGTACAGATATTTCAACTAGCTTCTTCAAACTTCTATGTGACTTATTGTTAACTTGTAGTTTCTATGATTGGGGGGAATACAAATGCGTGTGCAGTTTGGCTCACGAGAGTCTGCTTTTAGTCAGTGTTAAAGTACCAATGAAAAGCTTTATCTCTTGATGAGAAAGTTGTTTATGTCAAGACAGGATCATTATCTGGTTTCATGAATGCCTTTCCTCCCAATTGTTTGATAGACAGGTGACTACATAACACTATTTATGAAGGATACCAAATAATTCAGATGCAGCTCCAAGTAAATACAAAAATCTCATTATTCCCCCTCCAATTCTTTACATGCACCTTACAGTGCGATTCCTTATATCTAAATGGACATTGGGAATTGCTACATTCCTGTAATAGGCAAGCAATGCATTCTTTAAAAAAAAGAAAGATTGAGGAAGATGTAGCTCCCACTGTAGAGTTGTACTACCCCAAAGCTTTTTTTGCTCTTTCTGCCTGCACTGCTGCTTATTGCTATCTACCTTTTCAAAAATTGATTTAAAGTATTTGCATAATTTCAGCACAAATTTGCATGTCATGATGGAGCTGCTGCTTTTTTCTTTTTAAGCGTCAAGCCTGCAATAGTTCTGGCATATCAGAAATGTATCTCATTTAACGCTGGTTATAGAGCTGTGTCCAAGTATTTTACATCAGCCTATTCTGATATACTGAAATAGTGTTGAGCTTCATTGAAGGATGGTGTTTAAATATGATTCATGCTAAGATTCTAACACTGGATCAGAAGAGCGTGGATAGGATAGTTACAGTGGGATACATCTGTTTTGCAATCAGGACTTGTGCAGCAAGACAAACCGACAGTAAGATACAATACCCCTTTGTAGTAATTCAGGCTTCTCGGAGCTAATCCTGCATTTGCAGCCTTTTTTGTGCATGTCTGAAAACCAGAATATGATTTTGGTCTAGCATTGAAAAGAGACTTTGAATCTTTTTAGTGGATTCCACACCCTTGCATTTCAGTGTTTTCTATGTATTAAGTTATAGTCTAAAAGCTTTGAAATAGTTGAGCTTTTTAATGGTGACACTTTATTTTGTATCTATTTATATATGTATGTATATCTTAGAAAAGCACTTTGTTTAAAAAAGAAAAAAAAAGATATTGCATTTTATATGATTCCTGCCATTTGCTGCTAACTCTGGGCTGGTCAGAATGCTGCAGCGATACTTGATCTAAATAAAACCTGGCAGTAAAATGTAGAGTAAAGTTAAGACCTTTGCTGGTTTAACCTTTATTGTAAAGATGACATAGGCAAGCTGTGCAGCTTTACATTTTAACCAGGGGACTCTGTGGCATTTAAAACAGTCTAGAAAATGGTTGTACTTTTAATGCCAGTAACAATCTGCTTCCTCTAGTGTCATTTAATATACGTTTAGTGTATAATTATCACAAAGATTTTTAAAAAACCAAATGTTCATGTTTTGTTTTGGGAAATTGTGGCATGCATTTTTGGATGATTATCTTTAGAGGAGCTCTCTAAAGGTTTTCAGTGTTCATACACAGTATGTGGATCTTATTGAAGTCTTTGGTCACTTTACAAGTGTAGGCATTGTGAATATTCTCATGTCATCCAGAAGCAATTATACACTTTATTTTTTAAAAGGAGTTCCGAACTCTCTTTCATACACTGGATACTTTAGAGTTTGTTTCCATATTAAAACATGCTCTTGCTAAAAAAATTGTCAGTCTGAAACTGAGTGCCACACTTCTATTTTTGAATGGATATGAACTACTTACTCTGTACCATGTATGGTTCTTGTCCTTTACCCATTTTCTCCATTGACAGATTATGATGTGGCTTTATATTGTGCCTTACTTGTATATTAGAACCAAGTTTATTTTTCATTCCCCAGGACTCCTTAAACCCTTGAACCCTTTTGGAAGCAAACTACAATAAAAGCATCATGAAGGAACTTCAGACAGATTTGCTTAGTTGTATTGATTAGTTTGTACTGGCATAGGGTGACCAATTTTTCAGTGGTCTTGGAAGATAGGATTTTTTATAGTAATTCCACTACATCTCTTTACAAAAGCTTCTCTGCCTTTTCTTGAATTTATCAAGCACACCTTGATATTTAACTTTCTGGGGCTCATAAGTACTAGTCTTCTGGCTAGTCAAGGACTGGCTCTTTCCACTCAACTCTGGCATCAATGCAAACAGTGACACTGTTGTAGGAATTGGGCACAGAGATATACTAAGTCCACTAGTTTGGTCAGTAATTTATTTTTAAATGTAGACTGAAGTGCAGTGGAAAAGAGCAAAAATGATTTCTAACACAGATTAAAGGTCTCTTGAATAATCTTAAAGCAACAGACATTTCTCAAATACCGTACTGTCAGTGTGGGTTTCACATAAGTCTATACCATTTTTCTGATGTTTGCCTTCATTAATAAATCTGCGTGTTTATTCACAAATGTCAATAATGATGTATTGTTTCTCTTATGTAAGTCTTTTTAATACAGCTAGTTTTGAAATGGTAATCACCTCCTATCTGTGTTTGATGGGTTTACTTACAAGTTGCCTTCAGCAGAAATAGCATAGCCAGTCTGTTCCTTGACTTATTTAGCAGTCTTCCTGGAATTCTGTTGAGGCACAGTCAAAATACATAATATTGAAATTCAGCCTTCTGACTTGAATTTCATACATCTAATCATGCTTTCTTATTTTTCTTTTTTCTTTTGTAGGGTAAGGTTTAGCTGTCAAATTGTCTAGTTTAGTCTGCTATCAGATGGGAGCCTATATTTTCGCTAGCTGAAATGCTGCACAAAAGTGCAGTTTCTTATTTTGTTTTACCTGAGGGATTATACAAAGTACATTTCAATCAGTTCCTAATCCAAAAGCTGATCCTTTCCTTTGAAAAAAAAATGTTTAAGGGCATTACCACATTGAGAGTACAACGCTTAGTGATACTTTCCAGTGTAAATGGAATGCTTTGTCAACATTGCAGAAATGGCACTTTAGCATATACTTCCTTCACAGCATTCTAAGCTTGATTGGGTCTCATGGATACGTATTTTCAGTCTATTTAATTTCCCCCAATTGGTTTAGTGCAGTAGAAAGGTGTTTGTGCAATGTGATGCTCAGCCTTTTAAGATGTTAATGAACTTCCACAAGAGCATATTGGTCATGCATTTTTTTCTCCATAAACCGAAACACACTTTATTGGAAGTAAGCCCTATTTGTTCTGGTGAAACTTCAGTTTAGGATTGCAGACTTAATCTTTCTGGAAAGCAAGTTTAAGCCAAAGCTAGGCCTAGCTAAGAAACGAGAAGAAGAAAATAATTGTCTTGTGAGACCAGGCCAAAGCTTCTTCTAACCCATCATTATCTTCAGAGGCTAACAAGATGCCTCATTTCCCAACAGCTTTCCATGAACTAGGGAATAATGAAACAATTCACTTTTACAGAAGTATAATGCATGAATAGTTTTCGCTCTCTCTTCTCCTGCCTTAAACATTCTCAACACCTTTTGGCCCATATATATACTTAAGAATGAACAAAGTCTGCAATTCTAACCTAACTTAACTGCTAGCAGGGCCAACTCTCATTGCAATCAATGGGACTTGCTTCCAAATGAATGGGTTTAGGTTGGAGCACAAGGCTGACAGCATATGCAAACACAGCAAAGCTTTCTGAAAACCAAAAAAAAAGCATATTAACAACCTTGGTGATCTTATGCTTGGGATCATGTTTGTAATGCTGTTTATAATGTTCTGTAGTCCATTTCCAACTGGAGCTCAGACAAATGTATTGAAGGTCTTGTCTCTGTTCAGAAAATTTTATCCTGTTAAAAGCATGATCTGTTTGCAATTTTTATAATGTTTAATGTTGTGTAATTTTTCTTTTTTTTAAAAAAAGAGGCACAATTAAAACATTGATTTTGTTTACTCCTGTCACCCTGGGGCCCGAGCACTTCTATTCAGATACAAACTCATCAATGTATGCAACATCCTTTGTAACTGAAAATAAATTGTGAAGAGAAGTTCTGACAGTATTTTGGCTTCTGTGTGTTTTCTGTCTGAGGCACTTAGCTCATAGACCGCTAAGTAACATTAACTACAGCTCCCACATAAGCTTTCTTACTCGTTTGAAGTAACAGAAATATCCATACTAGTAATGAAAATGTTTTATTATTTCAGTCAGCAACTGTAGGTTCCAACAGAACCCCCTCAGTTAGGAGTTCTAATCACTACATCAAGAAAAAGCCCTTTGGAATTATGACTTAACATAAAAATTAAATCTAGTCTGGCCTATTTGCCATTATCTGATCAAGAACTGCTGCTTCATACTTCCCAGCCTCAAAGCTTTAGATCCATATAGGTGCTTAAGAACAAACTAAGAACACAATCCCCACCTCATTTATCTGGGTGAATACTTCAGAGTTTCACAATATTCTAAAACATTAGTTGCTGAGCCTTGATATTTCTGCAGTCTGCCCCTGGTGTGCCCCCAAATTTGTTCTAGAGAGTTGGGGGACTCATGAGATTTGGGGGGGTTCAGGAGGGAGAAGTCCCATTCTGTTCATGCAATGTTGGATATCTCCCAAAGTACTACCTAATGAGTGACAGGCCACATAATGAGCGAGCATGCAAAGTGTTACACACAGGAAAATGGTTACTGGTCAACCCTAGTCTCTCTGTTTAAAGGTAAAGGTAAAGGGACCCCTGACCATTAGGTCCAGTCGTGACCGACTCTGGGGTTGCGGCGCTCATCTCGCTTTATTGGCCGAGTGAGCGGGCATACAGCTTCCGGGTCATGTGGCCAGCATGACTAAGCCGCTTCTGGCGAACCAGAGCAGCGCATGGAAACGCCGTTTACCTTCCCGCCGGAGCGGTACCTATTTATCTACTTGCACTTTGACGTGCTTTCGAACCGCTAGGTTGGCAAAGTGTGTAAATAGATTAGACCAGTAATTCCCAAACTGTAGACTGGGGTCAAGTAGTGTTCCATTACAGGTGGCTAAAAAGAATCCTTGGGCTCTTCATCACAGGAGATGCCTTCTGTGTTCCATATACATTGCTCTGACCATGGTTCCTTCCACTTAGCCTTTTCTCTTCCTTCATTGGGAGTAGTAGGGTTCTTTAGTCATGCTTAATGTAGAAATGCTACAGAACCACCCAGCCACAGAAGTAAGTATTGTGTGTTTTATAGCTTTTAAGTTGAACGTATCTCAAAGCTTGCATTCATGCAATGAGTGGAACATTAGAGCAGGACCTGAGTGCAACAGCACACACTCTCCTTGCAATTCCCAGGAATTGGTATTTAGAGGCATACTGCCTCTGATAGTGGAAGTAGTGCAGAGCCATAATGGCCTGTAGCCATTGATAGCCTTAAAGGTAAAGGTAAAGCGACCCCTGACCATTAGGTCCAGTTGTGACCGACTCTGGGGTTGCAGCGCTCATCTCGCTTTATTGGCCGAGGGAGCCGGCGTACAGCTTCCGGGTCATGTGCGAACCAGAGCAGCGCACGGAAACACTGTTTACCTTCCCGCCGGAGCGGTACCTATTTATCTACTTGCACTTTGACGTGCTTTCGAACTGCTAGGTTGGCAGGAGCAGGGACCGAGCAACGGGAGCTCACCCCGTCGTGGGGATTCGAACCTCCAACCTTCTGATTGGCAAGTCCTAGGCTCTGTGGTTTAACCCACAGCGCCACCTGCGTCCCACTTATACCCATATGCTCCCTTTAATCCCCAATGGGTATGTTTTGCAGCGAACAGAGGCAAATACAAAGGGAAGCAAAGATAGCACCCAGAGTCCAAAGTAGCCTGCTTTTCTCTGCCAAACCCCACTCACACATATAATATGAACCAAGTGACTAGGCATGGAGAAAGGTTGAAATAACCCTGAGAGTTTTGGCACCCAACACTCCAGCAGCCAAATTCGATGGTGTTTACTACAGAATAGAAAATGAAACAAGAGGACAAATGGAAGAGGGAGAATGTTGCTTCAAGAAAATAACAAAGCTAACCTTTTCATTCAAGTCTACCCTAATACAGCTACTTAGAAACAAGTTTCTGAGCTCACGTGTCAGCATATAGATAGTCAGCTGAGGGACAAAGGACTCTTCAGCAACGGTCGCCTTTTAAAGAGTTTCTAGCTCACATAGGTCGTTAACCAGTGGCTGGGACCAGCCGTTCACGTCTGACTGGCTGACGGAGGACACCTTTTGGAAGCCGGAGACAGGCGAGGTGTTGATTACTGCTAGACATCTCCATCTCCCTTTAATGTGTAGAATGGGAGATGTAACCTTCCCGCTAATGCAGAAGGAAGACGAGATTCACAAAATAACCTCACTTTCCTCTCCTCCCCCCACAATGACTCGCAAATCCGCTCTGAAGGACTGCAGGAGGGGAGAGAGGGAAGGTGCAGTTCTCTTGCCCGAGACTGAAGTCTGTGCTACCTACATACATGGTCTCTGTTGGATACTATCATTGGCCTCGGTTCATGGCTTGCATCAAAACAAACCACAATCCCTGGGCTGAACATAACTCTAAGGCAAGGATCATGGTTTTGGAGTGAGGAGGGAAGTTGCAGTTATCTGGGCATTCATGGTTAACTATGCCTTTTAAACGAAGATGTGTGAACACACCCAAAGCAGATTACACACAATTTAGGAATAGTCAATCTGTAAGTACAATAAAAATGATCGGGGGCGGGGGAGAAAGTGAACAGACATAAAAGCCCGTACTAAGTAAAATGGTTTCCAGCTACAAGTCCCGCCAAAAAGTCACCAGATTCTGTGCCAAATTAAGGCTCCCTGGGGAGATCATCTCAAGGGTCTGTGCCATAATAATATAGGGTTGAATCCAGAGTTAGTCGTGCATTGAGCAGATCTTTTGAAACCCATGTGAGTTAATTTAATTGTGGCTAATTCAAAACCCCATTTCCACAGCCAGTCTGCTCTACGAATGGCTCTGCCGGGGAGATGTACGGCTCTCCCCCTGTGGCAGCAAATGCAACCGGGCAGCAAAGAGCCAGGCGAGTCTTGCAGCGCATAAAAGACCAACGAATGCAGACTGGGGGCGGGGGGCCGCACGGAGTGAGGGGTGGGGAGGGGCTGGCTCTCCGAAAAGGGAGGAGACTCCTCGGCCGCCTTCCTCCTGCCGCCGGTTTGTTTTCTTCCTGCTTGTTGGCACCGCCTACCAGGGCGGGGCGGAGAGGCCGCGTTTCGAAATTCTTCTCTTGTCCCCTTTGCGCTCGCCGTAGTTCCTCCCAAGATGGCGGCCGCCGGTGACGTGCCGGTTCGAGTTTGCAACCAAGAGATCGTGAAATTCGACCTGGAGATTAAGGCGGCGGTGCAGGTACAGCAGCCCCCGGCCTCGGTCAATACATCGCGGGCGACGGGCAGCTACGCGCTTCTCTTCAGAGACGCACTTCCGTCTTTTGTTACACCGGGGTGGGTGGGGCTTCGTGGCCACGCCCCCTCTGGGCAGCCAGGTTCCCTTAGCGCCGCCCTCTCCGCCTGCGTCCTAGCGGAGTCACGTGGCACTTGAAGGCCAACGCAGTTGCAACGATGCCCGCTGTGGGGCGCTGGCGTGCACTTCTCAGGATGCACACAAATGCCGGTTCAGGGTGACATTCCACGCAATTGATGAGCCACACAAATTACCACGTGCCACAGTAGATGCAGTTAAGTCTTTAAGGTGCCGCATGATTGTGTTGTTGTTGGTGCGATGGCAGTTCTTCCTCACAGCTTTTTAGCTGCAGAGGTGTCAGGATCAGACTCTGGAGAGGTGCCTCCTCAGCCTTTGAAAGTTTCCACGATAGGGAAAGTTCCTGCAACTTTTCCCACCTTCAGCTCTGTGTTGGAAAAAATCTCACAATATGATATTCTCTCTTCTGTGCCGTGATTGGAGGCAGCACTGGGAGCTGGGGTGTCTGATGGTGGGAGGGCCTCGTGCAGTGTTGCTATGTGAGAAACCTTTGGTAGGGATAAGAACCTGTGAGAATTTCATCACACTGTAGATAACTAATTCTTGTTTGCCTCCTGCTCTTTCCCACGGTTGGCAGGCAACAACGCAATGATGTTGCCATAGCTTTCCAGTGCAACCAGCTTCTTAATGATCTGAAAGACATATTTAGTTCCCATCAGGGGGTACCCACTGGCATGGTTACAACTTCATGCGGGCAACTTTGGCATCAGTTTTGCATGCTGAAACTTTTAAGCAGTTTGATTAGGTTCTGTATACAGTAATGTGATGAAACAAGCATGCCCTCTCCTCCTTCCTTCCCTTCCCCTTCAGTTCAGTTCTCACAATGCCAGGCTTCCCTAGCTTCCAAAAATAGGCTCAGAGGGGGCCACTTTATATGCTAGTAAATTTATAAAGAGAAGGCACTTCCAAGTAGGAATTAGAGCTGTAAATGTTAACCGTTGCATGCATTTACTGTTGTGTGCTCACACATGGCTAAGCCATGGATAGGTGTACCTGTACAGTGAGTTTGCAGCCTTGTAAATAATTGATTTATATGTAGGATTGTCATGTAACTATCTTTGCATGAAGCATATCAGCTACTATGTAACTTTTTGTAGCAGTCGGGGCAGCCTTTAGGACTAAATTCACATTGCTTGTAGATAATATGGATGATATTTCTGTGTCAATTTGCAACCTGTTGGTGGTTGCAATTTCAAAATTTAAAATAAACATTTTGTTTTCTTAAAAAGGTTACACTTTATATTTTAAAAAATCAAGCTGGCAATTGAACATACAGCCCAAGAGAACATCAATGTAAAAATGTGTTTATTCTATACACTGCTTGTTATTTCCTTTAGGACATTCGGGATTGTATGGGACCTGTAAGTACACTTACAGAACTGAATGCCAAAGTAAAGGAAAAGTTTCAGCATTTACGGCTTAGAATACAGGTGAGGACTAAATAGATTTTGGGGTGGGGGTGGGGAGTTGCTAAATCCTAGAATCGTAGAGTTGGAAGGGACCACGAGGGTCATCTAGTCCAACCCCCTGCAATGTAGGAATCTCTTGCCTAATGTGGGGCTCGGACCCATGACCTAGAAATTAAGAGTCTCATGTTCTGCCGACTGAGCCACAAATAAGCACCCTTTTCTGTTACAGCAAAACAGATTGTTGAAAATAGCATGTCACTAAGCATAACAGCTTTAGAAACCTGGTTCTCTGGTTCTCTGTTTTCTGTCTCTCATAAGCAACATGTGACCTTAACAGCCCCAAAGACCCAGCTATCTTTTTGCTGAAAAGGATGTGCTAAAAGAATAACTGTGTATAATTTGATTAGGAAAGAAATACCCAAGAGAACAGCTAGACTTTATTACCAAGTAGGAACAACATTGTAATGAATTTTGTTGTTGCTTGTATTCAAATTGAATAACAATAATATTAAAAATGATAATATGCACCTGCTGTTCACGGCTTTAGGAGCTTGAGCAGATGGCGAAGGAGCAAGATAGAGAATCAGAAAAGCAAGCATTGCTCCAAGAAGTAGAGAACCATAAGAAGCAAATGCTCAGGTCAGTAGAACCCTAAATATTGTTTACCACTGGGCTGTATCCAATGCTGTGTCCATGTGCAAGCAAAATGGACTTTCACTTGCACAACAAGACCACCTTCCTTTCCTCCTTCCTGCAGCCCTCATAATCTACTCCTGAGAGTTGGGGGACCCCTGGAGCAGATTTTGGGGGCATGTGGGGGCCTGCACGGGAGGAGACAAGGAGGGTAAAGTCCTGTTGTGTGAGCAGGAGTCTGTTTGTGCAACATAGGGTTCTTCCCAATAAGTGCTTAGGCTGAGATCTTGTATTCCCTTCCTCCCAACACTCAATTGGTGTCAACACCGACAAACCTAGAGCTCTGACACATGTTTGGTATAGACAACACTTGTGTGCAACAGTGACAGCATGGAGGGTGTCTAGGTTAGACTCACAGCACTGTACTGGCTATACATCTACTCAGATGTAAGTCCCATTGAGTTCAATGATAGCTGCATAATTCAGGGCATCCATCCAATACTGTGAGTGTCCTTAGCAACCTTCCAGAGAATAGGATGGACTGTTATTAATTTCTTCGGACATCCAGACCTTTTCATTGTTGAACAGACAGTAGAGCCAGGAACAGCGTTCTCATAGTGTTCAGATAAAGAGTGGAACATAAAAAGGTGAGGAAAATGCAAGATGCAGCTGTTAATAGTGTTGATATAGCATGCCCGTTAAGGATCGTTGTTAATTATGTCAAATAATAATGGAGTGTTACATTTTAATGTATGCAGTTATCTTTGTTGCTTTGCTCTTGATACAGACAGGGGTGTTTCTATCACCATTGTGCTAAATCTCACTATATTAATAATTTCAGCAATCAGACAGCCTGGAGGAAGGCAAATCTAGCTTGTAAAATTGCCATTGACAATGCAGAGAAAGATGAACTGCTTCGAGGTGGAGATCCTTTACGACAAAGGTACACAGTCTTTTTATAACTCTGGAATTCGGCTGCCAGGTGTTATGTGGTGGGACTTCCTAAGCCTTTTGTGTCAAGCTCTGCTTTAGGAGGTCACTATTTGCAGTCTTGTGCCCACCTTCCTAGGAGTAGAATCATAGACTTGTAGAGTTGGAAAGAACCACGAGGATCATCTAGTTCAACCCCCCTGCAAAGGCAGGAATTTTCCACCCAACACGCAGCTTGAATCTGCGACCCTGAGTCATGCTCTGCTGACTGAGTAGGCCCCGTTTAACTTACTGGCTTCTGAATAGGATTGCACAGTAAGGAGCAAACAGAATCTCAGATCATTAAAATGGTTGCTTGCCATTGTGCCAAGTTAGATGTATTGATCTTTGATTACATTTTAATTTTACCCCTGTACTTCCGCCAGATGGCTATTTTGGACGAAATGTTTAAAGATTAACCTAAACCTTGTATGAATAATTTGCCTGATTTCTAATTTAAGACTCATTTTGAAACAGAACGTTAAAGACGTATGCTTGCATTTGTATGTGTATCTGAATGCTTGGCTGATATCTTCCAGCTCTATGGTTCCCATCACTTTTGAAGCATTTTGAGTAATCGGGAATATAATTTTGTTTTTATATTAAGTTCGATTCCCACCCCCTTCTTTTCTTTTAGAAAAACTACAAAGGAAAGTTTGGCAGAGGGGGCCAGTAACATCACAGAGAACCTGATGGGTATTAGCAGGATGATGTCTCAGCAGGTACGGCAGAGTGAGGAGACGATGCAGACCTTAGGTAAGTAAATGACCACAGTGTGCAGTTTTGGTCGTTGTTTAATAATAATAATAATAATAATAATAATAATAGTTGATTGACTCATCAAAGCAACTTACAACACAGCATAAACACTTACATTTACAGCAAGCCAACCAATAAAAATTTAGAAACCTTCCACAAACAGGAATATATTACTGAAAAGGCCTGTTCTCATGTTGCCACCCTCCAGATCTGCCGTGGAGTTGTTAAACTCCCTTTAGTTATTAAATTTCTATACTGCCCTTCATCTGAAGATCACAGGATGGTTTACAATATAAAAACACAAAAGTGCATACCTTCTCTATCTCTCTCTCTCCCCCCCACTCCCCCACTTCATTTTCTCTCTCTTGCTGCCTCCTACAGCTAAATATTTAATCCTATGCCGGGAAGCACAGAATTGCAGTGAAATGGCAAAGGAGGAACAACATGATTGATTCCCTCCTCCAGTAGCTCTCTTGGCTACTTCACTAGCTATGGAAAAAGAAACGCTCATTTCTCCCTAACCAGCATGTTGATATTATAGTATAATATGTCATATCATGTCATGTCATATCATATCATCATCATATCATATCATACATCAGGATACCATGTATCAAATCCAGACCTCTACAGCATGGACTCTGAAGAACATGCATGTGTTTCAAATGGGGCTTTTCTTTTTAAAGTGCACCAATAGTTAACTCCCACCAACATTAACTTCTTTCACTCAACTCAAGCAATGTCTTAAAGCATTTCTAAAAGAGTTTTGGACTTTGCGTTAGAAAGCCAGAGTTTGGCCTGACAGTTTTCAGCCCTCAAAACTGTATATCAAATCTGCTGTTAAAATTTGTGGGTCATTTGGAAAGTGGACCAGCTGGACCTTCTGCCTTTTCTTTGCTGGGAGAAACAGAAGGGATGGATTCAATAAATGCAGGGTCCGCCCCTTCTCTTCCTTCTCCCTCCAGGGCTGATGGTTGTCTGCAGCTCCTCAGTGTATGCTTCCTCTCTCACTAAGTGACAGTCTTGGCAGTGAGACTGTCCTCTGTTAAAGAGTCCATCCTGTTTGGTTGAGGTATAGCTAGCAAAGGTCACTCGTCTTGAAAAAGCCAGCTGTACTTAATCTACCATTAAAATGTTGCCACGATGGAAAAATGAAGAAGTCCTTACAGCAGCAAGCAATAAATAATCTGGAGTCAGGAAGCCCACAGTTGTCACTTCCCATGATAAACAACCTCAATCTTTCATGTACCATGAGAATGACAAAACTTTTCTCTTTGGTTGGAAAATAAAATGGCAAAGAAACGTATTTGGTTCTGATAAAATTTCATTCTCAAGCAAAATGTATTTGCAAACTGAAATGCCCTTTTCGGGGCCACCTATGTAGGAATATACTGGTTCCTTAGCTGCTTGCTTCTAAACATTTTGCCATTAGTGTGTGTTTTAATTGACCTCCCATAATGGAAACTGAAGCCCTGCACAGTGGTTCATTTTAGGGCCACTTCTTGCAATATATTTTGTACTTGGTTGCAAAGCTGTGTAATTTATTATGATCAGCACACATGTTTTTAGTTTACTTGACATTTCTGCAAGAGAGAAAGACTAAAAAACGACATTTTGCTCACTTCAGAGAAAAGGTGCTGGACATCAGAGCAACTTGTGTGTATTAGGAAGTCCGTAGGTCATATTCAACTAAATGGTCCTGCTAGTGGAAGCCTGTTCAAGGACTTCTGCTAGTGCAACAGGGCTTCCCCTAACCCCAGTGTTCCCCCTGTGCCTTCCTTGAGGATTGGGAGAACCCATGAACAGCCTACAAGGGGAGTGAGGAGGAGATATTTCCATCAGGCAAGCAAAAATGTTTGCACTGATAAAGTGATCTCCTTAGTGCTGTATTAAATTTCTCCCCAAGGTATTATCATGATTGATTTTAAACAGCTCCTGATCCACATTCTAACCTTGTTTGGAAATGTATCAAAACAGTATCATCTTCTTTTTTAAAAAAATTAATATTTGTTACTTTTCCAACAATTTAAACACTACAAAAACAATACAATACAGTACAATACAATACAAAAACACTACATAACATTGACACATTAAACACATTAAACTAACAAAACAAAACAAAAACAGTTTAAAATAAATCAAACAATTTCAATATCTTATCTTTCATTCACTTATTTCCACGACCTCCTCACACCTCCCTTTTTGTATTCCGCTTCTGTTAATTGTTTCAGCAATTCCTTTCCATCTTCCTCTGTTTTCTATCCTATAATTATCTTAACACATTCTAGCCTTGTTTTTTCCTTTAATACTCTATTAATCTATTTATACTTAATCCTTATAACATTTCTACTAAAGCCATATAATTTCATTCCAACATTTTTCTAACATTCATTGATTATACAGTATTTCTGTAAGTAGTCTTTAAACTTTTTCCAATCTTCTTCCACCAACTCTTCTCCCTGGTCTCGGATTCTGCCAGTCATTTCCGCCAATTCCATATAGTCCATCAACTTCATCTGCCATTCTTCCCGGGTGGGTAAATCTTGTGTCTTCCAATACTTCGCGATGAGTATTCTTGCTGCTGTTGTTGCATACATAAAAAAGGTTCTATCCTTCTTTGGCACCAATTGGCCGACCATGCCCAGGAGAAAGGCCTCTGGTTTCTTCAGGAAGGTATATTTAAGTACCTTTTTCATTTCATTATAAATCATCTCCCAGTATGTCTTAATCCTTGGGCATGTCCACCAAAGGTGAAAGAATGTACCTTCAGTCTCATTACATTTCCAACATTTATTGTCGGGCAAATGGTAAATTTTTGCAAGCTTGACTGGTGTCATGTACCACCTATAAATCATTTTCATTAAATTTTCTCTTAAGGCATTACATGCCGTGAATTTCATACCTGTGGTCCATAACTGTTCCCAGTCAGCCATCATTATATTATGTCCAACATCTTGTGCCCATTTAATCATAGCTGATTTCACCATTTCATCCTGAGTGTTCCATTTCAACAGCAAGTTATACATTCTTGACAAATTCTTGATTTTTGGATCTAACAGTTCTGTTTCCAATTTTGATTTTTCCACCTGGAAACCAACTTTTTTGTCCAAATTGTATGCCTCCATTATTTGGTAATAATGGAGCCAATCTCGCACTTTATTTTTCAATTTTTCAAAACTCTGCAATTTTAGTCTGTCTCCATCTTGTTCCAGAATTTCCCAATATTTCGGCCATTTGGCCTCCATATTGAGTTTTTTCTGTGCCTTCGCTTCCATTGGTGACAACCATCTTGGGGTTTTCTTTTCTAGCAAATCTTTATATCTTATCCAAACATTAAACAATGCTTTTCTAACAATATGATTTTTAAACGCTTTATGTACTTTTACCTTATCGTACCACAAATATGCATGCCATCCAAATGCATTATTGAAACCTTCCAAATCCAACACGTCAGTGTTTTCAAGAAGCAGCCATTCTCTCAGCCAACAAAAAGCAGCTGATTCATAATAAAGTTTAAGGTCTGGCAGGGCAAATCCACCTCTTTCTTTAGCATCAGTTAATATCTTAAATTTTATTCGAGGCTTCTTGCCCTGCCAGACAAATCTGGAAATATCTTTCTGCCACTTCTTGAAACAATCCATCTTATCCAAAATTTGTAATGTTTGAAACAAAAACAACATCCTTGGCAGCACATTCATTTTTATCACAGCAATTCGACCTAACAATGATAACTTCAAATTTGTCCATATTTCTAAATCCTTTTTCACTTCAATCCAACATTTTTCATAATTATCCTTAAATAAATTCACATTTTTGGCAGTCATGTTAACCCCTAAATATTTCACTTTCTTAACCAGTGTTAGTCCTGTCTCCTCCTGAAACTTCTCTCTCTCATTCACAGTTAAGTTTTTCTCTAAAACCTTAGTTTTCATTTTATTCAGCTTAAAACCTGCTACCTGTCCAAATTCTTGAATCAGTTCCAATACCCTTTTAGTACTGGATTCTGGCTCCTGTAAAGTCAATACTAAATCATCAGCAAATGCTTTCAGTTTGTACTGTTTAGCTCCCACTTGTATACCTTTAACCTCTTGGTCCTTTCTTATCATGTTTAACAAAACCTCAAGGACCGATATAAAGAGCAATGGAGAAATTGGGCAGCCTTGCCGTGTCCCTTTCTCAATCTTAAACTCTTCTGTCACTACATTGTTCACAATTAATTTTGCCTTTTGTTCTGAATAAATTGCACCTATACCATTTTCAAACCCTTGACCTACCCCCATCCCCTGTAGATTCTTCTTCATAAAACTCCAAGAAATATTGTCAAAGGCTTTCTCTGCATCCACAAATATCAAAACTGCCTTAGTGTTAATATTCACTTGTAGTTTTTCTAGAATATTAATTATATTCCTCATGTTATCAGACAAATGTCTGCCCGGGAGAAAGCCTGCTTGGTCTTTATGGATTTCTTCTACCAACACCTTTTTTAATCTTTTAGCCAAAATATCTGCAAAAATTTTGTAATCCACATTAAGCAGCGATATGGGGCGGTAGTTCTTGAGCTGTATCTTTTCAGTCTCTGTTTTTGGTATAAGTGTTATGTAAGCTTCTTTCCACGACTCTGGTGCCTTTCTCCCTTCCAATATTTCATTGCAGACTTCCTTCAATGGTTGTATTAACCATTCTTTCAAGGATCTGTAATATCTTGAAGTCAAACCATCTGGTCCTGGAGATTTACCTAATTGCATATTCTGGATGGCCTCTTCCACCTCCTGATCCGTTATTTTGTAGTTCAACATTAGCTGTTTTTCCTGAGAAATTTTGTGTAATCCATTTATTTTCAAAAATCGATCAATGTCCATTTCTTTCTGCTTCTCCTGTGTATAAAGTTGTTTGAAATACCTCTGGAAACACTTCCTAATCTCCACTGGGTTCTGTATATTCTTTCCTTCCACTTCCAAATTCGTAATAGTATTGAGTTTTTGTCTTTTTTTCATTTGCCAGTATCATCTTAACTCTTTTTTTTTTTTCAGTTTCAAAATTTTCCACTCTATTCTAACTTAGCAGCTGGTGAAAACGGACATTCTGGCTTTTAAACTGCCACACTGGAAATCCCACAAAGCCTGTTATCAAGTAACATCAACATTGCAGTATCTGTCATTTTTTTGCAGCGGATAGCACACCATTGACACTAAATCTACATTTACTCCCATTGCCAATTATGTCTTTTCTACTTAGCCAGTTGGTATCATTCCATCTGGCTTCATTATGAAATTTTGGACTGAGATTAGATTTTTCTAATTGCAACAGGGAGACTTGCTTATCACAATCAATTTTACTTATGGGTATGGGCCGGCTCTGATTTTTGTCTTCTAAGAATGGGGCTCCACAGAAAAATGCAAGGCCATTTGGGCTGTGGTGGTCCTTGGATGAAGGCAAATGTTGGGCTGTATTCAGCTAACCCATTTTGCTAATGGAAGCTAGACTTCTTCTGACACAACAGGATTTCTCCCCTCCTGCTGCATGTCTTTCCCCGCACCTTCCCCAAATCTGCTCTGGTGGGTTGGGGAAGGAGAGGGGACATCATTCCATCAGGCAAGCAGATATGCTTGCACTAGTGGAACAATCTCCTTTGTGCTGCGTTGTCTTCATCAGACTTGTCCTCAGCTTTTCTCAAATGGAAAAGTTCTGTAGCCTGCTTCATGGGGCTTTGAGCCAATGTACCTATTGCATTGTGTGTTGTATTCTGTGCTACAGGACCCAAAGTGGACTTGCATAGTATGTGTGCTTTTGATAGTGCCTTTGAAACACTGGGCTGAAATGTTGCATTTTCTCTTTTCAGTCACTTCTTCACGAACCATTCTGGATGCCAATGAGGAATTCAAATCCATGTCCGGGACAATACAGCTGGGACGGAAGCTCATTACCAAGTACAACCGCAGGGAGCTGACAGATAAACTGCTCATCTTTCTCGCCCTTGCCTTGTTTTTGGCCACCGTGCTTTACATCCTGAAGAAGAGACTGTTCCCCTTCTTGTAAAATTCTCAGATGAGGAGAGGAAGCGTGACTGAGGAAGGATGAATGAAGGCTTTCTCACAAAGACCTGACACTCTTCTAATCAAGAGAACATTCACAAATGTTCATAAACAGAACATATTAGCAGTCTGTGAAGATTTAGACTTGCTTATGTAAGCTAAATGAGCTGCAGGTTAGGACAAGGAACAATAAGAATATGACCTGTTTCTCTGAGAATGGCAGGTGTCAGTTCTGAACTGGATGGTGGAAGACATACTAAGCCCCTCTCTTGTCTTTGGCTTGGAATGTGTATTCCACTTCCTTCCTCCAGAGATCTGTTCCTGAGAGGAGGGGGACGGTATTGCTGAAAATACATTTAGATACATTCCTTTAATAAAGTGTATTTGAATACAGATAGAGCAGGGAGTCCTGATTTTTTAAATAAAAAAATACCTTATGAACTCAAAGAGAAAACGTCGCCCTTTAAGTTACTTTTACTTCAGTTGTTTCCGCAAATGAAAGAAGCAACGAGGCGATTTCTAAAATCTCTCCATAACTGGCATTATTGTAAATGTACTGTATCTTCCTTTGTCCATCTATTTATCTCAAGAGTGCAGCTCAGGTCAGTCCATTTGCTTCATTCCAAGTTTTGCATTGGATAGAGATGTAAATTGCTTGGCATATCAGCTCCTGAAACTTCCCTGTCCTTTTCCTGTTTCCTCGTCAGTTTAAAAGGCATTGGAATATCTTGCAGGATTACAAGTCAGTGGCATCACCCATCTCTTCCTGTGGCTACAGCTGCACCACTGCAGGCCTGTGAGCATGGAAGGAAATCCCTGTAAGACACTATAGAGCCCTTCTCCTTCCCTGTCGGCTCTCAACAGGGTGCATAATGTCCTAAGCACGCGGGGTTGTATTCAGTGTCAGGCCAGCAGCATTCCACTGATGCAACAGGACTTCCACGTTCTCTCCTCCCCCTGCGTTGCCTCTAAATTTGTTCTGGATGGTCCCCCAACCCTCCAGACTTGGTCTTGTGGTGAGCGGCTGGAGGGAAGAAGAGAGGAAGATGTTTGCTCCATGGAAGTCTGCTGTGCCAGTGGAACTGCAGCCTCAGATACTGTCCACAGCCATGACACACAGATGGCCATTAGCTGAGCCCAAAGCTATGGATGCAGGCTATGTTAGCACGGCATGAGTTGCTTGCTTCCTGGGATCTGGTCTAAGCTGGGCCACTGGCTGCTACGAGCAGCGTCTTTCATTTCAGGTAATGGCTCCAGCTAAGTTGCTGAGTAGAGAAGGATCTCAGCTGTTAACTGTTCTGCATATACACACAGCTCTGCAGCCATGATAGATTTATTTGTTTATTATTATATTATTATTAGCCGGCCCTTCCTCTCGAAGGAGAACGGGGCAGCAAGCACCAAAAAGTTAATACTAAGTACAAATAAAATAAAATTAAAAATGTTTAAAACATTTTTAAAAGACTCTGCATTGACTGCATAATTTAGGTTGGCAACGTGGAAGCAAACTAGAAAAAAGTTTTCAACCGTTAATAGTTTTTGTCCAAAAGTGTTTGACACTGCTGATGCAATTCCAACATGGTGTTGTTGCTCAGCAAACAATGTGGATGATTTTTCTTTATGAATGCCATTCTTTGGGGGGTTTTCGAATATGGATTTGATCAAAAGATGAAAGCAGACATGCATATCTTCATTATCAGCACTACTGCATGGTAGTGTAATGTATTTATTAAAATCACAAATTATAAAAGCAAACCCCCTCTCCTTTTCTCTTTTTCCTAGTATCTTAAAGGTAAAAGTAAAGGGACCCCTGACCATTGGGTCCAGTCGCACATGACTCGGAGGTTGCGGGGTTCATCTTGCTTTACTGGCCGAGGGAGCTGGCGTACAGCTTCCGGGTCATGTGACCAGCATGACTAAGCTGCTTCTGGTGAACCAGAGCAGCGCACGGAAACACGGTTTACCTTCCCACCAGAGCGATACCTATTTATCTCCTTGCACTTTGACGTGCTTTCAAACTGCTAGATTGGCAGGAGCAGGGACCGAGCAATGGGAGCTCACCCCATCGCAGGGATTCGAACCGCTGACCTTCTGATCGGCAAGCCCTAGGCTCTGTGGTTTAGACTAGACTTGAGTGTGTTTTCAAATATTTTTCTTTCTTTATCTATTTGTAGCTGAATAACTTCCTTCCTTCCTTCCTTCCTTCCTTCCTTCCTTCCTTACTTCCTTTCATAAAACTTCCAGCGCTATTTCATCTTGCGCCAGTGTAAATGCCTCTGACTAAGAGATGCCCAACAAATCAATGGGCTGAAATGCCTGCCCAACCTGTTTCACCGTCTTGGCTGTGTGGTCCATCTCAGAACCTTTTCTTTTTCTCATAGGACGTTTGGTACCCCAAATCCTATAGGTTCTGACCTTTGCACAAGTATTCTCTGTCCACCATAGCATCTGATGCTTAACCTTAGATGGAACCCATATTGTGGATGTCCAAAAGAGGTAGCTATTGTTTAAGGTTGAAAGGCTTGTTGCAGTATATGCTGCTTGTAGTATGCATGAAAATACAGCAAAATTGGGAGCCTGTGGAAACTTAACCCTATTTGAAGGGGGTCATTTGTGTTTGGCATCCAGCCCATGTTGAAAAGTTAACAAGGTAGGCTAGAGAGTAGGAAAATACAAGAAGGAGACTTCAGGGAGACATGGTTCTTATTTGTCATCTTATGTTAACTTGCAATTTGGCTGCTGATTTGTATGCTGTCTTCACATAATACAATGCAACTGTTGTCATTAGAAGCATTGTGGACCCCTGCAGTCTAATAAGTTTCAATGTAATTTTGTTGTGCTAAACTTTCAATGGAAGTAAAAGCAAAACAAAAAAATCTCTGCACAATTTTGCAAAAAAAAAAAAAAAGTATATGATTCATTTATTTTTTAGCAACTTAGTTAAACAATCACTTAAAACAATTTGTCTAACAATTAGCTGTTTTACCAAACCTACCCAGGCTGGCATGTAGCCACTGTTGTGGAGGCCTGATCACCGTACAACTATCATGCAGGAAATACGGGCTTGTCCATAGGCAGTTGCTTATACCGAACCAAGGCTGGCAACCGCATGCCATAAATGGCCATGGCGAAAGCTGTTGCTTAGATCACCCACCTCCTTTTTCGGTTGCGAATTACATATGTTTGCACTGCTTAACATGTTGCACATGGGGGTGAGGGGGCAGTCACCCTGCACCCAAAGCAGCATCCGCCTCAAATTAGACTGTCCTAAAGACAATAGAATGACTTGTGTGTAGAGAACAGAAATAACATTTCAATGAATTGATGTGGGATGGGGAATGTGCTTATTGGAGAGAGATGCTTTCCGCATTAAGACGCTTCCTCCAAACGGGAGGGTGAGTTCATCGCTGTGGTGTTTCTAAAAATGCCACCGTCAGATGCATGTGGTGGCTGTCGCCTGCCAAGTGGCTCAGGCGCGCATGCCAGCTGGGAGAGGGCTGGGAATGGCTGGCTGGCTGCAATCCAGCGAGGCTGAGAATAGACAAGCTGCAGATGCAAGCCTGCCTGTAGGTATGCACAGCTCCTCTCGAAAACAGAGGGAGGAAGCCAGGTGGGCCACACCCTGTTGCTGCCGCTATTTTCGTTAGCTATCGTCACCACCACATCCAAAGGCTTAAGTACATAGAGAGGAAGATCCCCTGGAGACTTTCCAAAACCCAAGCATCTTTCGGAGATCCAGCTCTGAGGGCCTTCTGGCAGTTCCCCCACTGCGAGAAGTGAGGTTACAGGGAACCAGGCAGAGGGCCTTCTCCGTAGTCGTGCCTGCCCTATAGAATGCCCTCCCATCAGATGTCAGGGAAATAAACAACTATTTGACAAAATAGAAGACATTTGAAGGCAGTCCTGTATAGGGAAGATTTTAATGTTTGAGGTTTTATTGAGTTTTTATTATTTTATTGGGAACCACCCAGAGTGGCTGGGGCAACCCAGTCAGATGGGTTGCATATTATTATTATTATTCCAGTGGAGGGCCGGACCAGATGCAAAAGGAGGCCAGCAACAAATGTAAATTTTACCTTAATGCAGTAGGCTACTGTTACAGAAGCTCACACATGCCTGTCTATCTACCATCCCATCAAGCAAGAGGCATTTATCAGAGTTCAAGGGCATGGCCAGCCAGGCAAAAGCACTCAAGGGAAGTGCAAATTTGTGCAGCTGAGGGGTGTGGTCTGGGGAGAGGCCATAGTTGAGGAGGAGGTGGCACCTGAGGGCAGATAGAGAAGGCCGGAAGGCTGAATTTGGCCCCAGGCCTGAAGGGTCATATATAGAGAGCAATCCACACATGGAAAACAGCTTTGCATGTGAACTGCATTCTCAATGGACTGGTATAAATGTGTCTGTGCTCACTCTGCTCCAGATTTTTTGGACAAAACAACTGGCGTTTCAAAATAATTGCAAAGAAGCTCACTGAGAGCTCAGTGAAAGCTCAGTGAGAAAACCCTCCGCAATAGTAACTATATTTAAAAGTTTAGGCAGCCCAGCTGAGTAGAAACAAACTCTGGCTATCCTGGATGGCTAGATTTAACATTCAATTTGCAGTGTAAAAGGTATTGTTCTGCCATCAGTGAAAAGCTCTCTTGCCTTAAGTCATTCAGCCTTTCAATAATTCAGTTGACCTTCTACTCCTGTAAGTCAACAGTTTTAAATTTGGCAATCTGCAGTAAAGTATTATCGGAAGTGGAAACTTTGTGTTCATTGTGAAACACATCCAGTTTTTAAGAATGAAAAACAAGCCATAGCTCTCATTTGACTCCAAGGCTCAGGTTACATTTAAATATTTTTTATTGCTTCAAAACTGTCTGCTGTGTTTGTTCAACAACCGATGGGCAAATTTATTGGAAATGTTATTATTTGCTGGCTTTACACCATCCTTTCCTTACCTCCTGTCAATACTTATAGAATTAGTGTAAGGCCAGTGTTAAAACATACACACACAAGTGTGTGAGCTGGGGTGGGACCCTTATTCAGATCTGCCTTTTTCAGTCAAATTTTCCATAAACATTTCAGCGCTTAAGCTGTCTTTAATATTTGTGGAAACTGAATGTTCAAGTAGTTGTTGAAAGCAACTTTAGTTTGAGTTCCTGGTCGTTTATTTTAGATGACCCATTTAATTAAAGATCAAATAAAGGCGAATACTGTCTGGCTTTGACATGTGCTGAACTCAAAATTTTCATGGCTATTTCGTGAGAGTTGTGTGTGGGAAAAAGAAATACACCAGCACAGTACAAAGGCATTAGTCCAAATGATCAGGGAAGCCAAGGAAGTCATATGAACGAATGAGATCAGATACGGCAGTGTCCTATAGGGTCAAGTTATGGAGCATTCCAGGGCAAAATTGTTCTGTGAAAAGGAAAGAATTAGCATCAGGAACTTCTGCAGTAACAAAATATAATGCTCATCCCATGTGAAAGCAGCTTCAAAATTTAGCCGTTGGATATTGTACAAAATACTCAATGGACAATGCTCAGCAACCAAACTATTATGTGTACCAAAATTGAAGAGGCTGATTGGAACATCTTAAGGGCAAAAAAACCTTTTAAGATCAGTGTCAACCCACATAAGAGATAATTCTGTTAAGTTATAGGTGGTATTTAACACCTTGAAGATACAGTTACATAGACAAAACATCTTCACCACTGTGTTGGAGGGGATGTAAGGCAGTTGGTTTGACATTCCACACGTGTTCATGTGCAACCATTCTGGGAAAGTGTATATGTGGAAATAAGCAATATTGCTAATCATTGTGTACAATGTTTAAAGAAAATCAGCTCAATTTACTTTATAACGAACTCACCACTTTTGTCCTGGCGGTGGCACGACTACTCATAGCAAAGAACTGGAAAGGACTTCAACACCTACATATCACACGATAGGCAGGACTGCATATCCTCCTGCTCAACAATGACCTTGGCAAGCAGGCCACAAAAGGCCAAACTTCAGTATTGATACCACATTCCATTTGACTGCATTTTTGCTCTGAATACCTGTGATAGAACAAAGGGCCCTGTATGGGCTTGCAAGGCTGCATCTTCCAGCAACTCGCTTCAACAAAAAACATCCTCTTTTGCCTATTTTAGGAATAGCATGTTAGCAGGATATGTCATGAGAAAGGCAATGAGAGTTCCCTCAGTGAACTGCAATGTCTTGGTAATGCAGGTGAGACATTTCCTGGCACTGCTTATGCCAGCCCTCCCGTCCCATATTTTTATTTTTAGATACAGAAAGTGATACTGATCAAATCCGACTGTGTTGTCAGCTTTTCTAATGGCACAACAAAAGCCCAGTTATCTCCACCTTTTAAACCCTGCCGGGCCCAGATGGCAGGCCACCTTGTCGCACTGTGAGTGAGTACGTTTTGCTCTGTGTTCAGTGTCACTTTCTGCATGAAAAGAAAATGCCGTTCTGAGCCTTTCAAGGCGATAATGCTGCTTGTGTCCCTCTGTTCCTGTGATAAGTGCAGAGAGGGCAGGCAGGGAGACGGCCTCCGGAAGGATCAGAGCACACCAGGCTCCATAGACAGGCCCACGTGGGATATATCTATAGAACAAGATGAAAGTGCTTCACTTTCTTCTTTTTAACCGTATCACATACAGGGATGCTTTATCTTGATCCTTTGCAGGGTCTGGCTTTTTGTGTTCAGCTCCACATTCTAATCCAAATTGAGAGACGAGAACCCTGAAAAATGGAACTGAC